CTGAAGCTCCATCAGTGAAAGACAAAGACAGAGTTTATTGAAGGACAGTGAGAAGATGAGTGATCCAGAACCCTGCAGAATTAAACAGGAAGAGACTGAAGAAATAATAGGTTTGTGTTTATTCATTATTCTTCAATACTAAAATCTGTTGAGCTGGTAAAGACAACGACCAATAAGCTGTTTAAGAACCTGCTCAGTGTTGGAAAATGTTAGCTGGTGGGTTTAATGTAGTCAATGTTATGTTGAGTTAATTGTGCCTACTGCTGTAGGGATGGATACAATAGGAATACTGCATTGATTCTGAGATTTTACAACTGGGTTGAGATTCTCTTCAATTTTTCCTGAGCCCAGTTTTTGTCAGTAGAGGGTGCTGTTATGACCTAAACCGGTCACCACTAATAAGAAGAAGACGAGTGCAAATGCGGTAGAAAAATATATTTATTTACTATTATCAAAGGTCATGTTGCTAGCCCACTCAGGTCCAAGACCGAGACGAAAAGTAAGTGGCCAGATTCCGCATGCAGCCTCCTCATCCACGTCTGAAACGGACACACTATTTATAGCAGAGCAACTCAATCACAAACCGGTGTTCTCAATCCTGGCGCAATCAGCTGGACCTGGAACACGCACAGACAGACACCCACACCCCAGCCACAAACAACCACAAGGGGTCGTCACAGTGCTGTACTCCGTATTCCTCCAAATTCTTACACCACTTGAACATGGGCAATTCCAAGAACGCAGAGAACCGGCCAGCGGTCTTGTGGAGAGCGGTCTTGCCAGGTGTCCTCGGAAGAACGAACTCAGGAGACCGCGAGAACAGAGAATGTGTCCTCTGAGAAACGAGATGCTGCGTTCTTCCTGATGGTCACGTGACCTTCACGCGTTTTAAATGGTAAATTATTTTAATATAACAGCATTCATACAACAATGTATTGTTTTTCCCTTTTCAAAATATGTTCTCTGCATAAAACATTATAAATATGCGTTGCACAATATAAATAAAACCGATTTTAATACGAATTTCAGCAAACAAACATCCTTAATGTGTTTATTCCTTTATTAGGATGTTCATGTTAATGTTTACATTTACATTTAGTCATTTAGCAGACGCTTTTATCCAAAGCGACTTACAAATGAGGACAAGGAAGCAATTTACACAACCAAGAGCAACAATGAATAAGTGCTGTAGGCAAGTTTCAGGTCTGTAAAGTCTAAGAAGGGAAGTATTAGTAGTATTAGTATTTTTTTTTTGGGGTACAGTTAGCGTGATATTCAGAGAGGCAATTGCAGATTAGGAAGTGTAGTGGAGACTAAATAGTTGAGTTTTTAGTCGTTTCTTGAAAGTAGCAAGTGACTCTGCTGTTCTGATGCAGTTAGGGAGTTCATTCCACCAACTGGGCAGATTCGCGAAAGTGATTTCTTCCCTCTTTGGGATGAACCACGAGGCGACGTTCATTCACAGAATGCAAGTTTCTGGAGGGCACATACATCTGCAGAAGTGAGAGCAGATAAGAAGGAGCAAAGCCAGAAGTCACTTTTTAGGCAAACATCAGAGCTTTGAATTGGATGCGAGCAGCAACTGGCAGCCAGTGCAAACGGACTAGCAGCGGAGTGACATGTGCTCTTTTAGGTTCATTGAAGACCACTCGTGCTGCTGCGTTCTGGAGCAGCTGAAGAGGTTTGATAGAGTTAGCTGGAAGCCCGGCTAGTAGAGAGTTGCAGTAATCCAGTTTGGAGAGAACAAGAGCTTGAACAAGGAGTTGAACTGCATGTTCAGATAAGAAGGGTCGGATCTTTCTGATGTTATAGGGTGCGAATCTGCACAATCAAGCAGTTCTAGAAATTTTGTTTACTTTCACCATCTCATTTAGGGAAACTCCTGAGGTGAATAAGTGATATCTCTGAACTTTAATAATAAATCGAAATAAAATGCTGTGCTTCTCACCTCCAGTCACAATGACTTCTGGGACTTCCAGAGCGAGTTCGGTGCTCAAGTCTGCATCAGTGCGTCCTCGATATGAAGAACAAATACGGGAAGTTTCGCGCGTCCCCCATACTTGCGGTCTTGAGTATTGGAACAACCTTGGCAGCTGATGATGATGTTACATGAGAACACGAGGACGCCGGACCGCTGAAGAACACGTATTGAGAAACAGCCATGGAGTCGAATTTTCATGATTAAGAGCGCTTATGTGTTTGGCTGAGATGTGCACGCTGTCTCAGATATATAATCTCAGCTTTTGTACCACAGGTGTAATGTAAACATGACTTTTCCTAACTTTATTAATGACTCAAACCTAGCCTTGAGCATTGTCTGCTAAAACTAAGGCTCAGTTTACACTGCCACTTAAATGTGACCCAATTCCGATTTTTTTGCTCATGTGACACAGATCGGATCTGTTCTATGACCGTGTAAACACGAAAAATACGCATACATTCGGATATTCAGAGATTGGTTTCAGGCCTCCTTCATATGTGGAGATAAATCAGATATGTGACGATGCGACTATCATGTAAACAGGCAGTTCAGATTTATTGAGGCATTTCGTTTTGTACGTCATTAAACTTGTGACAATGTGGTGCTTCTCCGGCGGTTTAATGACGTAGAAGGTAGAGCGTGTGTGGAGACGCCGACGCGGTAAACAACAACAACAGAGGAAACACAGAGGAGGAAAGTGGTCAGTCACAACAATTTGCTCCCAACAGATCTGAGATTTCTCTCGTACCTCACAAATTCCTCTGAATGGTGGGGGACACCATATATAAACCAGGCGCAAGCGGTGATGATGGCCCTTTCCCACCTCCTCCGCCTCAAAATCATTTTAAAGTTGGGCGAACTTTGTATATTTCGCAGAGCTAAAAGCAAGACAATTTCTTCTATTGTGTCTAGTGTGGCACATATGCTAGAACCTGCCTTTACGCATGCGCAACTTCGTAAATTGTATAGCAAGTGTATACACATGAATCGGATATGGGTCACAATTAAAAGAACGTGTAAACTGACAGGCGTAAAAATCTGACAACAAATCGGAATTGGGCATCAAGACCTGACAGTGTAAACGGGGCCAAAATATCCCAGATCTACTAGCTTAGCGCTTTCTGTTAGCTAAAAATTAGCCTTTAAAAATGTAACTTACTTTTCAGAAGTGGTGGTGAAGGAGGAGAGTGAAGAACTGAGTGAAGATGAGGAGAAACATCATGTCAAAAGTGAAACTGAAACTCACTCAAACACAGAACACGGCTTTATAATAGACCAAGCAGCTGGAGAAGGTTGCACCTGCACTCAGTGTGGAAAGATTTTCAGCCGCAAATACGATCTCGAGCATCACATGAGGACGCACACTGCAGAGACACCTTACAGGTGTTCGCACTGCGACAAAATATTCAGCAAGTCTGGACAACTGAGAGCACACAAGAAGATCCACACCGGGGAGAAACCGTTTCACTGCGTCGCCTGTGGGAGGAGTTTCACATATTTGTCTTCTCTGCGTTTACACACAAAAAACTATCATGGTGAGTAAATATGAAGTTCCCCCTTCCAGATTGTATTATTTGGTTTAATTGAAGAGTAATTAATGCATATTTAAAGAGGTTGTATGAAATGAATGTGAGGTAAATCTATAAATGTATGCGAGGGTTACTAATTATAAGAGAAAACCCACTTTCATTCTCTTCAATCAGCATTGCCCAACCAGCCGCGGGTAACGCCCACTATAAGCAAACTACAGAGGATGGCGTCTGCTAATCGAACCGATTATGGGCTCTATATTACCGATCTTAGGTCTAAAGCGCAGGGCGCAAAAGCATTAAGGACCCACTTTTGCTATTTTAAGAATGGATAAATACGCTCTGCGCCCTGGCGCATGGTCTAACAGGGTTGTGCTTATTCTCTTAATGATTTCTGGGAGTGTTTTGAGCATAAGAAGTCTGATCTCCCATTCCCTTTAACACTAGAACACCATTGGGTCCATTTAACCCATCACTGTTATTCAAATGTACATAACAGACCTTCAATAAAACATTCAAGCCTCACAGTCATTGACTTTTACTGAAATCGCCTTATTTAATTTCAACATATTAAAAATTGTTCAGATAAAAATAGATTAAAAAGTGCCACATTTATAGCGCCAGCGTAGGTCAAATTTACCCACTATTTAAAAAAATGCTTGTATTTATGCACTGCTTATGTTTGAAAATACTCACCAATGACTTTTACTTTCAATTTCACTCACTGTTAGTGGTTATAATAAATGATTTAAGTCACAATGACTAAAAGGCGATTTGTAGCGCTATTAAAAACACAAAATGCAATGAATTGAAGAGAGTCTGGAGTTATAAGTTGTGCATCAGAGTATGATGGCTCAAATTTATATATTTTAACCAACTCGTAACCCACTCCTAAAATAATCTTGTTATCCAGAAATAATAATTTCTTGAGTCTAGACCATTTTTTTGTTAACAGTTTCTAAACAAAATTTGTGCTTTGTAAAATTTACCCAAACTGGCGATTTTAGGTATACAGCGACCTCCGGCAGTTTTAGTGTTAGAAGTTATTTGCATCGTGCCATGACACATTTGCTATTTACATGGCGGACATTGTAAGTGTAAATACTAAACGCTTCACTAGCGAGAAAAGAAGTAAACAGCATCTGCAGCGCGAGGATAAAGAACGAGCCTCCTCCATTCAGCCTCTTTACTTTACTACTTTACTACTTTACTTTGATGGAGTAAGGAAACGGTGGAAACTCACTCCACTGAACACATCCATTAGCCCACATATTTAATTTCCTTTGTTAGGCGCATAGATTTGTGTCAAAACTATTTCTAAATTAAATTCTAATCTCCAGCAAAGGAATAAATGAACAATAATAATAAAGTGTGGTCAGAAAATAAAGTTATATCCAAACACACGTCCTGTTCTTATGCCCATATGGTGATGCAGACGCCTCCAAAACCCCACAGCTGGACACATCTACACTTGTGCTTATTAAAACAAATATAAATCTGCATATAATCAATAATACTGCTAATAATAATAACATTATACAGATGCAGATTGTCATGAATAAACTGACCCCCCCCCTTGCTTTTTTAAACAACATGGCACAAAACATGAAAATGATTGTTTATTAATTAATGTTTATTAATGTCCTTTAATTTCTCTAATGTCCAGCTTTTCTGGCTTCCAGTAAAATTTCGTATTGATTTTCAAATATTACTTCTAACTTTCAAGGCACTTCATAATCTTGCTCCTAATATCTCACTGAACTTCTCCATATTTACTCCCTTCCTCGCACTCTTAGATCAGCCAACTCCTCCCTGGTACCACCTTGCATTCAAATAAGCACAATGGGAGACGGATCTTTTAGCTCTTTGGCTCCTCGGCTATGGAACTTGCATCCCCTGGATCTAAAGAGCAGTGATAGTCTTGACACATTTAAATCTGAATTTGAATTTGAATTTATTTTATTTAACAGGGACAATGCTCATTAATCAACAGTAAAACTATAAATAAGCCAGAGTTAGCCACAAGGGCTAATGTTCATCTGTTGCCCCCTGCCAGATTTTAAAAGGCAACTTAAAATAAAATAAATAAATAAATAAAATTTAACAATCTCATCTAAAGACCAAACTTTTTAAACAATCAACAATTTTTTTTCATGTTTTTTATCGTGTTATTTTATATTTGCGATGTGTGTTCATACCTGTTTGGTCAATGCTTGTTTAGTAATGTTTAATTATTTGTTTTAATTTGTTTTAGCATGACTGTTGATGCTTATTCTGAGGCGACCTTGGGTGTCTAGAAAGGCACCATTTACAAATAAAATGAATTATTATAATTATTAAAGTTGCGCTGTTTGGAAAATAGCAACAAATCGCGCCAAACACGTCTTTTTGTTTTAGCAATGCTTACAAAATGATGATTTGCACGTCTGAAAACACACCTATTGTATAATCGTTTGCATCCTTCGCAGTTCTGCCTTAAAGTCTATCTTTTTGTCTTTTACCTAATTTTCAGACCTGAGTGAAGACATGAAGATCTACTTTAACGTTCATTCAAAGACCAAGCCTTTTCTATGCTCTTTGTGCGGAAAGAGTTTCAATCGTCCACACTGTTTGAGAAAACATCAGATGACGCACACTGGAGAGAAACCGTACAAGTGTTCACACTGCGGCAAGGCTTTCAGCCAGTCAGGAAACCTGAAAACACATGAGAGGAATCACACTGGAGAGAAACCGTTCACATGTACTCCGTGTGGGAAGAGTTTCACACACTCCTCAGATTTCAATCGACACATGAGGATCCACACTGGAGAGAAACCGCACGAATGTGATCAGTGCGATAAAGCATTCCTGAGGGCTTCAGATCTGAGGATCCATCGTAGAGTTCATACAAAGGAGAAGCCGTATTCATGCTCTGAGTGTGGAAAGAGATTTACATGGCAGTCGAGTGTAAGGAAACATGAGAAGATCCACGCTGGAGTGAGGGAGTTCGAGTGCTCCGAGTGTGAGAAGAGTTTTATCACGGCTGGAGAACTGAAACGGCACCAGAGGATTCACACCGGAGAGAAACCGTACACATGTGCAGAGTGTGGGAAGAAGTTCACCAAATTATCATACCTTTTTAACCACATGAATATCCACTCTGGAGAGAAACCTCACAAGTGTTCACACTGCGACAAGGCCTTCGTTCAGTTACAAAGCCTGAAAGCACATGGGAGGATTCACGCTGAAGAGAAAACACAAATGTGATCAATGCGGCGAAACATTTTTGAGTGCGGTACCTCGGTATAGTCATATAATAAAAGATCAGTATGTGCAAGTGTCAATACCTTGAGCCTGAGATACCATTGTTTCCTTATTCTCATGTAAATTCTGTGAGTTTAAAAACAGGCCAATCGGAACACAATGCGGACTGTTACGTTGCGCTCATAGGGATATTCATTAGCATGTACTTTAGTTCACGTTCTATGTCCGCCCGACCTAACGATCAACCGCATCATATATGTTGCATGTGGGATCATTAATATTCAATTCAATTCACCTTTATTAGTATAGCGCTTTTACAATGTAGATTGTGTCAAAGCAGCTTCTCATAGAAGATTATAATGAACTGAAACCGTGTCAGTTCAGTTTAATGCTGCGTTCACACCAGACGCGCCACGCGCGAGTGATTTACATGTTAAGTCAATGCAAATGCGCGAATAGACATCCTGCGGTGCGATACGCGCGAATGACGCAAATTGCGCGAATGGCACGGGGCGAATTGAGCGTTTTGCGCATTTGACGCGCTTAACGAGCATTTCGGGCGGATATCTCGTTTTCGAAAATCTGAACTTCAGCGTACATTCGCGCCGCGTTAACCAATCAGAAGCTTGCTCTTGTGGGGGCGTGATTGTGACGTAGAACCTGTTGTCGGTGTTCCGAGGGAAATCCTCCAGCCTTCACCGACAACAGTTCATCAAACTGGGCTTGGCTCAGTCAGAAGCACCGCTGAAAGCCTCCGTCATCCAGGCTCAGTTTCTGGAGGAGTTTATGAGCTCACAGAGCTGGATGCACCTCTGAAAGAATGTAGTGGACTCAGACACGACCCTAAACGTATCGACGCTGTTTTTCAGTCTCCATAAAGCACATAAACACTGTTATTTTCTTCATAAAATCCATGTTAGCCATTTAGCTATGAAGCTAGAGTCTTCGGGTAGACAGAAGCCCTGCCCATCACGCGAATCCGCGTCTGTTCTGATGTGAATTTGACACGCGAATGAAGCGGGGTTTGACGCACGTATGAAGCGGGGTTTGACGCACGTATGAAGCGAGTAAACTCAAATGTTCACGTGACTATTTACACGCGAATAGCTCGATTTATCCGCGCGTTCTGCGTCTGGTGTGAACACAGCATTAGAGGTTCAGTTCAGTTTAGTTTGGTGTGGTTTAACAATCACTACTGAGAGTCCAAACACTGAAGAGCAAATCCTTCCATGCGCAGCTCTACAGATCCCGAACCATGCAAGCCAGTGGCGACAGCGGAGAGGAAAAAACTTCACCAATCGGCGAAAGTGAAGAATAAAAACCTCAAGAGAAACCAGGCTCAGTTGGTCACGACCATTTCATCTCTGGCCAAACGTCTTGTGCTGCAGTCTAGGCACCAGAGCCTGGAAGCTGGACCTCAGCGAGACTCGTCTGTCCCTGGAGCGTCACAGGAATCAAGACCAAGACCACCACAGCAGCTGCTCAGGATTCAGCCTGGTCCAGGATATGTAAACCTTGGGATCATCTCGTTGCTGGTCTTGGATCGAATCAGTGGCGCTGCATAATCTAAGGGCCTCAGGATGAGTATCCCCGGGCTGCACTTACTATCTTTCTGGAACTTTTATTTTGAAAATGGTAGACACAGCAAAAATGCCAACCGCACTATATTGTTTTCTATGCGTTGTACTGCATCTGTTCAAGTGCGTCAGATTGCAAAATGCAGGATATATAGATTACACATATATTCAGCTCCGCTCCAAAGAGGGTTTAATGTTTGTTTAATTGTATGGTTTCCTAATTTGTGTTTATTGTGGAGTTTGATGCATATTTTTCAGCAAACACACAGACTGTTGAGTGTAAATGCACGTTTAAGTATTGTATCAATCGTTCTGATCTTACTGTCATTTTTCTGAAGAGACATAACAGATATGCACTCTATTAAACGTCTTCTGTTTATGCAGAGAGGGGGGCGCAGTAGGTAGTGCAGTTGCGTCACAGCAAGAAGGTCGCTGGTTTGAGCCTCGGCTGGGTCACTTGGCGTTTCTGTGTGGAGTTTGCATGTTCTCACTGTGTTCGTGTGGGTTTCCTCCGGGTGCTCCAGTTACCTCCACAGTCCAAAGACATGCGGTACAGGTGAATTGGGTAGGCTTAATTGTACATAGTGAGTGTGTATGGATGTACCCCAGAGATGGGTTGCAGCTGGAAGGGCATCCTCTGCGTAAAACATGTGCTGGATAAGTTGGCAATTCATTCCGCTGTGGCGACCCCGGATTAATAAAGGGACTAAGCTGAAAAGAAAATGGATGAATGTTTATGCAGAGGTTAATATTGATTCCTGGTTGTGTTTTCATTTACAATTTAACATTAAATTACAGCACGATACATCTCTGTCTGTCTCTTTTGACGCGTTTAATTGTAATTTAGCCCTTATTTTGTCCACAACTTGCAAAATAGGTTATTGAGATGGGTTTACACTAGGTAGTTCACTCACTTGTAGCTAAAATAAATCTCTCCACCACTTAAATGCAAACGAAGTGAGTCGTCATCTCCATTTGTTAAAATGTATTTAATAAATTAAGTATGATTACTAGGCGTCATGGTGGCGCAGTGAGTAGCACGATTGCCTCACAGCAAGAAGGTTGCTGGTTCGAGCCTTGGCAGGGTCAATTGGCATTTCTGTGTGGAGTTTGCATGTTCTCCCTGTGGGTTTCCTCTAGGTGCTCCGGTTTCCCCCACAAGTCCAAAGGCATGCGATACAGGTGAATTGGGTAAGCTAAAATTGTTCGTAGTGTATGTGTGTGAATGAGTGTATGGGTTGCAGCTGGAAGGGAATCCACTGTGTAAAATTATGCTGGATAAGTTGGCGGTTCATTCCGCTGTGGCGACCCTGGATTAATAAAGGGACAAAGCTGAAAAGAAAATTTGTTTATTTCAGCGCACAACATGCAGTATGCATCAAAGCGGAGCTCATTAATATTCACGACCATTCCAAATATGGTCAATATGGAGCTTTTGATGCGGGGTGTATTTTTATGTGGTAATAAATGAGCATGTAAAACATTTCTGTATATTGTTTTTTAAACTTGCCTAATGCACATGCGGAGATTAATTTAATTAGTTGAATTAATGCAGTTTATGGCACCTTTAAAGAGAAAGAAAATTATAAAGTAGTGCAAAAATATGCAGTCAATGATGACAAAAAAAAACAAAACAAAAGCTAAATCTCCTGACATTTTAGGATATTTACTTACCCTGACTGTGCACATTTTTTTAAGTGCCCAAAAGAAGACGTATGGTCACCTAATCTAAATTTTTTATTATTGTAGGCCTATATAACTTGGCTTTATGACTTAATAGTTATGCAAATTAAATACAAAGCTTGTTTGTTATATATAATGCTGAATTTTCTTATGTGGATTCATAACCTGTAATTGTTATCTTTTATTAATTATGTTTTTAACATGTACATATTGTAGCCTGCCAGTTCAGAAAAAAATAAGCTTTACTTTTGAGTAAAGTGATTAATTAACTTGTTTTTTAATTATGTATTAATCTGATTTATTAATTTATTAAATAGTTTTTATGTTATTTTAAAACTATATACGAACTACATGGTACATTTGTTGTTTTTAGTTAGTTATTTTATTAAATTTAATTTTTAACATTTTGGTTTAGTTCTAAAAATGTTGTTTGTTTATTGATGGTAGTGTAGTTTCATGTCTAAGTTATGAATTACGTTTTTTTAGTTGTTGTTGTTGTTGTTAAGTGCATTTTTAACAGCTTTAGTGCATAAAAACAATATTTCATCTCGCACACGATTGAGATAAAGATTTGTTTTGTCCACATTATCGATTGTTTTTGCTGTTCTGGCGCGTTTTTGGTCCCGCCTCGCCATGATGACGTCACAGCTGACGCGTTCATTCGGCGTCGAGTCTTCAGAGCTGAGGTGAGTCGTTGACGCTTTTTCTCGTGTTTACACAACAATAAAACACACTTTACAGTTTATTAAAGCGACAATCTGCGACTAGTTTCTGCATTGAGTTCACCTCTATCTGTGTGTCTGCTGACCAAAACAATACAGCAGGCGGAGAGCAGCTCTGCGAGGAAGTTATGAGCCCAGTTTTTTCTCTGTTTCTGTTCATAATGATCTGTTGTGGAACATATACGTTTGTTGCAGAAAAAAAAAAACATTTAATTGATAGTTAAAGTTTTATTTTTTAAAGGGTTTTGTTATTTCTAAGGTTTGATGTTACTGTAAGTACCACATAGATGTGCTACTGCTAACATCTAGTCAAATATTTGGTAAATATACTTACTTGGTATATAAAATATGTTGATAGGGAGACTTTTTTCAAATTAATTACAATAGTATCCAGCAAAAACTGAATGAGCTAATCTGATGCTGATCAAATTGAGCAAATTACGTATCACATATTGCCACCTACAAGATATGACATAATATGATTTATTTCCTCAATTAGTGTAAATGAATCAGATTTCTCTGTTTATTCTCCTGAAGCTCCATCAGTGAAAGACAAAGACAGAGTTTATTGAAGGACAGTGAGAAGATGAGTGATCCAGAACCCTGCAGAATTAAACAGGAAGAGACTGAAGAACTAATAGGTTTGTGTTTATTCATTACTCTTCAACAATGAAGCATTCATTCAGTCATTTTCTTGTCGGCTTAGTCCCTTTATTAGTCCAGGGTCGCCACAGCGGAATGAACCGCTAACTTATCCAGCACATTTTTATGCAGCGGGTGCCCTTCCAGCCGCAACCCATCTCTGAGAAAGGCTGAGGAACAGTCAGGTTATTAATCTTGAAGCACTTCATCAGTTTTAGTTCTGTCTCATATCACCTTTCATTTATCTTAACAATTTGTTTTGTGTTTTAGAATATGGCATGCAGTTTCCCAGTATTGGGTTTCGGCTGTAAAGCATGTGCTGGAATAGTTGGCGGCTCATTTTGCTGTGGCACCTCTAATAAATCAGAGTCTAAGCTGAAGGAGAATGAATGAAAAGTGTTGGAGATGTCGGTAAGGATGCAATGATTAACCGGTTTCACTATTACCCGCAATTTAATTCGTCATGGTTAATTAATCGTAAAGGCGTATTTCTGCACAGAACAAAACTGCAGCAACTAAACAAAGTTATGCCAACTTTGTGCTTGTTTATACATCGAGACTAATAACCAGATACACTGGGTTAATTATGATGACTCAGGCTAATAACTAATGCAAGCTCATGCAAGTTCATTATTTCCAATGGAGGGATGCGTACGCAATGCGCTCGCGCTTTTCAGTCGCGCTAGTTAAGATGAGGGTGTTTGTGACCACAAGAACTGCAAACAGTTAAAGTTTGAGCAGGAAAGCAATGAAAAGTAGGTTTGCAAAACTCACTTAAAGTTACAAATAATGTTGCCGATGAGAGTGATCTAGGGCTGTAACGGTATGAATTTTTCACGGTATGATAATCGTCTAAAACAATACCACGGTTTGACGGTTTCGCGGTATACGGTATGTTACAAATGTTACAAAATAATAGAACAGTGAAGCAAATTAGACTTTTTCCAAATAATATATTTTTAGTTACTATAAACAACACCACTTACAATGAACAAATAAAAAATAAGAAAATAATAAATAATGTGTCAAAGTCCAAATAAAGTCCAAATAAACATGGTGCAAATCCTCAGTAAAAAAATAGATATAAATATTTACTATACTATAAATAGTTACATAACGAAACTAGATTCAATATGGAACATCCTTAGGTTTTATGTGCCAGCATGGATATGGTTGTCTATCGATATGGATTTGGATATGGTTGTCTGCAATGCAGACAAACAGCTGCATCTTCATTTGCGTCTTTTGAAAACAGCAAGAGCAGCAGTTCGTCTTTGCTGTGTCACTGTTTTGTCATGTTTCTGTGCTGCTGTGCATGCAAAAGTACTTAGTATAAGAATTATTTCATGCAAAACTTTTTTTTTGCGTTTTATTTAGCCGCGCATAAATGTATGCCTATCTCTCATTCCGTGTTGTTCAAAAAGCTCATTGTTGGTCCAAAAACAAAAGCGAAACCTATGCTTATTGGTTGTGATATAGCGAGTTTGAACCAATCTGGGCATGGAGGAGGGACAATGCATCAATGTATCATGTCTGATTTGTCCGGAGACACAGTGACGAGCGTTTCTTTGTCAAATCAGTGTTGTCAAATGTTGATGACGTAACCGCACTGATTCCGGAGCCTCTGAAAGTCCGCGAATGTTATGTGATACAGCACTGGAAAGCTGAGATTCTCTTCTTTATGCCAATCTTTGAATTGTATGAATCGGATCAGCGGATCAAAAGTTATTAAACATTTAAGAGCAATACTTATTTTTAGCCGCGGGCGGCTGTCTCGGTCTTTAAGGGTTAAAACCGTTGATATGCAATTGTTCATGGTATGATAATCGTGCACGTTCAAATCGTGGTAAACTGTCATACCGGTATATTGTTACAACCCTAGTGTTAACGTATGTGAACATGTATGATTATGTGTCCGTATGTAATGTATAATTAGCCAATTAAGGGTGTTTCTTTACATGTTGAATGTGCACTTTATCTTTTGGTTGTATGTATGTTGTTCGTTACGTGCAACATCACCTTTAAGGGGTTAATTGAAGTTTATGTATTTCTTTTCGTAGTTCTGACGGCAATATTGGGACATAAAGGAGTGCAAAGCTAGAATGTACACGACATACTACAGACTCATGTCCGAATAAATGTCAGTTAAAATCAAGAACGACTTGAGCCTTTGTTTCATCTCGAGGGGAGTAACACGTACAACCAAAATCTATAATCGTTGCATCCCTATGTCGGCATATATTACTGAAGTGTACTTCATAATTTCAATTCAATTCAGCTTTATTTGTATGGCGCTTTTACAATGTAGATTGTGTCAAAGCAGCTTCACATAAATGGTCATAGTAACTGGAACAGTGTAGTTCAGTTTTTAGTGTTTAAGTTCAGTTCAGTTTAGCTCAGTTCAGTGTGATTTAAAATCATTACTGAGAGTTCAAACACTGAAGAGCCAATTCATCGATGCGTAGCTCTACCAATCCTGAACCAGTGGCGACAGCGACGATTTAAGGTCTTTAAATGATGTAATGGCTGAAAGTAGTTTAAATTTTGGAAAGACTAGTAGATTATTTATCACGTTGGAATGATGCAGGGGTCACCAATCTCGGTCCTGCAGGGTTTAGCTCCAACTTGCCTCAACACACCTGCCTGTGTGTTTCAAGTATACCTAGTACGAGCTTGATTTGCTTGTTCAGGTGTGTTTGATTAAGGTTAGAGCTAAACTCTGCAGGACATCAGCCCTCCAGGAACAAGTTTGGTGACCCCTGGAATAAAAGGTCTACAAAATAACCTCAAAATCTGCAGTTTTCAATTTCAAACTTGCTCCTTTTTGTTTTTATTCAATCTTCAGAGCTGACTGAAGCCAGGAAGGACCACCTCGATGTCCACTCAAAGATGAAGGGTTTTGTATGCTCTCTGTGTGGGAAGAGTTACAGTCGTCAATACGTTTTAAAAATCCATCAGAGGATCCACACTGGAGAGAAACCTCACAAGTGTTTACACTGCGGCAAATCATTCAGTCAGCTTCAACCCCTGAAAGCACATGAGAGGATTCACACTGGAGATAAACCGTGCACGTGTAGTCAGTGCGGGAAGAGATTCAGACAATCATCCAACCTTTATCAACACATGCTGACTCACACTGGAGAGAAAACACACATATGTGACCAATGCGGGAAAGCTTTTATAAGGCCTTCAGCGCTGAGGATCCATCTTGGAGTTCATACAAAGGAGAAGCCGTACTCGTGCTCCGAGTGTGGGAAGAGCTATACAGTGCAGTCGCATCTGAAAGTACATCAGAAGATCCACACTGGCGTGAGAGAGTTTGTGTGCTCCGAGTGTGGGAAGAGTTTTATCCGATCGGGAGGATTGAAACAGCATCAGAGGAGTCACACTGGAGAGAAACCGTACAAGTGTTCACACTGCGACAAGAGATTCAGTCACTTACAAAAGCTGAAACTACACCAGAGTACTCACACTAAAGAGAAACCTTACAAGTGTTCACACTGCGGCAAGAGTTTCAGTCTTCTGCAAAAGCTGAAAGCACACCAGTGGACTCACACTGGAGAGAAGCCATACGCATGTACTCAGTGTGGGAAGAGCTTCACCAAATTATCATATGTTAACAAACACATGAAGATCCACGCTGGAGTCTAGCCCTACAAGTGATCACACTGCGGCATGGGAGCACAATTGTGATACCTAATATCTTCTTCAAACTAACTTTGGTGTCAAAAACGTTTGCGGCTCCATTCCCCCTAACCCTGAGATAAGTGCGTTTACACTGCTTGTAATTTCTCTATTGGCAAACACTAGGGGTCACCAGACTTGTTCCTGTAGGGCCGGTGTCCTGCAGAGTGTAGGTCCAACCCAAGTGTGCCGCAAGCCTGCGTTTGAGTGAAGGTCTCGGCCGTTAGATCGCCCCCTGGGGGCTGGCTGCAGTACAAGTCATAAAGCCCGCCTCCTCCGTGTTAATGAAGGAGACTTGAGCCCAAATAAAAAAATGTATTACACTTGCAATAAAATGTCCCGAAAGATGGTTCTGGTGGATTAAGGCACTGGTTATTGTGCTGAAATAGGTGCAGATCTTCATTTTTGTAAACAGTTTGTTTTTAGCAGTAATTTAATGCTGGGCGTGTCATCGTGATTGACAGCTGTGATTGACAGTTTCTCAAAGCAGCGCGTCTGAGCTTCGGCAGGAGACTGAAGTGTTATTATTCGATTTCTGTGTTATTTTACCATGATAAAATGAGTTCAGCAGTAAACTACAGTTTCTGACATACATGATCCTGGTGGAACACTGTTTATTCGCTAAGTTCAGGGCTTTTTTCGGGCTTTATTAGTTTGCTGATACACGCCTAACCACCCAGATAGCAAAACACAGTTCCGGCTAGATTCTCGCCTGCCGGAGACTTATCCCTTAGAGCTCAGACTGACTACCTCTGCTGGACCTACTCCGGATGCCTGGACTCACTGTCCGATTCCAGCCCGAGTCAATCGAGCCAGATGCGGCGGCCGAGCGAGCCGGCGCTGCCGCATGCGAGCTGGAATCAGCCCGCGACGCCGCGAGTAAGTTATGCGCTGCGTACCGGAGCTGGCGCCATCAGACAGTCCATCAGACAGTCCTTCTGCGCATGTCAAGGCTCCAATTTCAGCAGTCTTTTGCGACAGTTTGTGCCCGTCAAGCAGGCGTTTTGCCCTCAAGGCGTTCAATGGGAAAAAGGGCTGTCGCGTCGTCCATATTTTTTACAGTCATTGGTCCAACCGTAATCAAACACAGCTGATCAAGGTCTTAAGTTCTTTGCACACTGAAGTCTGAAATGTTTGTATGCGTTTTTTTTCGTAATCATATGCAAAAAATTCATCACATAAACAAACCATGCACACTGAGGCCCCGTTTACACTTATGCGCTTTTGTTTTAAAACGCTTAAGTTTTGCTAAGGTTACGCCATCTGTCCACACTACGCCGGAGTTTTCGAGCGCTGAAAACGGAGCGTTTTGGAAACGCTGGAGAGGCCGTTCTCATTCTGAAACGCTGCTGCTCTGTCTCAGTGTGGATGAGGGAAAACGGAGACATCTGAAAACGGAGGCGGGGCTGCCGACATTCGCCTATCTGATTGGGGCTTTTGTGTCATTGCGTATCCTTCCCTTATTCGTCAAGTCCCTATCACATGACTATAACACATGACTTTAACGCTATCGGAAGACAGTACTGTAAACAACAACATGGACACAGAAATGGGAGCGTTGTTTGCACTATTGTCTGTTTTAGGCGCTATTGTGCAGTTATTCGTTACGTTTAGTAACAACTCAACCTCGTCGTCTGTCCACAAAAATACCTCTCTTGCTTTCTTTGCCATCGCGTTTATTGTTCAATCGGCATTTGTTGACTAACAATAACCAAATGCCGAGCGAGATGCATGCTTCCTGTTTATATTAGAACGCGCATGCCCAGAATGCTTGAATGGTCATGTGATATATGTTTTTGGTGGCATAATGTGGACGGAGATATGTTCAGAAACGCTAGGTGACATGCTAGTATGGACCCGGATTGCTTTTGATCTAAAATGCCGTTTTAAAACTAAAACGCACTAGTGTAAACGCGGCCTGAGTCCGTTGCTTACTAATCAATCGATTAGATGAAAACGCAAAACATTTCAGAGTTAGTTTAAGCAGTGATATGTTCTCCTCTCTCTTCTCTGAAGTAGAACCAGAAAGAGGAATATAGGCTGCATGTTGTGTTCATCCAATAGAGAGAAAGGAGAGTTCAGCTCATTATAGAGCTGTGCTGGATAATACCATAGTTAATTTCAGGAAATCGGTAGGATTTTGATAGACTGCTTGTGATACTTCACATATTCACGTGCGTAAACAAAATTCCAATTAAGAGTTCATTTAAAGCTGGGTTTATCCGCCATCATCAAAGGAGACGGGATGGGAAGCGCAACATTTTTGTCTATTATTAAAAGTTTAGAGATAAACTTGTTTATCTCAGGAGTTTTCCTAAATGACCCTGCTGAAAAATCCAGCTTAAACCAGCCTAGGCTGCTTGGCTGGTCGACCAGGCTGGTTTTAGAGGGGTTTTGGCAACTTCCAGGCTGGTTTTCAGCCATTTCCAGCCTGGTCTTAGCTGGTCAGGCTGGGAGATGAACAGCTAAAACCAGCTTGACCAGGCTAGCCAAGCTGGTAGTCCAGCCAAAACCAGCTATATCCAGTTTAAACCAGGCTGGTCAAGCTGGTTTTAGCTGGATTTGGCTGGTCATTTTCTAGCCTGACCAGCTAAGACCAGGCTGGAAATGGCTGGAAACCAGCCTGGAAATAGCCAAAATCCCTCTAAAACCAGCCTGGTCAACCAGCTAAAACCAGCCTAGGCAGGTTTAAGCTGGATTTTTCAGCAGGGGAGACGGTGAAAGTAAAGATTACCTTGAAAATCTTTAAACAGGCATAAACACATTATGGGAGTTCATTTGCTGAAATTTAAATTAAAATCTGTTTTATGTTTGGTGAAACGTATGTTTGTAATGTTTTTGTGCGTGTTATATTAAAAAGAGGGAGAAGAAATCGATGTATGAATGATGTAATGTTTAAATAATGTTCCGTTAAAAACGCGTGAAGGTCATGTGACCATCATGAAAAACGCAGCATCTAAGTTCTCACAGAACGCGTTTTTTTGTCTCTTGCGGTCTTCCGAATTCGTTTTCCCGAGGTGACCTGGCAAGAGCAGTCTTTATAAGAACGCAAGTCCGTTATCTGCCTTCTTGAAAACGAGAATCAGCCACTGTTTTGGTTTGTCGGTGTATTTTTCTTTTGTTTGTCGCTTTAATCGACGACGTTCCTTTGCGCCCGCCCCGCTGTGATGACGCGTTCACTCAGCGTCGAGTCTTCAGAGCTGAGGTGAGTCATTCACGCCCATTCTCGTGTTTACACAACAATAAAACACACTTTACAGTTTATTAAAGCGACAATCTGCGACTAGTTTCTGCATTGAGTTCACCTCTATCTGTGTGTCTGCTGACCAAAACAATACAGCAGGCAGAGAGGAGCTCTGAGAGGACACTATGAGTGAATGTGTTTGAGTTTATCTGTGTTAGTGTGTAGTTTTTACAGGTTTGTGTTCGTTATGTTGTAAAGTATGATCTGTAAAGTGAGATAATAAGAATCTACGATGGCAATTACAGTAACTTTGATGCTCTTTATGTTTTAAAGGGTTTTGTGATTTCCCAGTTTGTGTACATAGCACATAGGCTACATGCTAACAGTCGAAATACTGAATTGATATGAATACTTCTTATTTAGACTAGATATTGATATAAATGTGGTTAAAATAGTACGATAATATGTTTGTCCTGCAAGCGATTAGTGTAAAATTAGCTGATCTTAAATGGATGTTTTTAATCTGAGGCTCATCGATATTATCAGAGCTGCTCCTCTTTATTTCACATCAAAGGTTCCTGTTTTTACTTCAATCATTATACTGATATTTTTTAGAGCTACATATTGACACTTTAAATTAGGCATGGGACGATAACTATTTTCAAGGTATACCCCAGTTGGAAAAGGTCAAGGTTTTAAAACCGATTCCAACCAATTCTGTTCCTAAGGCATGTAAGATTTTTTGTTTGTTTGTTTTGTTTTTTAAGACAACAGTATCTCCAGCAGAAAAGATATCTAAAGATGCCATATTAAATCATAAAAAAGTCTGTTTTTGATACAAACGAAGGCCGCACAAGTCAATAATTAGTTTAGCCTGACATAATTAATTTTCCAAAATATTTTAAATGTTTCTCAAAATAAAACATACTGTTCAAAAGGGGAAAAAGTTTTTGTGATTAGAACATTTAAAAAATAATTTTTTAAACATTTTAGAACAGAATTCACAATACCGTGATTTTTTTATCCAAGGTTTTATACCATCAGAATCATATACAGGCCCATGCCTACTTTAAATACATTTCATGATGTTAGCTGACTTAGATCACATATTGTGTCACCTACATGATGTAGTTATAAATGATTTATTATACCAATCAGTGTAAATTAATCAAATTTCTCTGTTTATTGCTCTGAACTCCATCAGTGAAAGACAAAGACAAAGAGTTTATTGAAGGACAGTGAGAAGATGAGTGATCCAGAACCCTGCAGAATTAAACAGGAAGAGACTGAAGAACTAATAGGTTTGTGTTTATTCATTACTCTTCAATAATGAGGCTGAACAACAGTGAGGTTATTAATCTTTAAGCACTTCATCAGTTTTAGTTCTGTCTCATATCACTTTTCATTTATCTTAACATTTTTTGTGTGTGTGTGTTTTAGAATATGGCATGCTGTTTTTTTAATGAAGTACAGTTAAAACTTTAAAACTGTCCAGTGTAAGTGGCTGTATCAGATATCTCCCTTTATACAATTAAAATCTAGCCCTAATGGTCACTAAAATCCAGCTCTTAAAATGTAACCAATTTACTTAATTTTCAGATGTGGTGGTAAAGGAGGAGAGCGAAGAACTGAGTGAAGATGAGGAGAAACATGTCAAGAGTGAAAATGAAACTCACACAAACACTGAACATAGGTGCACCTGCACTCAGTGTGGAAAGAGTTTTGGGCGAAAATACGGTCTCATAGTTCACATGAGGATCCACACTGAAAAGAAACCTTACAAGTGTTCACGCTGCGACAAGAGATTCAGTAAGTCGAAACATCTGAGAGCACACAAGAAGATTCACACTGGAGAGAAACCGCATCACTGCATTGATTGTGGGAAGAGTTTCAGGGATACATTTACTCTACAGAGACACGCAAAACAATTTCACGGTAAGTAGATCATCTAAATATCCAGCCCTTCCAGGTCGTAATAGTTAAGATTGTCAACTTTAATTCTCATGCATCAAATTTGAGCACCAAAATGTTCTATTATTATGCCTCGCTAAAAAGAGATGGGATGTCCAGTGTTTCCTCTAGGATTTTTTCCAGCTGTGGCGGCAGACTCTGTTGGCCATTTTACACAGATCTACCACTACATGTGGCGTTATTTCATTGACAAATGTCATGGGCGCAGTATTAAGTCGAGATCGCATTCATGTAATAGACTACGAGCATGTCAATCTCTGCTTGAGCGCAGATTTCGTCTGTTCGTGCACAAAACTTCTTGCGCATCCTCAAAAATATGCTGCTTAAGTGCAGATTTTCTTGTGCGCCCTCAAATAAGCGCGGCTGAAGTGTGATTTAGTGCGTTTATGTACCGAGTATGTCTCCAACATTTATTAGATTTGCTAGGAATATTTATGAATGTTTCTGATTGACTTGCGGAGTGGACCGCGGCATTAATGTGTCCTGAAGTAAAGTGAAGCGGCTATAAACTCCAGCAAGATAAAGTCATTATATGCAGAGCCACAGACCTTTATCTATAAATAAAGTATAATTGGTGAAGAAGGAGCTGAGCTCCCCCCGGAGGAGCTGGACGAATTGTCTGGGGATAGGGAAGTCTGGGGTTCTCTCCTAAGACTGCTGCCCCCGCGACCCGGCCCCGGAAAAGCGGCAGAAGATTAATGAATGAATGAGGATGAATGAATAAAGTATGATTATGGAAACTGTGTTCATCATAACTGAAAGCTACGACGTGTTTGCTGGTCTCACGCACCTGTCAGTCAGTCAGCACGTCACTTTAAAGGGTTAAACAGCACGCACAGCACTACTACGGTCACAGAAAAGTTTGCGCTGTTATTATTCACTTACCTTTTCATACGTTTTCGGTGCGATTTGTAACCTGCTATTTAAAACACGACAGAATATTTTAAATAAGAAGCTGTAATGTAGCCGTGACGGGATGAATTTTGGTGTGGCGCCCCACCACGGAAGAATGAATGTAGAGGAAACCATGGATGTCTGTATATGTATCTGAAGTGTATTTAATTTTCACGTTTTATCAACATATCGGAATAAAGGGCCTACAATATAACTGTGAAAATCTTGAGCTTTCAGTTTCAAGAGTTGTGGATTGTGGATCTCCTGTTTCGTTCTCGACTGATCACATGTCTGCTCTTTGTTTTTATTTATTGTTCAGAGATGACTGAATCCATGAAGGTCCACCTCAATGTTCGCACAAAGATGAAGGGTTTTTTATGCTCTCTGTGTGGGAAGAGTTACAGTTGTCGAAACAGTTTAAAAATCCATCAGATGATCCACACTGGTGAGAAACCTCACAAGTGTTTACACTGCGGCAAATCATTCAGTCAGCTACACACCCTGAAGGCACATGAGAGCATTCACACTGGAGAGAAACCGTACACATGTTCCCAGTGCGGGAAGAGATTCAGACAACCATCAAACCTTTATCAGCACAAGATGATCCACACTGGAGAGAAGCCGTATACATGTACTCAGTGCGGGAAGAGTTTCAGGCAATCATCAAACCTTCATCAACACATGATCGTCCACACTGCAGATAAAACACACGAATGTGATCAATGCGGGAAAACATTTTCAACGCTTTCAGTGCTGAGGATCCATCTTAGAGTTCATACAAAGGAGAAACCGTACTCATGCTCTGAGTGTGGGAAGAGTTTTACAGTGCAGTCGCAGTTCACAGCACATCAGAAGATGCACACTGGCGTGAGAGAGTTTGTGTGCTCTGAGTGTGGGAAGACTTTTATTACAGCAGGAGGATTGAAACAGCATCAGATGATCCACACTGGAGAGAAACCTTTCAAGTGTTCGCACTGCGACAAGAGTTTCGGTCGCTTGCAAAAACTGAACATACACCAGAGGATTCACACTGGAGATAAACCGTATACATGTACTCAGTGTGGGAAGAGTTTCAGTCACTCACCAAGCCTTCATCATCACCTGCTGATCCACACCGGAGAGAAACCTCACAAATGTGATCAATGCGGCAAAACATTTTCGAGGCTTCCAGGACTGAAGGACCATCTTCGACTTCATACAAACGAGAAGCCTTATTCCTGTTCTGAGTGTGGAAAGAGCTTTACATCGCGGTTGTATTTAAGGAGACATCAGAAGGTCCACACTGGTGTGAGTGAGTAATACGTGCTGGGAGTGTAAGAAGACTTATATTACAACTGGGAGCTTGAAACGACACCAGAGGATTCACACCAGAGAGAAACCTTACACAAGTACTGAACATGGGAAGAGCTTCACAAAATTTAACCCTTAGGCCGTACTTACACTAGGTACAGTTGCCTCAAACTGGGCCAAAGCACGCTTGTCCTCCCTCCCGTCTCCTCCGACGGCCCGCACTCACACCACAATCTGGCCTGGGCACGCTTGCGTCATCGATGCTGCGCTGTTCAGTGAGAAGCGCTCTCTCACTCAGCAGCACAGTGGAGATTTCTCTAGTTATATCGTGTCAGTCGTTTGATATGCAGTGACATGCAGTCAAATATTTCGCCAAACAGTCCTTAGGGATGCGGTGACTCGCAGTCATATTTAAACAATCATAAAGCCCTCGTGCTGCAGGAATGAGGAGGTCTTCTGAAGGTGCGCAGCTGTGGTTTATTGAGGGGTTTGCGTCTTTAATAAACTACGGCAGTTTGCGTTCACTGAACAGTAAGAATGATTAATAAATCCATATGAAACAGCCCCTTAAAGTCACGTCTCACTTCAGTTTCGGGCTTTTTGCACTCACACTACAAAGTACCGCGCCAAAGCCCAAGTGAACCGCGCTCAGGCCCACACCTCTTCCAACCAGGCCAGGGCCGGCCAAGTGAACCGTGCCTGAGCCCGAGCACTCACACTTCTCAAACGATCTGGAAAACAGGCCTGGGCACGGTTCGGATAGCATAGTTTGAGTAGGCCCTTAGATAAATGTGTTTACACTGCTCTGCTACTAGTTCCCGGAGGGCCGGTGTCCTGCAGAGTTTAGTTCCAACCATAATCACGCTTGAATACACTGATTAAGGTCTTAAACCTGTCCCCAGGTCTCTACACTGGCTCCCAGTTGTATTCAGAATACATTTTAAAGTATTATTACTGGTCTATAAATCACTAAATGGCCTAGGACATCACTACATTACAGATGATCACTCAGATCATTAGGATCTGGTAAACTAGAAATTACAGAAGTTGGGTCGAAGCAGGGTGAGTCCTCTTGGCCACTGCACGATCGAGCACTGAACAACTACCGACAGATCGCACATCAGGTTTTATCATCACATTTTTATCTGTTTTTATTTCTTATACATGTTTCTCTTGTTTATGTAAAGCACTTATCTGTGTTGAGTTATATTTGTTTATGAAATGTGCTTAAGAAATTAACTTGCCATTCTTGAAACTTTTGGCATACTTGTAACTTACAGGCTGATGTGTTGAGGCAAGTTAGAGCTAAACTCAGCAGGGACACCAGCCCTCCAGGACTGAGATTGGTGATCCCAGCTCTAGAGCAGGGATCAGCAAACTTGTTCCTGGAGGTCCAGAGTCCTGGAGATTTTAGCTCCAACTCTAATCAAACACACCTGAACAAGCTAATCAAGGTCTTACTAGGTGTACTTGAAACACCCAGGCAGGTGTGCTAAAGCAAGTTGGAGCTAAACCCTGCAGAGTCCTCAGCCATCCATGACCGAGATAGGTGACCCCTGCTCTAGAGAGTTCCTCTAAGGCCCTAACACCAGACTTGGTGTGGAAGCCGGTGCTTGGCCCATTATGTTGTCTTGCTTGGTCAACCTGCATTCTGGAAATTGGTGCCTGCAAAGCACGGTCAATGCGTCAGTCAGCCACTGTGAGTTCCCCCCTCCTCCTTAGGCAAACCTGTCTTCCATACCAGGTAAACATCATACCCCAGGGATGTCCAAACTTGGTTATGGAAGGCTGGTGTTTTGCATATTTTAAGTCCAACCCAAACTAAACGAACTGAACCAGCTAATCAAGCTCTTTTTAGGTATACTTGAAACATCCAGGCAGGTGTGTTGAAGGACGTTGTAGCTGAACTATGCAGGACACCAGCCCTCCAGGACCGAGTTTGGACACATCTGTCTTACTCATGTGCAGTACTCCTCCTGGATAGGGAGAGTCCAAATGTGTGTGTTTTCACAAGGGTTCCCCAATTTGGGTACTGAGGGGACTTCTTTTTTTTATGACTGGAACGCTTTCCCAATGTACGTTGTATCATAAAAATCTCTAGTTTTACGACTTGACTTAGGCATGCAAAAACAAATAAACTAATAAAACAACAACAATCAATTTGTTTAATAAAATTTTAACCAGCTTTAGGACAAAGAAACAGCATCTAAATTTCTAAAGCAGTTTCATTGTGGGATTCAGATCAGCTTATAAATGGAGTTCCTCACCAAACAACATTATCTGAAGCTTTTATTATTGTGGGCCTGTGTCATCTTCTTGATAAAATTCATGCAATTATGTGAAGTATCAAAATACAAAGCATGTTTTTTTTTAATTTATAATTTATATTCACAGTCTGTGTTTGGTAGTTTTAATAAATAAAAATATTAAAAGGAAATTTAGACGTTTAATAAAAGTTTGGCAATTGTAGATTTGTGTTTTATTTCAACAAAGTTATTTGCAAAATAAAAACAGTCAAAATGTCCGCCTCTGCAGTTCAAGAGTTAAACTGGTTCTTGGTTATTTTTAATCTATACACTTACTAAACTTAATACGTTTGTTGTTTTTGAATATTTTTTCTATTTTGGTAAATGTAGTTACCATAGGAATCAGCCATAAATTACGAATTACAAATCTGTCAGCCATAAATTACGTTTGCTTTTTAAATTTTTAAGTGCCATATATATAGTATTAAATCTTGCACGAGATTAAGGCGATTTTTGTCTCTACATTAGACATTATGTAATTTTTTTTGATTGTCGTGTTTATTTATTTCTTATTTATTTATATTTTTTATTAACAAGAACCAGCATGTACAGTTTTCTTATTCAATAAAATCACTTTACATATCTTATTAAGAATGAAATAAGTGAGAAAAAAAGGGAAATTGAAGAAAACAAAATGAGGAGAGGGTACATAATTATCAAATTAATTAACTTTCAAATTACATACAAATATATTGCGCACATTTTCTAATTTTAGTTATTAACAAGAGTTTTAATGCACTTTTACTACAGGAAATGCATATATACAAACCTTTTTATGTAAAATTGGTAAAGGAGCAGCATATACTAATTGTTTTAATTGCTTTTCTATTTTTAGACTTGGAAATCACTTTTATATACATTTGAATCTCTTTTTCTAGCACCATGAAGAAAGGTTTGCTTTTGGCAAACTTGGATTTATGTACACTGAAAAAAAATAAATCCGTAAAATTTGCGATAAAAAAATGGCAGCTGTGGTTGCCAGTACTTTACCGTTAAAAATACGGTTCAAACCGTAATAGTAATTTCTCGTTTTTACAGTAAACTACCGTATCTCATAATTTTATAGATGTTCTATGTCTGTATCTTGAATTAGCAACATCTACACATATATTGTTACATGGCATGTTAACAGCCATTTGCTAGTGGAGATGAGTAAGATTCATAATGAACCGACGCTCATCACAAACAACTTTTCCCACAAGCAGAAAAATATATAGGTGCATAGAAGGTGCTCAGTGTCATTCTCACAGCTACTAAACACCAGTACGGTGACACGCATAAAATAAAAGTCATTAAACAAGCATTGTTTATCAACATTAGATGAAACATAAATCTCTATTGTACATAGCTGATGGGGAAACAGCTAAAAAGATCCACAGTAATGTCAACAAAAAGCATATAAAGTGATGTGCCATGCAGGCGATTCTGGGAAAGTCAAGTTACGGTTATTCGCTGTATATATTAAGGAAACATACCGTTAAACAGGTTATGGATTTTCACTGTAGCATTTTTACAGTTTTTTACCATTGAAATCACGGTCATCTTTTACATGTGAAATTTACCTAATAATTAAATAAAGTTTAAAATAAAACAGGCATCTTTTAAAGAGCGATCCTTAACATAATAACCCAAAATCACATGTTTATAAGATAAGGAAAAGGATTTTAAAATATTATGAGCAATAAAAGCTTCAACATTTATCCAAAAGAGTTGAGTATATTGGCTAGACCAAAATAAATGTGAAATAGTTTCATTAAAGCTTTCACAAAAACAGCATTCTAACTCAGTATCAATGTTAAATATTTGTAGAAATAGATTTGTAGAATAAACTCTATGAAGTAATTTAAATTATATTTCTTTAGCCTTATTTGTAATTTAAAAAACTAAGGTAATATTACTATTAATATTAATATTATTATATTATTATTATTATTAATATATTATTAAAGATATTGTTCCAGTAAAAAAACAACACAAAGTATAGACATATTTTCATTTTAAGATTAAATATCTAATTTTGTGCCTATTAAGCTTAAATCCAGAGAAACAGATAAAACCAACTGAGGTTTCTTCAGGTTTAGGAGGACCAACAGAAAGTGCCGATGTACATGCACTGCCTTTGCACAGCATATGTGTGCCAGCAGGTATCGCCCCCCTTAGTATTGTAAATTCCTGTAATGTAACAGGAATTTTGTATCTTGCCAAGAATTCTGTAAATGTAAATAAAGTTCTGGCATTATCAAATAATTTATTAACTAATAATAGTTTATCAATTATTAATAGCCCGTTGTTAAACCAATTGTTTAAGAAAAGTGGCGTATTTCTATACTAGATATTGGCATTATTCCAAATAAGAAGGCTATTTGGGGAGAAGTTGTGTTTATAAATAAGCCTCCATTTTGTAAGCACTTGTTGGTGAAATTTAGAGTTTGATTGGGAGTTTTTCAATTTCAGAATTACACAATAAAAGAAATTCCAAACCACCCATATGAGAGAAAATAAAACGGAGGATAATATTCCAGATAGAAGAAGTATTTATAAGAAATTGACTTATCCAATTAATTTTTAAACACCATTTATGGAGTTAAAATCAGTAAAGCTTAGACCGCCCTTGTGATAAGAATTTAGCATTGCTGATTTTTTTAATATAATGAATTTTGTTTTTGCAAAGGACTTTTGTCAACATTCCAATTAGTTTGTGTGTTTATCAACTGAAATGGGCAGCATATAACAATCTAGAAATACCTTCTGCTTTAGTGAGCAGAACTCTACCTTTCATTGATAGATCTCTTTGTAGCCAATGGTTTGTGTTTTTTCAATAATCGGAAGAAAATCGGAAATACATCTACTTTTATCATCTTTAATTGTTTTAATTCCCAAATATTGTCGCGTTTATTGACGACGCTCCTTTGCGCCCGCCTTGTCTTGATGACGTCAGCACCGACGCGTTCATTCAGCGTCGAGACTTTCTTGCGGTGAGTCGATGATTCTTTTTTCATCTTTAAAAAACACAGTTTGCTATTTATTAAAATCTGCGACTAGTTTCTGCATTGAGTTCACCTCTATCTGTGTGTCTGCTGACCAAAACAATACAGCCAGCAGCTCTGAGAGGACAATATGAGCTCTGTGTCTGTGTATTTTTTACAGGTTTGTGTTCGTTATATTGTAAAGTGTTATCTGTAAAGTGAAATAATAGGAATATACAGCGGCAATTATAGTGAATTTGATGTAGAAAACTTGAAATAAATACTTTTAGGTGCTCTTTGTTTTAAAGGGTTTCATGATTTCCCAGTTTAGCACATAGGCTACATGCTAACAATCAAAATACTTGATTGATATGAATACTTCTTATTTAGACTAGATATTGATATAAATGTGATTAAAATAGTACACTAGTATGTTTGTCCTGCAAACTATTAGTGTAAAATTAGCTGATCCTGAATGGCTGTTTATAATCTGTGGCTTATCAATATTATCAGAGCTGCTGAAATCCTCTATTTCTTATCAAAGGTTTCTGTTTTCACTTTAGTCATTATGCTGATGTCTTCAGATCTACATATTGACACTTTAAACTAATTTAATTGATGTCAGCTGACTTTAATAGCATATTGTGTCACCTACAGGATATAACACATGATGTTTTGTTTCCTCAATCAGTGTAAATGAATCAGATTTCTCTGTTTGTTCCTCTGAAGCTCTGCCGCCATCAGACAAAGACAGAGTTTATTAAAGGACAGTGAGAAGATGAGTGATCCAGAACCCTGCACAATTAAACAGGAAGAGACTGAAGCACAAATAGGTTTGTGTTTGTTTATTCATCACATTAATAATCAGGCTGAAGGACAGTGAGGTATCTTTAAGCACTTCTTCAGTTTTAGCCATATCACTTCATTTATCTCAACATTTTTTGTGTTTAAGAATATGGCATGCTGTTTTTCAACAAAGTTAAAACTTTAAAATGTTTTAGTCTCAGTGGCTAAATCATATCTTCCATTATACCTCTATATACCTTTAAAAATCTAGCCAAAATGGCCACTACATTCTAGCTCTTGAGATGTAATTTATTTACTTAATTTTCAGATGTGATCCTGGAGGAGGAGAGTGAAGCACTGAGTGAAGATGAGGAGAAACATCATGTCAAAAGTAAAAACTGAAACTCACACAAATGAGAATGTTAATTAATTACTCTTCAATATTGAGGCTGAACAACTGTGAGGTTTAAGCACTTTAGCAGTTTTAGTTTAGTTTTAGTTTCATATTACCTGTACTTTTATCTTAAGATTTGTTTGAAACATTAGTCCCAACTAAATAAACTTCACCACCAAAACACTGTTTTTATTACAGTTAGTCAGATTAAACAGTAAAACTATATATTTTTTATGTTAGGGTTGTCCACTTTCTGAAATTGGATCTTAATACCTGGTTTAGAGCCCTGAGTCAGTCTGTTGTTTGTTTTTAACCCACTCCTGCTTGAATATTTTTTGGTGTAAGTGTTTGTGTTCACACCAGCCCACTTCCACAGACAATAGCCCCTTTCTTGGAACGACTTTACCGGTAAATTCACAAAAGGGGAGGACGTTACGAAATTTTCCCGGAAAGGACCGTTCACACATCCATTCCAAAATACCGGTAATTCTGACATCATTAACCAGAAATGAGCTCTAAACGGCTGTGCTTGTATTTGTAAATATTAGACTACATTACAAACTCTGTGGATGGATCAGTGTTGTGAACAACTTCCATGAAAACATGGAGGAACACTTTCGCATGTGGAGATGTTCATAATATGTGTGTGCTGGCGCTTCATGTGCACACATGTTACATCTTGAAGGTAAACAAACAACGGCATATCATAAGCATCTTATCGATAATTTATTACACAGTTGGCATTAAGAAGGAACATATAAACGTTATCTGACTAACCTCTAGCAGCTAAATGTGTCTGGAAAAATATTTACAGGCTCATACGCTCATATATTTTCATAAACCATGCGTCTGACTTCTGATTGGTTAAAGTAGATGTGTTACGTCAGCGCGTTCTAGACGTGAACATGCTATTTCCGGCAATCTTCCTTCTATGTTCACACGGCGCAGCATTCCGGCAAATTACCGGTAATGTTACAACTTCTCTTTCCGGAAAAAAATAGCCGGAATGAATTTACCGGTATTTTCAAAAAGGGCCTGTTCACATATACAGACCTTTCCAGAAAAGTTCTTTATGTGTGAGGGGCTTTTCTATCTGAGTTTTTTAAAAATGTACACACATTATTAGATTTAATATTAAATCAAGTTAACTACCAGAACAACATGCTTAAAATGTGGAAGAAGTAGGACCAATAATCTGATTTGACCAAGTAGGACATGTTCTTGGATTAACATCTATGTTGATCGTAAAACAACACTCCAATCAGCCAATCAGAATAGAGGAATACATTAACAGTTTGTCAAGTTTAGGCAGAGCTTAAGTTGTGCTGGAACACGCTGTAACCAATTTGAATTAAAATGAGCACCTCATTTTACCGATCCCCCTTCTTAACTGCCCTTCTCCCCCGTCCGCTGTTCACTTTCACTTTCTTCCACGACTCTCCAATCCTGTTTACTCTTCCTGTTACTTTTCACTTTCGTCCTCCGTCCGCGACACCCCTCCAACCCTCCGTCATCCGCTGTCGCGTCATCCAGGTGGATGCTGCACACTGGTGGTGGATGAGGTGAACTAACCCCCCACCCCCCCCCCCCCACCCCCCCCCCCAAACTGTCTGAAGGTATTTGAGTGTCCAGAATGTTACAATATGTTATGTATATAGACAGCAGGATGGGAGGATGTGACAGACCATGTATGGTTTGTAGTGTATGACGGCATTGTTGTGCGCATGCATGTGAAGTAAAGGAAGCACAGTGAAAACCTGCGTGTCTGAGATTCATTGATATATAGAGTGATAGTTGAGAATTAGAGTTAACTAAGCATAAACACAGAAAAGCACTTTATAAATGTAAGGAAATATTGTTATCCAACTATCATTCCCCTCTGTTTTTGAAAGCAATTGACACTTATGGTTGGGTTTAAGAGGAATAGGTATGGATTACATTTTCCAACAAAAAATGTTAAAAAGTATTACTCCAGGATTGCATTGTACTTGGCAAATCATGAAATAAAAATATAACATTATTTAACATTATATATAACATTAACATTAATAAAACAACTAAATGACAGCTAATTTCAGTTTTTTTAAAATGACAAACAGATATCTGTTAAAGTTAATAAGCAAAAGCACAATATGAAGTACCTTTAACGTATTAAATCAACACATAAACAACTAATACAATAGGCTAAAATGTTCACAAGTTATTGCAAAAATGTAAATAATGGCCTACTAAAAAATAAATCAACAAATTCTTACACCATTTGAACATTCACTCAAATGCTCATGAATACGAGCGCTTGTGTGTTTTGCTGAGATGTTTAAGTAGTCAAATGTTTTGGTGCCTCAGCTTTTATTGACCTTATTCTAAAATGCGGAAGTGCGATTGTTTTCGCGATTGTCTTAGAACTTCCGTTTCAGTCGCCTATGGGGGAAATGACAAGGAATAATAAACGGCAAAAAACGGTCAAACTACTTGCTCTACAAACAAATGTTTGCATGACTATACAGACCAAGTAGAATAATTTAACAAGGAAATATCAGTTTACAACATCAAACAGCAAAACGAGCAGTTTTTAATGTCTAAAAATGAATGGATGTGAATGAGACAGGAAGTCTCGTGCCAAAAAGATTCAAATGGCAGCGCCCACTCGTCTGCGGAGAAAAAGGTGAATACCACAATTTAAATATAAACACTGAACTCGTGTTAAACGCCTAACCTTTTTTAACTTTATTTTGAATTATTTTAGATTACAATCTATCCTTGCGCACTGTCTACTATAACCCACTATAATGAGACGTATTTACTTTTTTTTTCAGATGTGAAGGAGGAGAGTGAAGCACCGAGTGAAGATGAGGAGAAATATCATGTCAAAAGCGAAACTGAAACTCAGTCAGACATGGAACAAAGTGTTTTAATGAACAACACAGCTGTAAACAATTTCATCTGCACTCAGTGTGGAAAGAGTTTCAGCCGCAAGTGCAGTTTCAGTCTTCACATGAAGACCCACACTGGAAAGAAACCTTACAAGTGTACACAGTGCGACAAGAGATACCGAAATTCAAGACATCTGAGATCACACATGAAGAGTCACCCTGGAGTGAAACCGTTTCACTGCATTGATTGTGGGAAGAGATTTGCAGATTCAACTTCTCTACGAACACATGCGATAACATTTCATAGTAAGTTGATCGTCTACAGATCCAACCCTTCCAGGTTTTGTTATTAAGGTTAATTGTGGAGTTTATAACATATTTAAAGGGGTTGTATAATGTGACTTGATGTCTTTATATGAGATCCATAAAGTCTCAAACACTAACGCTTCAATGCCAAAGAGATATTCTTGCTCTTGATATTGAAATGCTCTCAGTTTTTATTATTTCTGGTGAAACTGGTGAATTTAATGCGTCCCTCGACTCGATAATGTAAACTGCACAGATTTAAGGCCCTGGTATACTTTAAATAAGTTATTTGAGGCTAAAAAGAAGTTTGAATACACTGTTTTTAAACCTTCAGACACCCTCCGCTGGAACAAATGGGTCACAATGCTCAACTAGCCTTCTAAACGCAACATGATTGGTGACTGAGGGAAGAGTTGAAACAGCGGCACACCTTATTACTTTTTATTTGTCATAGGTCTCAAACTTGATTCCTAAAGGGCCGCCACTCTTCAAAGTTTTGCTGTATTTGTAATTAAAGACACCTGATCCAACTAATGAAGGTGTTTAAGACTGATAGAAACTATTAAGCAGGTGTGTTTTGGAGCTAATCTGTGCAAAGCTGTGGGAACTGTGTTTGAGACGATTGCCGTAAACAATCACTGAATAAAACGATGTTTAGAATTTTATTAATTTTAGGTGTGGATGCATCTGTTCCAGCTCTGCTACTTGACCCTCCAGTTTATTCATGTTGCTATATTTTGGTATTGTAGTGCTAGATATTTTTTTTAAACTGCATGAATATGAAGCCCCGATTGCATATTTTTCATAGATCAATGGCAGCTCAACAAGTGTATGGACTCCAAGTAGGGGGTGTAACATAAAGGGGTGTAACTTGTAGTAAGTTAGAGAGGCATTTAGCAACTCCACCATGCACCTCACTGACTCTTAATCCATTTTGTCATGACGGCCTACTCTGCGTTACCCCCTGGGGTTGCAAATAACAGTACAACGGCTAGCATGTCATGTATGAAAACCGTTTAAGACCGTACGTTTAAGAACTGTGATTGTTGGGTTTAGGAAGGTATATACATTAATAACTGTGATGGTTTAGGTTTGGGAAGGTGTAGACGTTAATAACTGTGATGGTTGGGTTAAGGTGTAGAGTAGGTGTTGACGTTAATACCTGAGGGTTGGGTTTAAGATTGAGGTAGTTGTAGACATTAATTACTGTAATGGTTGAGTTATGGGTTGGGGAAGGTGTAGACGTTAATAACTGATGGTTTGGGAAGGTGTAGACGTTAATAACTATGATGGTTGGGTTTAAGGTTGGTGTAGACGTTAATAACTGTAATGGTTGGGTTTAGGTATGGAGTAGGTGTAGACGTTAAAGGGTCACGAAACACCAGAACACATGTGTTGATCTGTTGACAGTGGTATATGTGTCCCACACTGCTAAAAACACTATTAGGACGCCTATATTTCACTAAAAAGTGTAAATTGGTTGTTTTTGCGTTATTTCAAGCAAATTCGTACTTCCTGTTTGAAACTAATTTTTGAAGCTGCGTCACGGCCATGACATAATAGCGTATATTCCAGCCTGCAGACTGGACGTCTGTGCCAGAGTGAGTCTTATTACGTCTTACAGTGTGATGCATTAATGCATGAGTAAAGCTTGGTTCAAACCAATCAGCGCGCTCTATTGTGCAACTTCATTACTGTCACAGTGTTTAGACGACATAGACGCCGCGTTGTGTTGGCAAAACAAGCGTGAAGTGTTGCTTTTATAGTTTGCTGCAGTTAAGTTTCGTTTTCATTTTCTCTCTGTGAGAGCTCAGACTCACGTGTGGATTAACAGTGTACGCGACGCTCGACAACAATAACTTACGTGTCTAAGGAGGATTATTGTTTACCTGAGAGCTGTTCTCATCTGCAAACGCTGAGATCCGGATTCGCTTGTAGTCTCCTCTTCATAAAGACGCGGCTCTAGTTGCTGGTGATTGTCCTGTCTCTACAGATTTGGTGAGCAGAGTGAGCGACCAGTGCTCTTTGTTTATTCAGTTTGTTCGTATCGCACAACAACCAAACTTTAACCTTGTGTAGGGTTTTTACCGCATTGTGACCGGAATAAAACACGCGACTTGCTGACGCTACCTGCCGTGTGCATCTAAGTTTCCGGGAAATGCGGAGGTTTTTTCTCTCATTCGCCGTGCGGTATCAAACATTGCATGAAAAATACACGCTTAGAGCAGCTCCTCGAATCAAATATCTCGTTTGTCGCGAGGGACATGAATGAATTCCCTGAATGAAAGAGTCAAACTGCAGTTAAAGTCCAACATTTAATAATTTGGCAAATAATTCGACTACAGATGTCCATGTAGGTTAAACACCATCACTTTCTCCTGTGTGATTGTGTGTATTTTGACTCTGACACTCGCGTGTGCCCAAATAGACACTCCCACACCATCCCACTTTTCTTCCTCTGACACTCCCCCCTAAACAGAACTGGACACGCCCACTTTTCTGACTTTTTCCAAAGTAGAGTTGTGAAAACACCCTGCTGAAACGAGGGGGTTTCATGGCCCTTTAATAACTGATAGTTGGGTTTAGGGTTAGGGTTAGGTGTGGAGTAGGTGTAGACGTTAATAACTGATAGTTGGGTTTAGGGTTGGGGTTGGTCTAGACGTTAATAATGATGATGGTTGGGTTTAGGTGTGGAGTAGGTGTAGACGGTAATAACTGTGATGATTAGGTTTAGGGTTTGGGAAGGTGTAGACGTTAATAATGATGATGGTTGGGTTTAGGGTTGAGGAAGGTGTAGACGTTAATAACGATGATGGTTGGGTTTAGGGTTGAGGAAGGTGTAGACGTTAATAACGATGATGGTTGGGTTTACGTTTGGGGAAGGTGTAGACGTAAATAACCATTATGGTTGGGTCAAGGATTGTGGTAGGTGTAGACAATAATAACTGATGTACAGTGCCATCTTTCCCACAACATAGTTTTGACATGTGAGTCTCAAACTTCGTTTTGCCTCCAATATACTACAAGTTATGTCTCTTAATGTTACCCCTCTCTCTCGCAGTCCGCAGACAGACCCTACTCCAGCTCAAAGGTGTTTATTAGCTAAAACGCACCCCCCAAGAAGTTTGATTTGGCTGAGCTTTTTACACCTGACGAAATGAACTCAAAACAAACTTAGTTTTGGCCTTGTGTTGCTGCTGATCTGACGGCAGTACCAAATTTAACAACATGTTTTCGCTCTAAACCCACTGCTTAAGCTCAGTCGAGTGCTTGTAATAAATCATTCCATGAGAGGATGTCATAGATATGTGTTTATTAGACACGTTTAATCAAAAGAAGCTGTTGAATCCTCTGCTCTGTTTGATTTCCTGATCGTGGCTCTTCCTTGTGGTGTATTTGCAGTTTTCAAAAGAGAGAGCGCCCTCTGGCTTTCAGAGTAGATGTACAATTGATCACAGAGCCTTGTTTGCCTGACAACATGTGCATGAGAATGGCATCTTTGCATTTAAAAGTTGCTTTAATTTCAATTAATTATGAAGCCCTAGATAGACATGACATTGACATTTATGATGCTGTTAGAAACATGTATACATACACCACCCCGATTGTTTTGATACGTATTGTTTCTTGCCAAGTATAAGTGCACATATTTGCAATGAAAACATGCCGATTGATTAATTGTCTGCGTCTTTCACATTTTTCTCTTCTTGTCTTTGATTAATTTTCAGAACAGAGTGAAAACATGAAACTCTACCTCAATGTTCGTTCGAAGAAGAGGCCGTATGTATGCTTATCATGTGGAAACAGTTACAACCATCCAGACAAATTAAAAAAACATGAGGTTGTCCACACTGGAGACAAACCTTTCCCGTGTTCACACTGCGGCAAATCATTCAGCCAGTTAGGAAACCTGAAACTACATGAGAGGATTCACACTGGAGAGAAACCGTACAAGTGTTCACACTGCAGTAAGAGCTTCAATCAGTCTGCAAATCTGAAAACGCATGAGATGATGCACACCGGAGAGAAGCCATTCGCATGTCCTGAGTGTGGGAAGAGATTCAGACACTCATCGCACATGGGTCGACACATGAAGACACACACTGGAGAGAAACCACACGAATGTGAGCAATGCGGCAAAACGTTTTTGACCGTTTCAGAGCTGAAGGAGCATCGTAGGGTTCACACGAAGGAGAGGCCTTATTCATGCTCGGAGTGTGGAAATTGTTTTACACGACTGACAAGTTTAAGAAAACATGAGAAGATCCACACTGGTGTGAAAAATCATGTGTGCGGCGTGTGTGGGAAGGCTTTCATTTCATCTGGAGACTTGATACGGCACAAGAGAACTCACACTGATGAGAAGCCATACATATGTGTCGATTGTGGGAAGAGCTTCAAGAAATTATCATATCTCAGTAAACACTTGAAATTCTGCCCTGGAGGGAAAACGCAAAACTGATCAACGCAGCAAAACATTTTTGAGTGCTTCAGAGCTGAAGAAACATCTTTGAGTTCATACAAAGGGGAAGCCGTAAGGAAGATTTTCGGTCGTGCTGATCGTCAGTGTTTTTTGAGGCGCTTTTCACTATTTGTTGGCATGAGTGTACACTAAATCACTCCCTGACCTTAGATCAGGGATCACCAAACTTGTTCCTGGAGGTCTGGTGTGCAGATTGTAGCTCCAACCCAAATCAAACACACCTGAACAAGTTAATCAAGATCTTACTAGGTATACTTGAAACACCCAGGCAGGTGTGTTGAGGCAACATGGAGCTAAACCCTGCAGGGCACCGGACCTCCAGGATTGAGATTAATGACTCCTGCCTTAGATAATCATATAAGTCATAAAAGAAAAGAGAAATTAATCCATCAAATCTTGATCTTTAATTACTCTCCATATTTACCAGAATGTCTCCCTCCGGCTAACATTTTTGTAGTCACTGTTGAGTTTATCATACAACTCTTAGTGTTCAGACATCAATGAAAAAAGCAGCCCCTCATTCGTCAGGGATGGCGTGAAACTGACATTTCAAGTTGTCTAGATCCTGATGCGCAAGTGTTTCGAAACACTGCACTGAAGCGTGATCCGAAACACCCAGATCATGTAACTAAAACGATTCTAAGCATTAGACATTTCAGAAGCCTTTCAAAACCTGGTGAATCTGCGTTTGATTGGCAGTGTGGGAAGAAAACTCTGTTTTAAGTAGCCTAATAAGAATAATTCCTTTCATTTATATAGCGTTTTTCTGGGTACTCACAGCGCTTTACAAAATGGGGAGGGGGGGAATATCCTCATCCACCACCAGTGTGCAGCATCCACCTGGATGACGTGACGGCAGCCATTTTGCACCAGACCGCACACCACACACCAGCTGATTGGTGGAGAGGAGACAGAGTAATGAAGCCAATCATGATATGGGGAGGGTTAGGAGGCCATGATGGACAGAGGCAGTGGGCAGATTTAGCCAGGATGCCGGGGTTAAACCCCTACTCTTTTTCGAAGGACATCCTGGGATTTTTAACGACCACAGAGAGTTGGGACCTCGGTTTAACGTCTCATTCGAAAGACGGCGCTCACTGAGCAGTATAGAGTCCCCGTCACTATACTGGGGCATAAGGACCCACACATACCACAGGTTGAGTGCCCCCTGCTGGCCTAACTAACACCACTTCCGGGAGCAGCCTAGCTTTCCCATGTGTCTCCCATCCAGGTACTGACCGGGCGCAGCCCTGCTTAGTTTCAGTGGGCGACCATGTGAGAGTTGCAGAGAGCTAGCTGCCATCTGCCTAGTGGACTGTGTGCGTAAACAGACTAACTGCTCTGCAAATAGCCTAGGTTCGACTAATACAAATACTCAGAAATTGTTAATAATGTTACTTTTTTATGACCAAAACAAGACATTTATTCACAAAGTGTTCAGTCAGACCAATGCTAAAACAAAACGCGTTGCAAGAACAGAGCTGATGATCTATAGCTGCATCACCTTGGATCTCTGCATGCTAGTCAGGAACTCTTACCACTTTACTAAAGCACTTGAAACCTCAATTCTACAACGTGGAGTTAGGGTTAGGGCTAACCCTTTTTTTTTTTTTTTTACTCAATTTGTTTAACTGCTTGATTGCTGAAGCTTCCAGAGCAACCAATCTTGGTGCAACTAATCGTTCGAGACTCTTTTGAACAACTTGATTGTTTGGATCAGCTGTGTTTGATTAGGGTTGGAGCAAACCTGTGCAGAGCTGCGGTCCTCCAGGAAATGAGTTTGAGACCCATGCTGTAAAACAGGGGTCACCCAACTTGTTCCTGAAAGGCCAGTGTCCCTGCAGGGTTTAGCTCCAAATTACCTCAGCACACCTGCCTGGCTGTTTCAAGTATACCTAGTAAGACCTTGATTATCTTGTTCATGTGTATTTGATTAGAGTTGGACCTAAAACCTGAAGGGCACTGGCCCTCTAAAAAACAAGTTGGGCGACCCCTGCTCTAGAGCATGGGTCTCAAACTCAATTCCTGGAGGGCCACAGCTCTGCACAGTTTTGCTCCAACCATGATCAAACACAGCTTATCCAAATAATCAAGTTGTTCAAAGAGTTTTGAACACCTTAATTAGTTGGATCAGCTGTGTTTGATTAGGCTTGGAGCATAACTGTGCAGAGCTGCGGCCCTCCAGGAATTGAATTTGAGACCTATGTTCTAGATCAGGAGTGTCCAAACTCGGTCGTGGAGGGCTGGTGTCCTGCTAAGTTTAGTTCCAACCCTTATCAGACACACCTGGGCTAGCTAATGAAGCTCTTACTAGGCTTTCCAAAAACATCCTTGCAGGTGTGTTGAGGCAAGTTGGAGCTAAAATCTGCAGGACACTGGCCCTCCAGGACCAAGTTTGGACACCCCTGTTCTAGAGGCATACCTAAAAAAAAAATGACTGTAGAGACGGGTTTTAAAACCTTTCGAAGCTTCTACAAAATTGCTTCGACTGTTTCAGTGTTTCATGAAGGCTCTCTCAGCCCGCTAATAACATTCGTCTTGCCTCAGTGCATCTTCTTTAGTAATGTGTGCTCGTCTAAACCATTTTGTTCTTGAGCCACCATTAAGTGGTGTTTATTATACCTAAAGCTGCTCCAGGCACATGAACAAAAGTACCAATCTCATTAACGGACCAGTTTTTGGCAAGGTGCGTCAAACCTAAATAAAATTTCACTTGAACATTGGTGCTTTTTGTTTTGTCAAGGAGTGTTAAACATGGGTGAAAAGCTTGAGCGAAAACGTCCCGTTGTGTATCGGTCTTTATTCATGTTCATTGTTTACAAAGTATTACACTTACCTTCCTGAAAAATCTCAGTTGACAGTTAAACGTGTGAATGCTAATCAATTCCACTCCAGGCGCACACTCATTCACAATTAACATAATATCCACCTATGAATTTACTAAATTGCCATGTAGTTTTTCCCATATTCTGTCCAAAACTACTTTCCTTTCCCCGTGTGACATTTATCCTCTCATTTAGGATTGATCTTTAAATTAAACAGTTAATTCACCCACCCACTCATGCCCTTCCAATCCCCCAAGGCCTTCATTCATCTTCAAGCACAACTTAAGGTATTTTAGATCAAGCTGTCTTAATCTTGATCCTGGAGGTCCATGTTCTGCAGATTTTAGCTCCAACGCTAATCAGACACACCTGGGCTAGCTGATCAAGCTCTCACTAGGCTCTCTAGAAACATCCTTGCAGGTGTGTTGAGGTAAGTTGGAGCAAAAAACTGCGAGACACCAGACCTCCAGGGCCGAGTTAGAGAACCCGTTTTAGATGAAATCCGAGAGCTCTCTTATCCTCCATAGACAGCAAGGAGATCCTGAGATGCTCAAAAGAATTGTCTAAAACATTGTCAAAACTCTTTATATAACTTCAGCAGTTTAATTATAATCATACAAAGTTCCAGGAACACTTTTGTGTGCCAATAAAACCCTGTACGTGGAATGAAATCGTTGCCAACGCTGTAAGTACACCATGGAGTGACAGTAAAACACATTGGATTTGAGTAGAATTAAAAATGAAACCATCAGATAAATTGCTAGGATTGATCTTAGCCTGGTTGTTAGTCATCTCTGGAGAGACCACGCATCTAGTCTACTCGGGAATCAATTCTCTGTCTAAAACCAGCTTTAGGACAAAGAAACATTATCTAAAGGTTATCAAGGTTTTATTGTGAGATTAAGGGCGTACTGACACTATGTACAGTTGCCTTAAGCCTGGTTTATACTTCTGCGTCAGGTGACCGGCGTAACCCACGGCGCAGGCAACGCGCGTGGCTGTGCATTTATACTTCTGCGCGCTGTCTCTGTCGGTCTGCATTAACACTTCCGAAACGCTAGTTGGCAGTGAGGTGTAAATGTTCCTCTGTGTCGAGTTTCTTCTCTTCTGTTTTGCTTTTCCTGAACACTTCCGGGATGTACAAGTGGCTCAAACTCGCTCATTTTAAGGCAGGAACCGGCGGACGTGCAACAACTTTAACTATGAGGTAAACACAAAACAAAACTTTCAATCCGGAGCTCCTTCACGGGACTCCACACTTGTAAACAATCGCTCGCGCCATTCGCGCGGCTCTCGGTCCCGCCCAGACTCGTCAGCGCTACCAAGCCGACCAATCACAGAGCTTACGCTACGCGTCGTTGCGACGTGTAGTTACATTTTTTGAGAGGTGCACGTCAGTGCCGGCGATGGCCACGGCGAAGGGCTATGCGTCAGCGCCGTAGCATACGCCGACGTTTGACGCAGAAGTATAAATCAGCCTTTAAACCGGGCCAAAGCACGCTTGTCCCCCCTCCCGTCTCCCCCGTTGGCCTGCACTCGCATTACAATCGGGCCTTGAATGCTTACGTCATCGATGCTTTGCTGTTCAGTAAGGGCTCTCGCTCAGCACAGTGGAGATTTCTCTAGTTATATCACTTTAGTACTTAAGGATGCAATGGCACGCAGTCAGATATTGCACCGAACAGATCAGCCACTTTTGGCGCTCGTAAACAATCATAAAGCTCTCGTGCTGCAGGTAGTAGGAGGTTTGCTGAAGGTGCAGCTGTCGTGCAGTGAGAGGTTTGCGTATTTAATTATCTACGACAGTTTGCGTTCACTTAACAGTAAGAATGATTAATAAATACATATTAAACGGTCCCCTAAAAGTCACGTCTCGATTTCAGTTTCGGGCTTAGGCACGATTTGCACTAACACACAAGCGTACTGCGCCAAAGCCCAAGTGAACCGCGCTCAGGCCCACCTCTTTCAAACGAGCCAGGGCCGGCCAAGTGAACCGTGCCTGAGCCCGATTCAGAGCACTCACACTTTTCAAACGATCCGGGAAACGGGCCTGAGCATTGTATGGATAGCATAGTGTGAGTAGGCCCTAAGATCAGCTTATAGATGGAGTTCCTCACCAAACAACATTATCTGAAGGTTTTTTTTCTATTATTGTAGGCTTGCTTTATCATATAATTTAGGCAATTATGCAAAGTATGAAAATACAAAGCCTATCTTTTTATGTTGAATTTTTCTGCTACTCTTTTATAAATTTTTCAACATGTTTAGATGATGAAACTGATTTATTTCAGCGTGTGCTTTATTTTGTAAACCTAAGGTAATGCTTTAGTCTTTTTCAACTTTTTAATTGCCTAATAAAGCGTATTTCACCTCACATAATATTGAGTAAAGCGGCTTTTTTGTCTACATAAGCGATTGTTTTGACTTTGAGCAGTGTTTTATTTTGAAGATCCGACGTTGCTCCTGCCTCGCCGTGATGACGTCATCGCTGACGCGTTCATTCAGCGTCGAGTCTTCAGAGCTGAGGTGAGTCGTTGACGCTTTTTCTCGTGTTTACACAACAATAAAACACACTTTACAGTTTATTAAAGCGACAATCTGCGACTAGTTTCTGCATTGAGTTCACCTCTATCTGTGTGTCTGCTGACCAAAACAATACAGCAGGCAGAGAGGAGCTCTGAGGACAATATGAGTGAATGTGTTTGTGTTAGTGTATGAACCTTTCCATGTTTATGTTAGTTCTATCGTAATTTTAGATCTGTGAAGGGGAATATTGTGGCAGAAAATGAACTTTGGTGTAGAAAACATGAAATTAATAGTTTGTGGTGCCCTTTACTTTTTTTAAAGGGTTCGTGTGCATGCGTGATAACAGTCTAATTACTTAATTGGTTTAAATACTTGGTATTTAAACTAAATATAATCATAGATGCATTTTTAAATTACTACAATAGTAATCAGTTCACCCTGTAACCACTCAGTATAAAATGAGCTGATTTTGAATGTCAATTGAATCAATATTAGCAGAGCTGCTGAAATCCTATAGACTGTTTTTGCTGCATTCATTATACTGATGTCTTCAGATCAGCGAATTGCCAGTTAATTTTATTTTAATTATTTAAATGTTATTGGTGTCTGCTGACCTGCACAAATTACATAATCAAACAGTGTCACCTACAAGATATAAGATTTATTTCCTCAGTCAGTGTGAATGAATCAGATTTCTCTGTTTATTCTCCATCAGTGAAAGACAAAGACAGAGTTTATTGAAGGACTGTGTGAAGATGAGTGATCCAGAACCCTGCACAATTAAACAGGAGGAGACTGAAGAACTAATAGGTTTGTGTTTATTCATTACTCTTCAGTAATATTTAAGAACTTAACCAGTTTTTTCCTATTACTTGTAATCTTATTCGGACGTTTTTGTGTTTAGAATAGGTTTAGTTTTATTGTATTATACATTATTGTTTATTCTGATTAACAAATTTCAAAACAAACAATGAACTTTTTTTACCATCTCAATCTTGTATATATCATGCTTATTAAAACACTACAAATATTTTACTGCAGTATCGTCTTTAGTTAAATAATGTTCATAATGACTAGATTGTTTGCACAGGTTTATTCAGCCTTTTTTATACAGACTACTGTATTCAGCTTTATAAATGATTTAAATTATATATTTTAGGGAATTCGACAGGATTTAGTCTCCTCTTCTCCTCTATCTTGAGCACATAGGTTGAATAAGCAGATGAGATGGTGAAGGTCACATCAACAGTACTGCATAAGCTTTAGGCCTCGTTTGCACTAGTGCATTTTAGTTTTAAAACTGCGTTTTAGAATAAAAACGATCCGCGTCCACACTAGCGTTTCACCCAGCGTTTCTGAACAACTGTCCATCTACACAAAAATGACTGAAACGCACATCACGTGACCACACACACACATACTGGCTGTGTCTGAAACCGCCTACTACTCAGTAGGTACTGTATTTGAATTTAACCGTTCTACTAGGCCGTTAGAAAAGTACGTTCTATACAAGTATGAATGTGAAAAGTATGAATGGAATTCGGACGTACTACATCTGCCATTTTGTCATGGTCACGTGACCTACCTGCATCAGTTGCGTCACTTTACTTCTATTCATACATTCGCTCGTGGGCCATCAAGGGATAGCGCAGCATGCATGGGATGCGCACTACGGAATCTCGCCGGAAGTAGTAAGTTACTTCTCGCATACTGATTCTCGAATTCTATGAATTCGGACATACTACTCGGCTCGCATACTGATTTTGGCGTACTATATAGTATGGAAGTATGCGGTTTCGGACGCAGCCATTGTCCAAAATGCGCTGCAGCATATCTACCCAGATGAGAGCTGTGCTGGTCGGACTGCTCATCAAGGATCTCCCGCTGGCTCTAATCTCACTACATTTGTTAAACGTGATATTTAATTCATCTTGTTGTCTTTATCTAGCGACATATTCCCCGGCTTTGGTCTTTTGAATCTTTTACTTGTTCTCGGGTAACGTGTTTTGGCTGAGCGAAGAGAAGTTAATATTTAATGTAACCACGTACATTCTGTATAATGACTGATCTCCTGCCTTTATTTCCTTTAATGCAGGGGTCACCAATCTCGGTCCTGGAGGGCCGGTGTCCCTGCAGGGTTTAGCTCCAACTTGCCTCAACACACCTGCCTGGATGTTTCAACTATACCTAATAAGACTTAGATTAGCTTGTTCAGGTGTGTTTGATTAGAGTTAGAGCTAATCTCTGTTGGGCACCGGCCCTCTAGGAACAAGTTTGGTGACCCCTGCTTTATTGTATAAACTTATCATGTTATACTTTTATAAGGGCCATTATTGATTATCAAAACTGATATTCAGCAAAGAGGGGGTGTGTTTCATATTTTCAATGAAAATGAGGATGAAAAAGGAGGCAGTGATGTTATCGGCTCCGTTTTGTAATGCATACAGTGTAGATGACGCTCATAGCCTATATGCAGCACGATGCCTCAAGATGTCTGCTGTCTGTTAAGTTGTTAATATCAAATGAAAATAGCAGTTCCTTAAATCATGTCTTCATTTTATTGTTGAGAAAGTTAAACGACGTAGCCAAAGTGATGTGAATGACGTTATAAAGCACACTGCTCCCTTTGAAGATTTGCCGGACATGTCCTCGTGAGTTTGTTTTCCATATCAAACTTGACAAGTCCCCCATCCACACTGAGATGGAGCAGCAGCTTTGTTTAATTTTAGAATGAAAACGGCCTCTCCAGCGTTTTCAAAACGCTGTTTTCGACGCTCAAACTCCGGCGTAGTGTGGACGGATGGCCAACCGTAGCAAAACTTAAGCCTGGTTTATACTTTTGCGTCAAGTGACCGGCGTGACCCACGGCGCATGCAACGCGTGTAGCTGTGCATTTATACTTCTGCGCGCTGTCTCTGTTGGTCTGCATTAACACTTCCGAAACGCTAGTGGGCAGTGAGGTGTAAATGTTCCTCTGTGTCGAGTTTCTTCGCTGCTGTTTTGCTTTTCCTGAACACTTTCTGGTTGTACAAGTGACTCAAACTCGCTCATTTTGAGGCAGGAACCGGCGGATGTGCAACAACTTTAACTATGAGGTAAACACAAAACAAAACTTTCCATCAGGAGCTCCTTCACGGGACTCCACACTTGTAAACAATCGCTCCATCAGGCTCGCACCATTCACGCGGCTCTCGGTCCCGCCCAGACTCGTCAGCGCAACCAAACTGACCAATCACAGAGCTTGCGCTACGCGTCGTTGCGACATGTAGTTACAATTTTTGGGAGGTGCACGTCAACGACGGCCACTGCGAAGGCCTATGCGTCATCGCCGAAGCATACACCGGCGTTTGACGCAGAAGTATAAATCAGCCTTTATGCGTTTTCAAACTGAAACACATTAGTGTAAACGGGGCCTGAGGCGCTATATAAATAAAAATTATTATTATTATTATTATTTCACCCTCATGCTCCATCATAACATCACAACTCCCAAGACAACTTTTCACCTCAACAAGAAATCTCGTCACAATTTAATTTTGCAAGTTCTTGTCATACGAGATCTTGTCACACCCCTATTATATAGGCTACTTACATTTAATTCATAATTCTCTTATTGTTTAAAAATGAACTATAGTGTGTAGAGACTATTCTGTTTTATTTGTGCTGTAAATATTTAATTGTTATTGCAATAAATAAATGATCACGCTATGTGATCGGTCATCATGACTGCCGCAGCTTTGAGCCCCCGAAGTATCCGTCTTGACGGCTGTTTTTAACTCCGTCCTCGCCTGCGCTCGGCTAATCTCGTTGATCGCCGTCTGCAGTCGTGCTTCATGTCGAACTCGCCTACTGGCTTTATCACACACGTCATACAAAGAGATAACATTTGTGAACTGGTGCTATATAAAGTAAACAAAAATAACTTGACTTTCAAGAGGAGTGGCTTTAGTGGGGGGTGGGCATCCCCTTAAAAATGATATGATCCAACCTGTGACAAATGTCATGCTGAACCTGCAAATCTAGTTCACATGTTTTGGACCTGTCCAGCTTTGTTTCCTTTTTGGGAGTCTGTTTTTGATTCATTTTCAGCAATTACATCTATTAATATTGATCCTTCTCCGTTGATTGGCCTGTTTGGAGTTCTTCCCCCTGACTGCGAGTTACCATTTTATTGTTCTGAATTAATAGCTTTTCCGTCATTATTAGCTAGGCGGTGCATTTTGTTGCAGTGGAAGTCTCCTCAACCCCCATCCTATACTCAGTGGATTAAAGATGCCTTATTTTTTTGTTAAATTAGGAAAAATTAAACATAGTCTTCGAGGTTCAGTGGTCAAATTTTGGAATATTTGGTTGCCTTTTTTGGAACATGTCAAATCTCTGAGACTTGAGGCAATTACTGTGGAGTGAATGGTTGCTAATCTTGCATTTTTGTTTTGATCTGTGCTTCCAGTTGAGTATTAGTGCTGCTGATATACCACAAACATACAACTTTTTCTTGACATAAAACCACAAGTTTTAAGAATGTGCCACCCCCCAGCGTATTTCGTTTAATACATTTTCCCTTTTCTCTCGCTTTTTAAAACATTTCTATTTTTTTCTATTTGTTTATTTTATTTTATTTTATTATTACTGTTTATTTTACTTAATACACTCTGCTGTTAACCTCAACGTCTGGTACAGACCTGTTTATATGCTCAATTTGAAAATTGATTTATGCACATCATATAGTGTTTATGCATGTCATATACTGTGTGTCGCACAATATGAGGGTTATAGTGTGGTTTATTTATTTTTTAATCAATGCTGTACTGTTATATATATATATATATATATATATATATATATATATATATATATATATATATATATATTTTTTTTTTTTTTTTTCTGTTTGTACTGTTATTGTCTCTTTTTACCAAGTGTGCCGCAAGCCTGCGTTTGAGTGAAGGTCTCGGCCGTTAGATCGCCCCCTGGGGGCTGGCTGCAGTACAAGTCATAAAGCCCGCCTCCTCTGTGTTAATGAAGGAGACTTGAGCCCAAATAAAAAAATATTATTACACTTGCAATAAAATGTCCCGAAAGATGGTTCTGGTGGATTAAGGCACTGGTTATTGTGCTGAAATAGGTGCAGATCTTCATTTTTGTAAACAGTTTGTTTTTAGCAGTAATTTAATGCTGGGCGTGTCATCGTGATTGACAGTTTCTCAAAGCAGCGCGTCTGAGCTTCGGCAGAAGACTGAAGTGTTATTATTTGATTTCTGTGTTATTTTACCATGACAAAATGAGTTCAGCAGTAAACTACAGTTTCTGACATACATGATCCTGGTGGAACACTGTTTATTCGCTAAGGTCAGGGCTTTTTTCGGGCTTTATTAGTTTGCTGATACACGCCTAACGTTAGCCACCCAGATAGCAAAACACACTCGAGCCAGTTCCAGCTAAAAGTTAGATTCTCGCCTGCTGGAGACTTACCCCTCAGACTGACTACCTCTGCTGGACCTACTCCGGATGCCTGGACTCACTGCCCGATTCCAGCCTGAGTCAATCGAGCCAGAGCTGGTGCTGCCGCATGCGAGCCGGAATCAGCCCGCGACGCCGCGAGTAGGTTATGCGCTGCGGCCCGGAGCTGGCACGATTGAATATATAAAACCCTCATATTTGTTAACGTTATTACATCCATTTGTGTTGATATGACAGCAAACGAATGCTGAGAAGTTTGGGGGGCGTGGTTGATTTTACATAAAGCGTTTGATTGGAAGCTCGACTCCGCTCATTTTCGCGGCTCCTCCTCTGGCTCCATCAGACAGTCCTTCTGCGCATGTCAAGGCTCCAATTTCAGCAGTGTTTTGCGACAGTTTGTGCCCGTCAAGCAGGCGTTTTGCCCTCAAGGCGTTCAATGGGAAAAGCGGCTGTCGCGTCGTCCATATTTTTTACAGTCATTGGTTTTTACTTTGTTTGTTAACTGTCAAAAAAATCTAATATATATTTTAAAAAAATGATAGGCAAACACTTCTATTTCTACGTTTCTCTCAAAATGTAACTATAATTTTTTTTTTTTCAGACCCGAGTGAAGACATGAAGGTCTACCTTGATCTCCATATAAAGCCGAAGCCTGTCTTATGCTCTCTGTGTGGCAAGAGTTTTGCATGCAAGCGGAGTTTGAGAAGACATCAGACTATTCACACTGGAGAGAAACCGTACCAGTGTTCACAGTGCGACAGCAGATTCCGTCAGGCAGAATATCTGAAAAAGCATGAGATGATCCACAGTGGAGAGAAACCATTCAAGTGTTCACACTGCGACAAGAGCTTCAGCTTGTCCGTATATTTGAAAACGCACGAGAGAACTCACAGTGGAGAGAAACCGTACACGTGTATCGAGTGTGGGAAGAGTTTCAGGCGATTATCACACCTTAAACGACACATGCTGATCCACACTGGAGAGAAAGCGCACGGATGTGAGCAATGCGGCAAAGCGTTTTCAAGACCTACAGAGCTGAGGATCCATCTTAGAGTTCACACAAAGGAGAAACCGTATCCATGCTCTGTGTGTGGGAAGAGTTTTTCGCAGACGTCAAGTTTAAGACTACATCAGAAGATCCACATCGGAGTGAGAGAGTATGTGTGCGTTGAATGTAACAAGACTTTTATTAGATCCGGAGACCTGAAACAGCACCAGAGGATTCACACTGGAGAGAAACCGTTCACATGTACTGAATGTGGGAAGAGCTTCACGAAGTTAGCAATCCTTTATAAACACATGATGATGCACACTGGAGAGAAGTCATAGTGTGATAATGCAGCACAACATGTTTGAGCGCTTTAGATCTTAAGATTAGCGAAAGGTGTTGCATCAAATTGGGTGGCATCTGGACCATAAAGCTGCATGTGAACACACCGAAGAGATGAAAGTAGTGATGGGAAGTTCGTATCATTTTACTGACTCGGATCTTTGAGTCTTGTTCATTGAGATGAACGAATCTTCACGAGTCATTTGGTTCAATTTGCCAAAATATTATTAAAATGTTACGAATTGCTTCCAAACACATCTACAACTAATCCAAAAGGTTGACTGCACGACAAATAAGTCATAAATAGAATACTATAAGAAGGAGAAAATAATAATTCAATGTTGACCTGCTCTTCTGTTTATGAAGGTATTGTCGTCTCTTTGCTCAGCTCACCTATTCATGTCTTCAAATGTCAGGGGTTCATTCACATTACACTGACAGTCACATATAATCTTAATCAATGCACAGTTTGAGCCGATAGGAGCCATAATCGTTCGTTGTTTACGTGACAGAATGACTCAAACCCGAGGAGTTGAGAGATGAATGGATCAATTCTTTTTCCGGCTCCAAACGCGTATGATTGGCTTCTGCCAATGTGATATAGACTTGAAATTAACGATACCACCTGCACAAATGTGCGCACGTGCGGATGAACGAATCATTCCCTGAGAGGACTCGTAGTTCCCGAGTCATATTAAAGATTCGTTTAAATTGAACAAATCGTTCATGAACGACCCATCACTAGATGAAAGCCGACTTTGAAGATGTTTCTTTTCACACCGCGAGCGGCAGTATTTGTGTATTATTTTCATTGCGCAAAGGGAAACCAAACTTTCAATGCACACAGGTAAAACATAAACAAAGCATTGACTGAAAAAGTAATATGGACGATGAAGAACCATCTTCTTCCATTGAATGATTTGATTGCAAAATGCCTGAAGACAGGCACAGATCGTCACAAAAAAAGCTGATAAAGGAGCCTGGGCATGCACTGAAGAAATTCCCAATGGAGGCAGAACCACGTTATCGAATATCTTCAGTATATTCCCACTGAACTTCTTATCAGACCACCTGTAATTGCACCGTATTGAAAAGGCTTGCTAAAATAATCACAAGCACTTATATTTAAAAACACACAACAATATACCATCTATTAAAAACACAGTGTGACATTTAATTTAATAAACAGCGGTCCCTCGCTAAAACGCGGTTCACCTTTCACGGTTTCGCAGATTGACTTGTTTTTTTACAGCACATTCCCATATGGTCTCCCATCCAGGTGCTGACCAGGCGCAGCCCTGCTTAGCTTCAGTGGGCGACCATCTGAGAGTTGCAGAGAGCTAGTTGCCGGCAAAGAGTATTATATTATGACACCTCTCGCGTAATACTCATTTGTCATTTTATTACTTGTGTCCTTGACTAGAAAATCAGAAAAGTCCGTTGGCCAGCACCTTCGGTTTCGTTTTCAGAGCAGCTGCGAACTCCAGTCAAAAACGGCACTCATCAGTGCAAAGTGCAGAGTTGGACAGTTCCATTTTTGTGTGGAGGGGGACTTTAAATTTGATTGACAAACTTACAAGAACTAGTGTTCTGTTAATCGTCAATATTAATTTACATTGATGTTCCGACTTACATTGATGTTCCGACTTACACCCGTTACATGCTTTCAATGCAGTTTTTTTTCTTTGTTGCTATCTTCGTGGTCTCTGGCCAGGGGGAGGTGAAGGCTTCCCCAGCTTAAGGCTGATTTATACTTCTGCGTCAAACGCCGGCGTATGCTATGGCGCTGACGCATAGCCCTTCACCGTGGCTGTCAGCGTCGCTGACGTGCACCTCTCAAAATATGTAACTACACGTCGCAACGACGCATAGCGCAAGCTCTGTGATTGGTCGGCTTGGTAGCGCTGACGAGTCTGGGCGGGACCGAGAGCTGCGCGAATGGTGCGAGCCTGATGGAGCGATTGTTTACAAGTGTGGAGTCCCGTGAAGGAGCTCCTGATGGAAAGTTTTGTTTTGTGTTTACCTCATAGTTAAAGTTGTTGCACGTCCGCCGGTTCCTGCCTCAAAATGAGCGAGTTTGAGCCACTTGTACATCCCGGAAGTGTTCTGGAAAAGCAAAACAGCAGCGAAGAAACTCGACACAGAGGAACATTTACACCTCACTGTCCACTAGCGTTTCGTAAGTGTTAATGAAGACCAACAGAGACAGCGCGCAGAAGTATAAATGCACAGCTACACGCGTTGCATGCGCCGTGAGTTACGCCGGCCACTTGACGCAAAAATATAAACCAGGCTTTACACACGCTCTACCTATTATGTGCGCGTCTGGAGTGTGTTACTTTCAACTGTTGTGTGTGGTGTATCCGGTGTGCAACCCCCATAAGGATGAAGTCTGCTTTCGCTTTTTAGATCAGTGACTGCAGGATAAAGAACATTACGCCGGATGCCAACATTATCCCGACTAAATAAAAATAATGAGGGACCACTGTACTCGACCAGTTTGATATGTTGGACTACAAAATTAACAATCTTTAATATACTTTAGGTTAGGATATTAATGATGGTGAGCACAAAAGTTTTTTCTCTCATAATGGACTGTTGGTATATTTATTTGTGTCTTCATAGGGGTAGAAATAACATTGTAAAATATGAATAATGACATGTAAACAACACAAACAGTTCCTAGAAAGGGTTTTATTATTAATCAGCTGGACTCAAAATATAGGCTTCAATTTGTTAAATGTTTACGCATCAATAAAGTGTATGTTGCTGAAAACTGTCCTCTGTCTTCACAAACATCAGATTTGATACATTTGTGTGTGTTATTGAATCACAATCGTTTTAGGTGCATATCTGACAGCCATACGTTTGCTTTTTAGTTTTGTCATATTTTACTCACTAATTTAATTAATTCATTCATTTTCTTTATTGGCTTAGTCCCTGTACTAATCAGGGGTTGCTACAGTGGAATGAACTGCCGATTTATCCAGCATATGTTTACAGTGGATCCCCTTCCAGCTGCAACCCGCCACTGGGAAACACCCATACACTCTCATTAACACACTTGCACTACGGCCAAATTAGCTAACTCAATTCCTCTATAGTACATGTATTTGGACTGTGGGGGAAACCAGAGCACCCAGAGGAAACCCACGCCAACATGGGGAGAACACGCAAACACCACATAGAAATGCCAACTGACCCAGCTACCAGGGGCATCTTTAGTGGTTTTTGGGCCTTTCGCAATTCCAGCTATGAAGCCTAAACTTCAAAAATGCACCTTTTGTACTTCTTTTTTTTTATTATTATGCTGTTTGTTCTTACATCATTTGATCTCACAGTCTACATTTCATCTTAATGCAAGACAATAATGACATGTAAAGCACCCTGTAGGATGAATTCAAAACCAAAACTTAAATTCACAACCAAAATTAATAAATACTGTCGTTTTTAAAACTAAATCTTTACTGATTTGACTGCTGGACTGGTCTATGATTGAAGGTGGGGGACCCTCACTGACATACAAAATATGATAGAAAACAACGTTACATTTAATTTAGGTATCATTTATACTTATAGGTATTTATTTGGGGGACCTTGGATTTTCTGGGGCTGTAAGCGGCCGCTTACTTTGCTCATTAGTTAAACCTGCCCCTCCTAACCGGGGCTCCAACCGACAACCTTCTTGCAGTGAGGCGACAGTGCTATAATCACTGCACTGTCCTACTCACTCATTTTTTAGTGTGTGTAATTAAAACAACATTTTAATTGATTAATAAACGGTGTTTCACCTCAAACGTGTTTTGTTTTTTATAAATTTGATAGTATTTGACGCATTTGCGTTAATCCGTTGCTCCCGCCTTGCCGTGATGACGTCAGCACTGACGCGTTCATTCAGCGTCGAGTCTTCAGAGCTGAGGTGAGTCGTTGACGCTTTTTCTCGTGTTTACACAACAATAAAACACACTTTACAGTTTATTAAAGCGACAATCTGCGACTAGTTTCTGCATTGAGTTCACCTCTATCTGTGTGTCTGCTGACCAAAACAATACAGCAGGCAGAGAGGAGCTCTGAGAGGACAATATGAGTGAATGTGTTTGTTTTCTTTCACTTTTTTGTTTGTATGATTTTTTTTGTTTGTTTGTGTTTAGAGTCTGAGGCTCATCAGTATTATCAGAGCTGCTGAAAGTCTTTATTTTGTGTGTATAGTTCCTGTGTTTTCTACATTCATTAGCCCAGATTAAGTTAAATTTGGTGTCTGCTGACTTGAACACATATTGTCACAAACAAGATATAATGTGATGTTTATTTCCTTAATCAGTGTAAATTGATCAGATTTCTCTGTTTATTCCTCTAAAGATCTGCCGTCATCAGTGAAAGACAAAGACAGAGTTTATTGAAGGACAGTGAGAAGATGAGTGATCCAGAACCCTGCAGAATTAAACAGGAAGAGGCTGAAGGACTAATAGGTTTGTGTTTATTCATTACTCTTCAATAATGAGGCTGAACAACTGTTAATATTAAACTCCTCCATCAGTTTTGGTTTATTTTCATTCATTCATTCATTTTCTGCCGCTTTTCCGGGGCCGGGTCACGGGGGCAGCAATTTTAGGAGAGAACCCCAGACTTCCCTCTCCTCAGACACTTCCTCCAGCTCCTCCAGGGGGATCCCGAGGCATTCCCAGGCCAGCCGAGAGACATAGTCCCCCCAGCGTGTCCTGGGTCTTCCCCGAGGCCGCCTCCCGGTGGGACATGCCTGGAACACCTCCCTAGGTAGGCATCCATGAGGCATCCGAAACAGATGCCTGAGCCACCTCAGCTGACTTCTCTCGATGTGGAGGAGCAGCGGCTCTACTCCGAGCTCCTCCCGGGTGTCAGAGCTCCTCACTCTATCCATAAGAGTGCGTCCTGCCACCCTTCGAAGGAAACTCATTTCGGCCGCTTGTATCCGAGATCTTGTCCTTTCGGTCATGATCCAAAGCTCATAACCACAGGTGAGAGTAGGAATGTAGATTGACCGGTAAATTGAGAGCTTTGCCTTTCGGCTCAGCTCCTTCTTCACCACAACGGACCGGTACATCAACAGCATTACTGCTGCCGCTGCACCAATCCGCCTGTTAATCTCACGTTCCATCCTTCCCTCACTCGTGAACAAAGCCCCGAGATACTTAAACTCCTCCACCTGGGTTAAGGACTTTCCTCCAACCTGGAGATGGCAAAGATTCAGCACCATGGCCTCTGACTTGGAGGTGCTGATTCCCATCCCAGCCGTGTCACACTTGGCAGCAAACCGCCCCAGTGCATGCTGAAGGTCCATGTCTGATGAAGCCAACATCAGTTTAAATCCAACCAACTTACCTTTTTATTTTATCACAAAATATTTGTGTTTAGGATATTGGACCTGCCTATTTACATGGCTTTGGAATGCTCTAGTGTCGGTCATTTTGCAATAGTTTGTATTTTGCACATACAAGATGTTGCTAAAGATGAAAACACGCCTGTTAAATAATAGTTTGTGTCTAGGGGTGTCACGATTTCGAAATCGATCGAAATTTATGCTCAATTTCGATTATCGAATCAAAAAATAGAATCGTTGATGCTGCCACGCCCCCATGTCACGTCAGCTTGTCTTGCCAAGTGGGAAAAAAACAGGCTTGTTGAAGTGCTTGTTAAACTGCAGAAGCAGGAGACCCGTCGACAGAGCTTAAACCCTCTCCTCTTTCAATGAAGTCGCCGGTGTGGAAGCATTTTGGATTTCCAGTGAGTTATGTTGACAACGTTCGTGTTGTCGACAAAAAAAAACACAGTTTTGCAGCTCTGCTATGTACGTATTACGTACGGTTCGTCCGATAGACAACACCGGCATCGCGATCCTCCGCCCGCCCCCGTTGCAAATCCGCTCGCGAAAAGTACACACTCAGGCCCTGTTTACACTGTCTTTGTTTTTAAATGGCATTTTAGAACGATTTGACATCCACAGTGGCGTGTAGCATTTCTGAGCAGCCCTCCTTCCTCTCTACCTCTGAAAATGCACATCACGTGACCACACAGACACAGACGCACACACAGCCGTGCGCTCGAGACAGCAGGTCTAGGCAGTCAGAGGACTGCTTCAATCTTTCACTCACTTGTACTTAGTCATTTTAGCGAACACCTCAGATACTGTTGGCTGGTTCCTGTTGGTTGTGCGTCTTTTTTACCGACGCCATTATAACGACACAGATCACTGCCTATTCACGAGTCCCGCAGAAAAAGTGATTGACAGGTGGTAATTATGTGTGTATCTTGCCTTTATTCATTTACTGTATGATTTGTTTATGGGTAAAACAAAGACCATGCAGGTCAGGTAGTTTAAACGGTAGGCTACAAATAATTAATTGGTCATTAATTAATTAATTATTTATAATCGAAACGAATCGTGCCTTTAGAATCAAAAATGTAATCGAATCGAGGATTTGGAAGATCGTGACACCCCTTATTTGTATCACTACTTCACATTTCTCTTTTAAAATGTAACATTTTGTCTTCATTTTCAGACCTTAGTGAAGACGTGAAAGTCCACCCTAATGTTCAAACCAAGATGTTTTTATGCCCTTTTTGTGGAAAGAGTTACAATCGTCAAGACAAATTCAGAAAGCATCAGAGCACTCACACTGGAGAGAAACCGTACAAGTGTTCACACTGCTACAAGCCATTCAGTCAGCCAGAGTATCTGAGAAAACATGAGAGGATCCACACTGGAGAGAAACCGTACAAGTGTTCACACTGCGACAAGAGATTCAGCTTGTTAAAAACCATGAAAACACATGAGAGGATCCACACTGGAGAGAAACCATTCACATGTACCGAGTGTGGGACGAGTTTCTCACAGTTATCACACCTTAATCAACACATGAGGATCCACACTGGAGAGAAACCACACGAATGTGATCAATGCGGCAAGACGTTTTCAAGGCTTCCAGATCTGAAGAAACATCTTAGAGTCCATACAAACGAAAAGCCGTACTCATGTTCTGAGTGTGGAAAGAGTTTTATGTGGCAAACAAGCTTAAAATTACATCAGAAGATCCACACTGGTGTGAGAGAGTTCGACTGCTTAGAGTGTGGGAAGACTTTTATTACAGTCGGAGACTTGAAACGACACCAGAGGATTCACACCGGAGAGAAACCGTACGTGTGTTCACACTGCAACCAGACTTTCAGACATTCAGGAAATCTGAAATCGCATGAGATGATTCACGCTGGAGAGTTTCACGCAGTTATCATACCTTAATAAGCATGCAAAATCTAAGATTTGTGTATGTTAGTAAACTCCTGTTATTTATAAGTGAGGTTAGCGTGTACACTCATTAACAATAAGTCTAATCGCTCCATAAAATAACAATCCAGGAACATACTGAAATACTCATTGCTTTGACTCCAGTATGTGTCCAAAATCCAAAAAACTAAACAATTTATGCCTCAAATATATTCAATAAGTATGTGTCCACCAAAGTATAGTCATGTTGTATTGTTCTGAATCAATGTAGTTTTAGCAGCAATAAGATTAATCAATAATCTTAATCTTAATAATTAATCACAGTGGCTCAGAGCTGAAGGTCGCTGATTCAAGTCCTGCCTGGGCCAATTGGCATTTCTGTGTGGAGTTTGCATGTTTTCACTTGTTGGCGTGGGTTTTCTCCGGGTGCTCCAGTTATCCCAACAGTCCAAACACATGCGCTATAGGGGAATTGAATAAACCAAATATGCCATAGTGCAGGGGTCACCAAACTTGTTCCTGGAGGTCCGGTGTCCTGCAGATTTTAGCTCCAACCCTAATCAAACTCGGCTGCAAAAGCTAATCAAGGGCTGCATCCGAAACCGCATACTTCCATACTATACAGTACGCTACAATCAATATGTGAGCCGAGTAGTATGTCCAAATTCATAGAATTCGAAAATCAGTGTGCGAGAAGTACCCGGATGACTTACTACTTCAGGCGAGATTCTGGAGTGCGCATCCCATGCACACTGCGCTATCCCATAATGCCCCACATGAGAATTCATGAATGGAAGTGAAGCGACGCAACTGACGAAGGTAGGTCACGTGACCATGACAAAATGGCGGATGTGGTACATCCGAATTCCATTCATACTTCTCACATTCATACTGTATAGAAAGTACTTTTCTAACGGCCGAGTAGTACGTCTAAATTCAAATGCAGTACCTACTGTGTAGTAGGTGAATTCAGACGCAGCCAAGGTCTTACTAGGTGTACTTGAAGCACCCAGGGAGGTGTGTTGAAGCAAGTTGGAGCCCTCCAGACTGAGATTGGTGACCCCTGCCATAGTGTATGAGTGTAAATGCGAGAGTGTAAGGGTGTTTCCCAGAGGTTGGTAGAGTATCCAAAATCTATACTCAAGTAAAAGTACAAGTACTTGTGGAATTTTTTTTCCTCAAGTAAAAGTAACAATCTTAAAAGGTACTTGAGTAAGAGTAAAAAAGCACCTGATTAAAAAATTACTCAAGTAAATAGTTACTAGTTACTTTAGTCCCCAGCCGGGACCAGAGTGAGGCGACAGTGCTAACCACTGAGCCACTGTTCTGCTCTATTGACTCGCACTTGTAGATAATTATTTGTTTACATGTAAACCAAAGGAAGAAAGAAACAGAAAAAAATGTTAATAAGAGAATTTCTGGGGGATTTGGCACAAAATATTATTATTTCTTGAGATATTGAGATTAAGCTGTGATTTTAAGGATATCCTGGCTGATATTTAGCCCTGAATCAGGCAAATTAAAATTATTATGGAGATTTTTTTTTTTACATCTAGCCTGCTCCTGTGCTAGCTAACAACCAGGCTAAGATTAATACTTTTATTTGTACTTATAGTTTTAGATTAGTTTATCAGTGTAATTGTATTTATTGTAATTTCTTTTTAAAAACCTACTTTTGTATTAATATTACTTGTTAAGCACCTAGAGTCTGAGAGTAATGCAATTTCAATTCTCTATATGTCCTGTACATGTGCTTTAATTGACAATAAACGGTTGACGATTGGTCTGTTAGTTTCGCCGTCAGGATTTTTCTTTATCATCACTCCATGTTCTTGGCTGTTTACATATATACTCCAATTATTCAAATTACTATTACACACATGATCAAATCAATATTTTTAACATGTTCATAAATGGCCATTTCAGATTTCAACAAAGGGGAGAAATCAAAGAAATAAAAAGTAGATGGACGAATTAATTAACATCTCTTAAGTGTAAGTGCCTTTTTTATCAACTTTCTAAGTGCCTAATAAACAATATTTCACCTCACGATTGAGATTAAGACTTTTTTTGTCTACCTTAGCAATTGTTTTGGTTTGGCTAGTATAGGGTTTGTTGATCCTCCGTTGCTCCCGCCTCGCCATGATGACGTCACAACTGACGCGTTCATTCAGCGTCGAGTCTTCAGAGCTGAGGTGAGTCGTTTTCGCTTTTTCTCGTGTTTACTCAACAATAAAACACACTTTACAGTTTATTAAAGCGACAATCTGCGACTAGTTTCTGCATTGAGTTCACCTCTATCTGTGTCTGCTGACCAAAACAATACAGCAGGCAGAGAGGAGCTCTGAGAGGACAATATGAGTGAATGTGTTTGGGCTTTTCTGTGTAAGTGTTTGTTTATATTGTAAAGTATGATCTTTGAAGGAAGTAATGAGAATCTACTGCTGCAGAAATACGGACTTTGATGGTGAAAATGCTTATGTTCAGTTTCTGTATAACTGCAACAATAATTAGTTTATCAGAGCTGATGAAATCCTCCTTATTTCATGTCAATAGATTCTGTTTTCAGATAATTATACTTATTTCATTATACTTGCATGTTCAGACTGGAAAATTGTCACATTAAGTTAATTTTATTGGTGTCAGCTGACTTGAACACATAATAATCCCACACCGTATCACCTATTATTATAAGATGATTTAATTCATGCAAATGAATCAGATTTCTGTTTCTCCTGAAGCTCCATCAGTGAAAGACAAAGACAGAGTTTATTGAAGGACAGTGAGAAGATGAGTGATCCAGAACCCTGCAGAATTAAACAGGAAGAGGCTGAGGAACAAATAGGTTTGTGTTCATTCATTACTCTAATAATGAGCCTAAACAGCTTCACTTCTATATTACTTTTCATATGACCTTTTATTTTATTTAATCAAGTAACATTTAACAATAAAATGTAGGAGTGTAACAATCATGACAAGGGATGCTCAAAATAATCGATTCACTGTTAACCGAAAGGGTGCGTTTTAAACTGATTAATGGTATCAGTTAAATGATTAAAAATATTATTTTATATATTTTAGAGTTTGGCTGCTGATCGAATGCGAGTTTTTTATTTTTGGCGTTAAGAGGGGCGTCTTTTAAACACAAGTGTTTTGTACGTGGCTCATCCTAGAGCAGGGGTCCGTTCTTCGTACCTCGCTTAAATGATCTAAGATGATTTGGCAGATCCTGGATCTTTTAATCTTGATAACTGATCTCTGGCTAATTTGGTTCTTCAAACAAGTTCATGAATCAGATTAAAATGTCTGGATGAACTGATCTGAGATCGCTGTGTGTGTTGTGAAGGACAGATCTATCGATCCTCGAAATCATGATCAGCAATGCAGCAATTGGCTGACGGCACAGTAGCGTAATGACATCATCTGATTAATATTCAATTATCCATGTGAGCAAAATTACATCAAATTAGCAGTAAATGGTTTTTTATGACTCAATAATCTTCCACATTTGTTGTGAGCTGCAGGCTTTACACTTTCATGTGTCAAGAGTATTCATCATGTATTTCAATGCAAATCAATGTATTTAGTTCTACATTTAGACAAGATTTTCGTTATTATAGTAACCGTTTTTAATCGGTGTAAAGAATAATTGGATGTTTACAAAAGCAATTTGATATTGGTAAAGGCGTCTGCAATTTTTGTGTAGCATCAAATCACCGTCATATTAACTGTCAAAACATGTTTATGACTGCATAAATGTATTATTGCTTTTAAAACAAGTTACATATGGTGCATTTCTATTATCATACACAAATTGTATTAAAGCGATTTAAAAAGTTCAAATCAACAAGTTTTCTCTTGGCACCACCAGGTGGCAGTCTTTGTACTTTCATTTCAGAGTGCAGATTGCATAAGTTTTATTAATATATATATATATATATATATATATATATATATATATATATATATATATATATATATATATATATCTATATATATATATCTATATATATAAGTTATATATATTAGTTAAAAATATTTACTATTTTCCCAAGTGTATATAACTACTGTAAGAAAATATGAGCATTTGATACATACTTTCAGTATTATCTTAGCATGAACTGACTCGATCTAATCCTGTTTATATGAATTGAACCTGCTCCTGACCAGGTTTGATATAACAGAACTGTTGCTATGACAACAACTCTCAGATCAACTTTCGTCAAATCGTCAACATCCAAATCCAGCCAACTGAGTAATCCACGTACGAAGAACTGACCCCAGCAGTGTGTGTTGTCAAGACAACTGCAGAGAACTTTGAAAGACAGAGGAGGGACTAGTGCTCGCTGTTTCAAGTTATCCAGAGCTGTATGAGTTTACAAATTTCGAATATCACAATATTATTAAATAGTACAATTGTAACAACACGGACAGCAACACTCTTGCACAATCCATACCCAGCTGATTCAGTCATTTGCTAGTGACATAAAAAAAGAGCACCGCACTTTGTTTTTCCTTGTCAACAATAAAAGGCAGTGTGGTGCGCCTCGCGTTTTTGGAGGAAAAAAGTGCGTTTGCTGTCATCGCCCCCTTAAAGTGCAACTGCAACACATATTTGTTCAGTCGTTGGACGGTAACGTGTAACCACACGTGCCTACAGACATATTTGCCAAAGAAACAAAATGGTAGAAGAAAATTGCTGTTTGATACAGACGAGTTGGTGCCAAAACAGCGCTGAGACTGATGGCCTCCTGGATCTGCGTCATAAACACAACACATAGGTTTTAGCTTTCATTTTACAGATTATAACGCATGTATGCAAATTAATGCAATATCATATTTAAACAACAAAACTGTTTACAAAAAGTCAACATATGCGCACGTTGTCTTTTCATCACGCAGCGTGCGCACTTGAATCGCGAATGAGAGAGGAAACCACATATCAAGACATAATCTTTAAAATAATGATTTAGTTAATGAAATGTAAAAATGTTTTGAGATATAATAATAACAGCATGGCATTAAATAAATGCATATTTTAATGGAGCGAGCGATTTGAGGAAGTCGGCTATTTTTCTTTGACAAAAGACAATAAATATGATTGAAAAAAAAAAAAATAGCCTATTCCCGTTCTTAAAAAGGATCAGTCAGTGTTTTCATCTTGTAATCTAAATGAATCATTTTAAGTGAAATTGTTTAGGGCAGGCCTATTTATTTTATTCATTTTATTTCGTTTATTCTGTTCTTCTATGCTGTTGGAAACACTGCAGTTGCGTGAAGATGCTCTGTTGTCATGTTCTCTTATTAATATGCTAGCATGTTGAATTAAATCAATATTTTAAATGCAATATTTAATGTGTCAGACACAAAATAGACACGTCATTTTTTTAAAATATTAACCTGACCAGTTAAACGTTAATATTCGATTAGCGAGCGGCGGTTGTCAGTTAGCGAAGTTAACCGAAATGAGCATCCCTAATTGTGATAAATGTATGCACTGCGAATTGAGAAATAATACAATGCATCAATTTATTAAATTGTATGAATGAATTGAGATTCTCAGTTTAGCTGGTTCTAATCTTATTTCTTTAATTTTCAGATGTGATGGTGAAGGTGGAGAGTGAAGTACTGAGTGAAGATGAGGAGAAACATCATGTCAGTGAAGAAAAAGCTCCCATAAAGACCGAACAGAGTTTTTTAATGAACAGCACAGCTGTAAATGATTTCGCCTGCACTCAGTGTGGAAAGAGTTTCAGCCACGAATGCGATCTCAACCTTCACATGAAGATCCACGCTGGAGAGAAATCATATCCCTGCGTTGCTTGTGGGAGGAGTTTCACACATGTATCATCTCTACGTATACACACAAAACGAATTCACAGTAAGTAGATCATCTAAAGTTCCAGCTCTTCCAGGTTGTATTGGTTTATAGAAGATTCACAAAGTCTAAAACACTAAAGCAGGAGTTCTCAAACTCAGTCCTGGATAGGGATGGGTCTTGTTAAATTTTTAACGGTATTACTACTTTTGTCGATACCACTTATCGGTTCGGTATTTTAACAGTTCACTTATCTGTAATTTTTGTAGTGTTTTTTAATAATAAAAACACAAAGTGAACATAATTAACAACAATTTATTTTATTATAACGTTTTTTATGTCAAATAAAACAAAACCAATAATTGTAAAGAGAATAAATAAAATATTTTCTGTAAAAAAATGTACAATGGTTTGAAGGAAAACGACTCAGTTTTTCACCTTTTTTTCTTCTGGAGAAAAATCAACTTGTTTGCCTTTTCTGTCAGAAGTCGGGATCTTTCGTGGTTTATGGCTATAACAAGCTGTCTGTATAAACACACACACACACACACACACACATAGACACACAGCACCAAGCAAGCGACACACAGCATCACATTCTCTCATTCACACACACACAAACATAGACAGCACTAAACAAGCGACACACAGCATCATGCTCTCTCTAATTCACACACATAGACACACACATATGCGTGCTTGCTCGCTCGGGAGCGATATTGTTAGACAGCCCGCTCCCGTTCAAATTACACCAGAGTAACCGACCACTCCAGCGATTTATTTGGAAATTTAATCCCGTGCTGCAAGAAATCTGGTCTGGGCCCGTGCCTCCCACGCTACAGCCGCGGGAATGCAGACCTCTATCCAGAAGTATCGCTGTAACAGCCGAGAGGAGAGGAAAAGTCACGCCAGCTTGTCAAATGGGCCACAATGAGAGAGAGAGAGATGGAGTTTACTGTCATTCTCTCAGTCGCAGTGAAATAGGAGCTTCTGCTGTGTGTCAGTGAAAGACTGTCCAGCAAACACACACGCAGTGAAACTGAGCACAGCTTCTGCGTTTTTTAAGTAGTTGGAGCATTGTAAATACTCTCCTCCCTCGCCATAGCTAAGGCAACATATGAGAAAAATGGCATCAGTACATAATAACCGATTATGATTATTACTGAACCGATATTGAATTGTCTAGGTCTGCATCGCGGTGCACTGGAGAAACAATTAATTTTGACACCCCTAGTAAGTAATGTTTACCCTGTAATATCTCTCCAGTACAGATAGCAGAACTGTTAATGTCAGAGCTTAACGATGCTTCGGTCTTTTATAATTTAGCACTGATACCGATAAAGTACCAGGTTTCCTGGAGGTTCAGAGTTTTGCAGATTTTAGCTCCCAACTTGCCTCAACACACCTACAAGGATGTTTCTAGAAAGCCTAGTAAAGCTGCGGTCACACTAGAGTTTGAGCTTGCAAAATTCTGTTGTACGGCACTGCGAAAAGGGGCGGGATAAAACAAGATGATTAGACATTTTAAAAAGCGCGCGATTGGTCCATATTTTACATTTCTGTCCAGAGAGGACATGTTTTGATAATTGTTTGGTCTCTCACAGTCAAGTCATGTGATTTCGCAGGTCAGAGTTCACCAAGCTTGAACTTTGCAAAACTGCGAAATTTGACGCACGAACTTGCATATGAATGGAAGTCTATGGGGGGAAAAGTGCAGTGTGACCGCAGCTGAAGAGCTTGATTAGCTAGCACAGGCTGGCATGGGCTGGTAAAAGATTCTGAGGGTATGATAACCTTGGATAAAAATATCACGATTTTTATGGTATTGTGACTGCTGCTCTAAAATATATATTTTTGCAATGGTTTGGTAAAAAAAACTAAAGTTTTTCCCCTTTTTGAACAAAATAGATTTTATTTTGAGAAACTTTTAGAATATTTTTGTAGGGATAGTTTACAGATTGACCCAAAGAATGACCAGTCTGGTAGATGAAGAAGAGCCGGAGTCAGAGATTTAAATAAATAAATCAAGTTTACTGAAGATAGTTTGCAGTTTCATCCGCAGAAGCCAGCTTCAACACTCGTAATGAGTTCATAGGCCGCTCTGCTTACAATCACCAATCAATAACAATTATACTCTCACATAACGTCATTAACTGCGTCATACATACAGGTGTTCTAGCCTGATTGGTTAAAACACAGATAGACTGGGAACATTTGCACGTGGGGTTTGTGCGTATATTCTGAACAATATCTAAACATAAACAATAGACATCCCTTAGACTGATTATTAGAGCTGACTCCAGACCTGTGAAACGGATCAACAATCAAATAAAACACACACACACACACACACACAAAGTATAATCTGTTTCTTATCCAAGGCTGAGTGTACTGTCAGCCGTCTTTATCGAAACTGGTTAAAAACTGGTATAATCTACATTCAGGCAGATATATTCTTACTACACAAAGTCTATCTTGAATAAAAAGTAGAATCACTTTAAAAGATTTAATCGTAAAAATAGACATTTTAGACAATATTAACTCCTAGAAATAACAATAGAAACAGCTGCTTCCAGTCCTCAGTTCCACTCAAGGTCTCCATGACCTCTGACCTAGTTTGCTGGCTCCTGAAAATAGTCATAAAGAGACAGGCAAATGCACTGAACTTATAAAAACGTACTTATATTACTTATATTAAGCAATGTGTTAACTTATTCATTAATTCAAATCAATTCACAGTTAAATACTGAGAAACAGGATGATGAAAAGGATAAACGTTGGTCCATGATGAGATGGACTGGAAAGCAGAAATCCGAATCCTTCATTTTGGAGCAGTAAACATGTCAGGCTAAATAATTCAAATATAGTCTTCTGCTGTCTTCATTAGTTTCAAAAACACAGATTTTCTTCACAAATTAAAACGGCTTCTCTGTATATCTTTTCAGCCAGAGATACTGTTGTTCTAAAAAAAATTACTGCTGAAGCCCCTATTTCTCTGCGATTGAGGGAATGAAAGTACTCCATTTCTCTCTCTCTCTCTCTCACTGTGGCCCATTTCACCTGCTGGCGTGACTTTTCCTCCCCTCTCTTTTCATCTCGGCTGTATGCATTCCTGAGGCTGTACCTGTGCTTTATCGGAGGACCTGAACAGATTTCATGTGTCGCGGGAATAAACTTCTGAGTAAAGCGCGGGAGCGGTCGGTAACTCTGGTGTAATTTTAACAGGAGTGGGCAGTCTAACAATATCGTTGCCAAGCGAGCGAGCAAGCAAGCGCGTGTGTGCGGGTGCGTGTTTGTTGGGTGCTGTCTATGTTTGTATAGACCTTTTTCATGGCTGCTGCATGGAGGGCGCCATAGCGCCCAGCGTCTTCCGGTAGAATGCTAAAAACTTCCAATTACAGCGTGTACAACTGATAATTTGCGCTCCGAAAATGGCTTTCAATACCGTTTTCAATGGATAACAGAGTGTTTTTGTGACACACAACCTAGAAATGTGTCTGTTAAAGCCGTTATAATCTGTCACATGTGGTTCAAGCGCGTCAGAGATACAAGAAAAACGTTCTCCTAGTTCACGTGTCTGCCGTCAGAAATACAGTGTGTGTGTGCGTTCCCAGCCTGTCAGCTGTTAGCTCAGCGGCTCTTTAACACACACACACACACAGAGAGAGATAGAGAGGGAGAGAGAGAGAAAACCAGAGAACTGGCATGAAACTCAACAGGTATGAAAGTCGTGCAATTTACAAAAATGAGCAATAAAAGTCTGTTATTGATCCTCTGCTGGCTGATCTGCTGTTCATGCTAATCGCGAGCCGTTTGTGTTTTATTTCGTGTGTTGTTTTCACCACGGTTTGTGTTTTTCTGTGATTTCGAAATAACACTCGCCTATATTTTCACTGTCACAGTTATTAAATCAGTGTGTCAGTGGCACAGTACAGGCTACGTGTGTGTGTGTCAAACATTTTGGTGATTTACATTAGTTTGGGCTGGTTATATATTTGAAATAAAGAGAAAATGTTGACTTTAGCGATGACAAGGCTTCATTTAAACTGCAGAAGATGCCGTCTGACAACGAGGGGAAAACGCCTCACAGCAGCTGTTTTCCATCCTATTAGATCGCATTTCTTTAAATGATCAGTCCAGGAGATGCTGCTGATGGACAACAGTATTAGTTCAAAGAGGATAAAAGCAGGTAAAATAGATTAAAACTATCGTTTCAAAGCTGTCCAAATGTGACTGTTTACACGCATCAGCTGCCGACCGGAAGTTCTTCGCATTCTCCTTGCGCATACACGCAAAGCATAATGGGTAATTTTGCGTTCCAAGAAAAAGGTCTATATGTGTGTGATAGAGACAGTGTGGTGCTGTGTGTCCGTCTGTGTGTATTTATACAGACATCTTGTTATAGCCACCCTTCAAAATCGTACATTGCCTCAAAAGCATCGTCACTGCACCGTGATGCACAGAGATATCGAATTGAACTGATGGCATGATAATCGTAACCGAACCGTTAAACCAATATAGGTTCACACCTCTACCGTTTATCAACCCATGCCTAAGCCCAGGTGTGTCTGATTGGAGCTAAAACCTCCAGGACCGAGACTGAGAACCCCTCAATCCCAAAGAGATATTCTTGCTTTTGATGAATCCTTTCATTTGTTACTGTTTCGGCTCTGCTCGAGCCGAGACTGTGTGTGTTTTTCCACACATTAGGGTTTAATGCGTCTCCCACTGTGGCGGATGTAATATCTCAGCTCAAAAACTTCTCAGATTTGGACTTTCAATCAAAACATGAAGTAATAAAGGATGGACGACCAATGCCGGAGCTAAAGGACTTGCTTCAAACGACGGGACAGAAGATAACTCGATCCTTTCAAAGGGATTGGTACGACCGAAAAGACTGGCTGTGTGGCTGTGCCACAAGAAACCGCCTATTCTGTTATCCCTGTCTTTTGTTCTCAGCTTGTGACAATGTATGGACTGACACAGGGTTTTGTGACTTAAAAAATCTACCAAGAAGTCTCACCAAACACGAATGCTCAGCTACTCACATTCAAAGCCAAATCGCTTTAAAAACGTTTGGAACTTCGCAGATAGACTTGGCCTTAAACGAACAACATAAGCTAAACATTAGCATTCACAATGCTATGGTGAAGGAAAATCGAGAGGTTTTAAAAGATCTTATTAACGCAACCTGCTTCTTAGCCAAACAGCAATTGGCGTTACGCAGTAGCAACGACAGTGCAAGCTCTTCCAATCGTGGGAATTATGTTGAGCTATTGCATGCTTTTGCCGAGAAAGACGAGAGGCTTGCAAGACACTTGCAGACATCTACTCTATTTTCTGGCTCGTCAAACGGTATACAGAATGATTTAATTGAAGCAATGAGTCACGTGATCAGAAGTGACATCAAAAAGGACATTGACCGGGCATCATTTGTTGCCGTACAAGTAGATGAGACAACGGATGCCACTAACAAAGCCCAGATCTCTGTCATTTTGCGTTATGTGGCTAAAAGTGAGGCGGCCTGTGAAGTGAGGGAGGCCTTTCTGGAATTCGACGATGTAAGTGGTGACAGAAGCGCCTCTGCTGTAGCCCAGTATGTCCTGGGAGTGTTGGAGAGATACAAGTGTGTTGACAAGCTGGTAGCTCAGACCTACGACGGAGCATCTGTAATGCCATCCGAGCTTAATGACCTGCAAGCGAAGATTAAAGAGAAGGTTCCTCACGCCATGTTTACCCATTGTTATGCACATAAACTGAACGTAGTGCTGCAGGATTCAGCAAAGAGCATGTCCGAGTGTAGAGCCTTTTTTAAAACAATTGAAGGACTAGGAACATTTTTCAACAAGTGCACAAAGCGCACCCAGTTACTGGATGACGTTGTGAAACGGCGTTTACCAAGAGCAGCGCCCACAAGATGGAGCTCAAAGTCGAGACTGTTGCAAACTACAAGCATGTACCAATCTGACCTGCTTACCGTATTTAGTATTATGATTGAAAATCCAGACATCTGGGATAATGACACTGTAATTATGGCCTCTGGATATGAGCGGTGGCTATCAAAGGCATCAACATGCTTTCTCATCATGGCATATGATGGAATCTTCAATGAAACGGATGCACTCTTCAGAGTACTGCAAAACAAAGCCATGGACATTGGGTTTTGCTGTGCACGAATACGCGACACAATTGGAGCTGTGGAAGACCAGAGGCAGGAGTTTAAGAGTTTCTACGAGCGGTTTGAGCAGAAGTGCTCCTCACTTGGTCTGACAGATAGTGTGCAAAGTCAGCAGCTGGTCAGAGATGAGCGGAAACGATTGTTTAGTAACATTCTGGACAACATTACTGCTCAGCTGAGAGCAAGGTTTGATCATTTTAGCGGTCTATCTTTCCTTGGTTTGGTCGACTGTACAAGATTTAAGGAAATGTCAAAACACTTCGATGACGCCAAAGTGCAGAGCTTGTCCAAATATGCCAAGTTTTTTGACTTTGTCAGACTAAAAGCTGATCTGATCGGACTGTACAGCTCACAAACAGTGCGGAATGAATGTAAATCCCCTATACAGCTTCTCAGCTTTTTGACCCAGAAGAACCTGACGCAGGCTGTTCCTGAAGCCACCAAATTACTCCAGCTGGCTCTCACTATACCGGCTACTCCAGTGTCTGTGGAAAGGTCATCCTCTGCTCTGAAACGACTCCAATCCTACAGCCATAATCGCACCTCTCAAGGACAACTTACATCCCTGGCAATCTTCTACATTGAGACTGAGAGACTTCAGAAAATAAAAGAAGATAAGGAGGACTTTTACGCCAAAGTCACAGAGATTTTTATTCAGAAAGAGCGGAGTATGGACTTCATTTACAAGTAATGGTAGGACCAGTGTGCAGGAGAGAAAGATCGAGCACACATCGGCCATGATGCTCTGTTGCTTGTTTTTCAAAAGGCTATAAACAAACTTAAGGGGATAAAAATGGTAGTTTAACGTTAAGTCAGACATAAAGGAATAGTATTAAACATAATGATTCCTTCCATTTATACAGCGCTTTTCTGGACACTCAAAGCGCTTTACACATTTTTTGGGAGGAATCTCCTCATCCACCACCAGTGAGCAGCATCCATGTGGACGACAGGACAGCAGCCATATTAAAGCCTGGTTTATACTTCTGCGTCAAGTGACCGGTGTAACTCATGGCGCATGCAATGCACGTAGCTGTGCATTTATACTTCTGCCCGCTGTCTCTGTTGGTCTGAATTAACACTTCGGAAACGCTAGTTGGCAGTGAGGTGTAAATGTTCCTCTGTGTCGAGTTTCTTCGCTGCTGTTTTGCTTTTCCTGAACACTTCCTGGATGTACAAGTGACTCAAACTCGCTTATTTTGAGGCAGGAACCGGCGGACGGGCAACAACTTTAACTATGAGGTAAACACAAAACAAAACTTTCCATCCGTAGCTCCTTCACGGGACTCCACACTTGTAAACATCGCTAGCGCCATTCGCGAGGCTCTCGGTCCAGCCCAGACTCGTCAGCGCTACCAAGCCGACCAATCACAGAGCTTGCGCTACACGTCGTTGCGACGTGTAGTTACATTTTTTTTAAAGGTGCACGTCAGTGACGGCCACGGCGAAGGGCTATGCGTTAGCGCCATAGCATACGCCGGTGTTTGACGCAGAAGTATAAATCAGCCTTAAGCCAGACCGCACACCAGCTGATTGGTAGAGAGCAGACCGAGTGATGAACCCAGTTATGATATGGGGAGGGTTAGGAGGCCATGATGGACAAAGGTCAGTGGGCAAATTTGGCCAGGATGCCAGGTTAAACTCATACACTTTTTCGAAGGACGTCCTGGGATTTTTAAGGATCGCAGAGTCAGGACCTCTTACAGTATGGTGTCCCTATCAAAATACAGGGGCGTTAGGACCCACACAGACCAGAGGTTGAGCGCCCCCTGCTGGTCTCACTAACACCACTTCCAGCAGCAACCTAAAATTCCCATGTGGTCTCCTATCCCAGGTACTGACCAGGGGCCTCATGTATCAATGCTGCATAAGCACAATAACTTTGCGTATGGCAAATTTCACGCTCACGTTTGGATTTACTAACGATGAAATAAACGTAAGAATTTTAACTTCATGCCTGGCGTACGTGCATTTCTTGTGTGTGTCTGTTTTATTTCCATTGGCAACTCCTAGATGCAATTGTGTTAAATTGCACACTACAAAGTGTCTTTGAGCCGTGCAATGGCAGCTGTATGAGACGGGTTCATCCGCATGTCTAGAAGGTATATGAGGTTTCCATACCATGCAGTTGACCAGCCAAACATTAAAAGCACAATTGGCAGCGATCACCGGTTTTCCCAAAGTAATCGGAGCTATCGACTGCACGCACATTGCTATGAAGGCACCATCTGAAGACGAATTTGCATACGTGAATCAGAAACATTTCCATTCAATAAATGTGCAATTAATATGTGATGCTCAAATGATTCCTACTTGTCTTCCTCGTGATGAAGAATAGGCAAAATCTGATTTGTACAGGGGCAAAAAAGATGAATGAGTTCATCAGACGGTGGATTCAAACCGGGTTTATGATCTAACGTGTGCAGGGCCGGAGCAAGCTGAACTGCCGCTCTAGGCAGAGGATGATCACGCCGCCCTTAACCCCAATGTGAAAACGAAAGTGACAGGTTATGAAAATGAAGTGAGGTGTCGCGGACCTCTTTTCCGGCGCACTATTCGCGGATATAACTGAGGACGCGCGGGTGCTGAGGGAGGGAGGGAGGTGTCGCGGATACTGCGCTCTTTATTTTGCCGCCCTATGTGCGGATATAACTGAGGACGCGCGGGTGTCGCGGACCTCAATTCTGCCGCCCGACACGCAGGTGCTGATGGAGGTGTCGCTGATGCCGCCCTCTCTATTCTGTCGTCTATGCGCAAATATATCTGAGGACGTGGGTGGTGAGGGAGGTGTCGCGGACATAACTGAGTACGTGGGTGGTAAGGGAGGTGTCGCGGACGCCGCCCACTCTATACTGCCGCCCTAGGCGGCCGCCTAGGTCGCCTCTATGGACGCGCCGGCCCTGAACGTGTGCCATGCGCTTTAGGAGCTACGCCACTCACGCTGCTGTTTGCCGCTCTTAGTTATGTTGTCTCTGTCAATCAAACGCTGATGGGCGGGAATCTCAACTAGCTCATTCCAATGAGGTGTGCTATTTGCACTTAGCCTAAATAGACATTACAAAATTTTACACCTTTCAATCGGACCATTTCTTTTTTAATTCACTCAAAGTGTGATGTTCAGACCCCACTGCATTAACCGCGTCAGCTAAACTCTCCCACTCTATTTTATTCTTTTGTTAAAATTCCGGAGGACAAACTTGCAAATAACAGTTTTTCTCCGGTCTACCTCCGAAAGGAGCACCTCCAATTCACATTCTGTTCAAAGTTTCTCTTCTTGCGTGCTTTTGCCATTGCTTTTTCATTTGGTTTTGCCAAAGAAGAGTCATTACCATATTTATTACAGGGGAGGGATTTTGTCCACATTCTCTTTTTACATCTGAATTAATGTGAAACTAGCATACGTGCATGAGCGCAAAACCCCTCCCTGCCTCCTGCACATTTACAGCTTTGTGCATACGCAAGGTTTTGGTATGAATTCAACACAAGTCTTCGTACATGAGGCCCCAGGTGCAGCCTTGCTTAGCTTCAGTGGGCAACCATGTGACCAATTCTAAATGTGATTAATGAAAATTTAAATTAAAAATCAAAAAATGTACCTGATGTTGTCTTAAAATAACAACCGAAAAATAACTTATGAAAAAACTACTGGATAATGATTTTATTTCATCTTAAAACAATCTTAGTATTTTTAAAGATACAGTAAATTTGTATTTACGCATTATACACATTATATACATAAACAGGAAGAGACTGAAGAACTAATAGGTTTGTGTTTATTCATTACTCTTCAATAATGAGGCTGAATGACAGTCGGGTTGTTCATTTTTAAGCTCTTCATCCATTTTAGTTCTTTTTTCATATTAATTTGTCTTAATTTTTGTGTTTTTGATTATGAGACATGCCTGAATCAACTTTACATCTCAAACTGTTTGTGTTGTGTACCTGATGTTGTCTTAAAATAACAACCGAAAAATAACTTATGAAAAAACTACTGGATAATGATTTTATTTCATCTTAAAACAATCTTAGTATTTTTAAAGATACAGTAAATTTGTATTTACGCATTATACACATTATATACATTAACAGTATTTTGTAATGCACGTTTTTATTATTTACCCCCGTTTATTTATGCTTTTGAATTACATTATGAGAACTTTTATCCTTGAAATGTTTGAAAAAGTGACTTTTATTGTCATTTTTAATATTGTGCAGTGCTATATTGTCTGTGTTGGTGTTGCATATTACGCTACAGAAACCTTGTAATAAACTGCAGCACATTTTCTGTTATTTTACAGACCTAATGCTCTAGATAACATTTCTTACACATTATATAACTTCAAATTACCAAAAAGTCACTTTGTTAAACTGTAGAGTTAAATTTTCATCGTCAGAAGTGGATAGAGTCAATGTCCAACCTGAAGCCAACCAACCTAACATCAACGCTAATGATGTTACAGCTTGATGTTGTGTGGGCGTTACCACTATGACGTCTATCAGATGTTGGATTTTGGTTGCCATACCTGACGAATAAATGTCAGTTTTTGACGTCAATATGATGCTGGTTTAAGATGTTGGCCTGATGTTGGTTGATTTTTTTTTATTTATTTATTTATTTTTTTTTATGTCTGCTACGCCCCTGGTCACTATGTGGGCATATTTACTGTAGAAAACCTGTCACTGAAATATGAGGGCAAAAATAAAATAAATAATCATTCATTAATTGTAATCGAATTCAAATGTTAAATTAATTAAGATTTTGATTTCAGGCCAGATTGCCCAGCCATATTGTTAAATGATGTACAAATTATGTGTTTTCTGAAAAGAGAGGCTTCACATTTTATAGAGAGACCATGCTTTATTTTAGTCATGATATGCTTGTTTTCCCATCATTATCATTATTATTATATATCTTCAAGCATTTTTAAAGTATTCATTCTTACATTTTGTTAAAATCTAATTTCCTGATAGTTACCTCAGTAAGATGATTTTGTTACGTTTGCTTTTTTTAAGGTGCATTTTTTTAACTACGTTTTAAGTGTCTAGCAGACGGTCTCTCACAATGTTTGGACTTGTCGGTAGAATTTTAATTTGGCGTGTTTTTGTTGAACCGCCGTTGCTCCCGCCTCGCCGTGATGACGTCAGCGCTTGACGCGTTCAGTCAGCGTCGAGTCTTCAGAGCTGAGGTGAGTCGTTTTCGCTTTTTTCTCGTGTTTATACAACAATAAAACACACTTTACAGTTTATTAAAGCGACAATCTGCGACTAGTTTCTGCATTGAGTTCACCTCTATCTGTGTGTCTGCTGACCAAAACAATACAGCAGGCGGAGAGAAGCTCTGAGAGGACAATATGAGTGAATGTGTTTGGGTTCTATGTTAATGTTTTTTCTACGTTTGTATTCGTAACATCGCTACGATATGTAAATAAACTTAAATGTTTACAAGTTGAACAAAACGTGAATCTACTACAAATGTTTTTTTTTTCTCTCAGTGTCTGTACATAGATTTGCTAACAATCTAATTTAGTGGTATGAATGCTAATGAGCAGTGTTACGGATGTGACATTTGCAGTAAAAACTCAAAGCATAAATTCACATAAAAAGTATATGTTAACATTATATTAAAACATTTGTTTATATTTTCCAGAACTCACTACAAAGTTAATAGAGGTAAAGTTGGTTTTATATTCGCACATTCGTTCATTTAGCAGTCTCTATATTGTTTTATGTTACTTTGAATATTCGATCGGAATTAGCATACAAGTATGACTTGAAAACAACATTAACACTGATAATTTGACTGTGATCAATGTTGACTTTGATAGTCATTGGCTGCTAATATGATTTCGCTATTTAGAGCTTGCAAATTATACTTTTATGAAATTATATTGTTAAGGGGAAAGTCTATATGTGCGAATACATTCATTCATTCATTGTCTTGTCGGCTTAGTCCCTTTATTAATCCGGGATCACCACAGCGGAATGAACCACCAACTTATCCAGCACATTTTTACGCAGCGGATGCCCTTCCAGCTGCAACCCATCTCTGGGAAATGAATGTGCAAACATAAAACTAACTTTATCTCTATACAGAGTTATGGGATCAGAAAAATATCAACAATGTAAACATGTTTTGTACTTAAAATAGAAAATAAACATGCGTTATGTATGTGACAAAAAAGTCTGTGAGTTTACAGTACACAACATACTTTGTAGAAATTCTGTGAATTAAACTGCACAACCCAAAAGAAACAATGATAATCATAAAAATAAGAGTTGGCTAACAATAAAAACAAACAGTTTTGATTTTATTTAAAATTTTTGCATTTATAAGGAAAAAGTGCCGTTATGGATGTGCATCCCCACTTTTAGAGACAGACCATTTAGAAACAGGTGATAAAGAATGTAACCCTTTGGATTTCATACAGCTGTCCCCTCGGCTTTTAAAATGTCCACTACACCCCTGGTGTGACTTTGGTAAATCAAATATAATAGTTTGAAAACACTGACCGATACATTTCTGAGTATTTCTAGAGTACTGTAAAATACTTGCTAATAAAAAGGCTTAGAAACGGTTTCCGTATTTTGGTAAACCTGAATTTTTTTCATGGCAAGGTTGACATTTGCATGTAATAGCTCTAATATTAAACTAGATAAAAACAAAGTGTAACTGGATATCAATTAAAAAGTATGCATTTACTATTGAAATATATCCTGCCAACACAGTTTTAAAATGAACTGATCCCGAATGATGTTTAATGAGTGTTTATAGTCTGATGCTCAACAATATTTTCAGAGCTGCTAAAATCCTCTGTATTTAAGTTCCTGTTTTTACTTCATTCAGATTAGGTTCATGTTATTGGTGTCCGCTACATTACATAATCACATATTGTATCTATCACCTAGAGATATAAATATGATCTGATTTATTTAATCAATCAGTGTAAATGAATCAGATTTCTCTGTTTATTCCTCTGAAGCTCCATCAGTGAAAGACAAAGGCAGAGTTTATTGAAGGACAGTGAGAAGATGAGTGATCCAGAACCCTGCAGAATTAAACAGGAAGAGACTGAAGAACTAATAGGTTTGTGTTCATTCATTACTCTTCAATAATGAGGCTGAAGGACAGTCGGGTTGTTCATTTTTAAACACTTCATCCATTTTAGTTCTTTTTTCATATTAATTTGTCTTAATTTTTGTGTTTTTGATTATGAGACATGCCTGAATCAACTTTACATCTCAAACTGTTTGTGTTGTGGTGCTGAAAAAGGGGTTTCAAGGGGTATCCAGCCCTTCCCTTTAGCCCTCTGCCTTCAAGCTAAAGAGAATTGGGACACCCCTACCCTTTCATGTGATTGTAAGGGGTAGAATTGGGATTGGGCCAAACTAATCTATTTTTGAGTCGTTTGGCAAAATTTTAATTGTTAACAAGTTGCTTCCAAACAAATCTTCAGCTAGCCCAAACATTGATCACACTACAAGCTAGTCATAACTACAATGCTGTTAAAAGTGAAAATTAACATTAATATGTTTATCTAAATCAGTTGTCTGTGATCAGCTCAGCTCACCTAAACACGCACACACACACACACACACACACACGCACACACACACACACACACACACACAAGTCAAGCATGAAATTATTTACTAGTTCTGAGATCAGTTTTTTTTACCAACAGATGGCGCTGTACTCCATACTACAAATTCTTACACACACCACTTTAGCCTAAAATGATTATTCGTAAAGTTAGGAAATGTTTAGGTAAAAATTCAGTGTAAAATAATCTTGTGGTATAAATGACTTAATTTTCAGATGTGGTGGTGAAGGAGGAGAGCGAAGCACCGAGTGAAGATGAGGAGAAACATCATGTCAAGAATGAGAACAGAACAGCCGTGAACGGTCTCATCTGCACTCAGTGTGGAAAGAGTTTCAGCTGCAAAAATAGTCTGAAGCGCCACATGATGGTCCACACTGGAGAGAAACCGTTTCACTGCATTGATTGTGGGAGGAGTTTCACACGATTACCTTCTCTACAACTACACAGAAAGCACATTCACAGTAAGTGGATCCTCTGAAGGCCCAGCCCTTCCGATATGTATTATTTAGGATGATTGTGAATAGTTTGAAGGATTTGCTTAATGTAAAGTGAATGTAACCAAAGACCTTTGAATGAATTAATTTAATTATAAATAAAATTAATAGAAAGAAAATGTTTTCTGGTTGGTACATAAGTGTAAATCAGTCATTTAGGCCACATTTAATACAGTCAGGTTCATAAATATTGGGACATCAACACAATTCTAACATGTTTGACTCTATACACCAACGCAATGGATTTGAAATGAGCAAGATGTGCTTTAACTGCAGACTGTCAGCTTTAATTTCAGCCGGTTTACATCCAAATCAGGTGAACGCTGTAGGAATTACAACAGTTTGCATATGTGCCTCTCACTTGTTAAGGGACCAAAAGTAATTGGACAGACTAATAATAAAAATCAAACTTTCTTTTTAATACTTGGTAGCAAAGCCTGAAGTCTGGAACACATAGACATTACCAGATGCTGGGTTTCATCCCTGGGGATGCTCTGCCAGACCTATTGCAACTGTTTTTAGTTCATGCTTGTTCTTGGGGCATTTTCCCTTCAGTTTTGTCTTCTGAAAGTGAAATGCATGCTCAATCGAATTCAGGTCAGGTGATTGACTTGGCCGTTGCATAGCATTTCACTTCTTTCCCTTCAAGAACTCTTTGCTTGCTTTTGTAGTATGCTTTGGGTCATTCTCCATCTGCACTGTGAAGCAACGGCCAATGAGTTCTGAAGCATTTGGCTGAATTTGAACAGATAATATTGCCCAAAACACTTCAGAAGTCAGCAGAGACGTCACCAGTAAATACAAGAGAACCAGTTCACAGGGTTCTCCTAAAAAGATAATAAGATGATGTACATGAAGGACATTTTTTTAATCAGCTTTTAATTACATTTGGACAAAACGTGTCCTGTCTAGAATTATCCCTACCCTTTTCAAAAATCTATAGAAAAGCTTTTATTGGTTATTACCGGAAATCAAACGCTTCCTATAATTGCTGACCCGCTGTTTGCAGGTCTCCACTAGTATTTCGATGAGCTCCAACTCTGTCAGGTTGGAAGTTCTCCATCTCCCTGATCTGTAGCTCAATCCACGGATTCTCAATAGGGTTTAGCTCAGGACTCTGGCTGGGCCTCTGCCAAAGGTTAATGTTTTTGTCTGCCAGCCATTTCTTCACCACTTTGCTCTTGTTGTTGTTGTTGTTGTGCTGAAATGTCCACTGGTGCCCAGGGCCAAGTTTCTTTGCTGACCACCTGATTCATTCTTTTTTATTTCGGCTTAGTTCCTTTTTTAATCTGGGGTCGCCACAGCGGAATGAACCATCAACTTATCCAGTATATGTTTAACGCAGTGGATGCCCTTCCAGCTGCAATCCATCAGTGGGAAACATCCGTACACTCATTCACACACACACTACGAACAAGCTCACCAAATTCACCTATACCACATGTCTTTGGACTTGTGGGGAAAACTGGAGCATCCGGAGGAAACCCACACCAACACAGGGAGAACATGCAAACTCCACACAGAAACGCCAACCGACCAACTAGGGCAGGGATGGGCAAACTTGATCCTCGAGGGTTGGTGTCCCTGCAGAGTTTTGTTCCAACACTAGTCAAACACACCTGAACAAACTAATCAATGTCTTCAAGATCACTTGAACTCTATATGGAGGTCTGTTTGAATAGGGTTGGAGCTAAACTATGCAGGGCACTGGCCCTCCAGGATCAAGTTTGCCCATACCTGCACTAGGGGCTCGAACCAGCGACCTTCTTGCTGTGAGGCAATCGTGCTACCCACTGTGCTACCCCTGAAAGAATTTTGATGCATTACTTCTATTTCATGGTGCTATTTACTGTGATCAGATTTCCTGGTCTACCGGCTACAAACATTAAGTTCCCACCACTATGTTTGACAGTGGGAATGGTGTACTTAGAGTTAAAGGCTTTTCCTTTAATATGGCAAATGGCCATGTTTAAACTTGCTGGTTAAATAAAATGAACTAAATCAGAATTTGCCAGGGGTATGAATAATTTTGGGCTGGACTTTGTATTTAAACTTAGTCTTGTGAAAGATTGGATGGCTTGTTTCATATGCAAACAAGTATCTGCATCTGAATTGGTGCACGTCTGAACCAATTGGCCTACAGGAACGAGTTAACATTGACGTTGAGGAACTGCATTATTCATTGTCTTCAATATTTGGTCAACTTAATTTATGTATTAGTCAGGGTTTCTGCGGGGTCCTAAAAAGTCTAAAATTGAAAATTTAGGCTTTAAAAAGTCTTAAATTAGCTGTTCTAGGTCTTAAATATTGTTGCACAGGTCTTATTTTTCCAATGTCCATGTAACGCTAAATCTAATGCTCATTTAAATTCTTTGTTGTTGCTTAGTTTTCGTGGTGTTGTAGTTCTTTATTCAACTAATCCAATTGTAAATTGCGCTATTACAACTACAAATAAGACAGACATGCCAATACCGACAACAGCCAATCAACTTTCAGTTATTTAACTCTGTGTGCACGGCGAATGTGACGTCAACGCTGTGTTTGCAGAGGTTTGCTTTGGGTGCGCGCGACATGATTTCGGCTGGCAGAGCTCACAAATTTTTGACTTGACGGTTGATTTGAGTTGAATATGAAACTCTTAGAAGAGATTTTGTCTGAAACAGGTACAACTGTACAGACATATTCATAATTCATCCAGGCCTAATCCATGCATAACCCTGTCTAAGGCCGTACTCACACTAGGTACAGTTGCCTCGAACCGGGCCAAAGCACGCTTGTCCCCCCTCCCGTCTCCCACGACGGCCCGCACTCACACCACAAACGGGCCTGCGCATGCTTGCGTCATCGATGCTGCGCTGTTCAGTGAGAAGCGCTCTCTCACTCAGCAGCACAGAGGAGATGTCTCTAGTTATATCGTTTCAGTCGTTTGTTATGCCGTGACACATGCAGTCAAATATTTCGCCAAACAGATCCGTCACTTTTGGCGCTCATAAACAATCATAAAGCTCTCGTGCTGCAGGAATGAGGAGGTCTGTTAAAGTTATAACAGACCTCGGGCACACCTCTTCCAACCGGGCCAGGGCCGGCCAAGTGAACTGTGCTTGAGCCCGATTCAGCGCACTCACACTTCTCAAATGATCCGTGAAACGGGCCTGGGCACGGTGTGAGTAGACCCTAAGTAGAGGACAGAAACTAGCCAGACAGCAATGTGTAATTTGTGAAAAGGGCTAAATAAAATAAAAAAAACATCAGTATTTTAAGTAAGTGTACTTTTGTTTTGTTTTTTGCTTTTATTCTTGCCATAATTAAAAATATAATTGTAGAGCAACTCATGTTCTGTAGTCATTAATATTTAACTTTAATAGATAGAGATGTCCGAAATATAACCAGAAGCAAGTGATGCATCAAAGTTTGATTAAAAAAAAAAACTTGAATGGTTATAAAAATCTTAATAATTATTTTAATAAATGACAAAAATAATAATCTTCAAAATCTTGACCGATGATATGACGTGGTTCCGAAAATGTCCTACATCTGTTTATTCATCTGATTTTACAGTGTTTTATTTTTAAACACCTCCTGTCATTTAAAAAAAATATACCACAACGGCGAACGCATCAAGTAAAAACCTCACCAGTTTATGAGGTGCGCATTCTACGGAACCCCGGAAGGGACGTAGTGGAGGAGAAAAAAATTGGCTGGTTGAAAGAAAAAATGGGTGAAAGAAAAAAATGGGTGGAAGGAAAATATTTCTTTCTAAGTTTTTGCGTTCTCTCGCAAAGTTTTGCATTCCCTCGCAAAGATGTTTTGCGTTCTCTGGCAAAGTTGTTGTTTCTCCACAAACACGTCCTGTTCACTTCACTCACGTAAACCCTCCCGTTTTTGCTGAAATTCTCCCATATTTTACCATTCTATCCCACTTTCTTTAAATCAATACTGTGCGTTGATCGTCGCCTTTCATATGCAACCTCTGAACCAGCGAATGCATGTATAAGCGCTGACTGACAGACGCGCTCCATACAATAAACTGATCCCAGATCAGCTTCTGTATACGCCATTTACAGTGGATCACAGAGGAGCGGGTGAATGTTTAAACAGACAAACACACTGAATAATATGTAAACATCATTACATGAGTGAAGTGAACAGGAAGTGTTTATGGAGAAACAGTTTTGCGAGAGAACGCAAAAAAACGTAGAAATATATATTTTCCTTCCACCCATTTTTTTCTTTCACCCATTTTTTTCTTTTCATCCAGCCAATTTTTTTCTCCTCCACTACGTCCCTTCCGGGGTTCTGTAGAATTCAGAGCCACCCAAGAACTGTTAAGCCAAATACAGTAAAATATAACACTTGTCTGAGTGTTTTTAATCTGCAACTCTGATTTTGAGTGCTTCTTTTATAGGTTGCTTTGGATAACAGCGTCCGCTAAATGTATACAAGTAAATGTAAAAAGCATGTGTGGTTTTGGTTTTTGGCCAAGAATTTTTTTATTTCAGCTTAGAATTTTCTGCTAGTCGTCATACACACGGATGAGAGTGATTAATTGTAGGTATTTGGTACCAAATCTTTAGACATTTTATGATACTCGATCGTATCAAAGTGATTCAGTTTTTACCTAAAAAAAATCATTGAATTTGAGACTGTTATAATTCAACTTTTTCTCTATTATTTTTCAGACTTGATTGTGGAGAAGAAGAGTGAAGACATGAAGGTCCACCATAGTGTCGATAGAAAGAAGCAGCAATATTTATGCTATTCATGTGGAAAGAGTTATGCAAAAAAACACCATTTAATGTGTCATGAGAGGTCTCACACTGGAGAGAAACCCTACAGCTGTCCACTCTGCGGCAAGAGATTTAGCCTGTTAAATGGCTTAAAAACACATGAGAGGATTCACACGGGAGAGAGACCGTACACATGTACTGAGTGCGGGAAGAGCTTCAGACAACTGTCGAACCGTAATCAACACATGAAGTTCCACAGCGGAGAGAAATTACACAAATGTGATCTCTGCGGAAAATTATTTACAAGGCTTCCAGATCTGAGGAAACATCGGAGAGTGCATACGAAGGAGAGGCCTTACTCATGCTCTGTGTGTGGGAAGAGTTATTCATGGCAGTCGGGTTTATTAAAACATCAGAAGCATCACACTAGAGAGTTTGTGTACTCTGAATAAGAAGACTTTTAGATTTTTATTATTATTTGGAGTCTTGAAACGACACTAGAAGAGTCACGATAGAGGGAAGTCCCTTTAAAACTTAGCGGCCTTATCATACACTCGGCGCAATAAGGCGGAAGACGTGCTTGGCACGATTTGTTGATATTTTCAGACCAGCGCAGCTCTAATTTTCACATTTTGCGTAGCGTTGTTTAAATAGCAAATCCATTTGTGCCACTTTGTGGACTCATAGGTGAGCTGGTCTTTTCTCAATTTATTCATCACAATTTGCATGTGTATGTTATTATTATTAGCAGTATTATTTATTATATGCATATTTATATTCGTTTTATTAAAAAAAACAAGTTTAGATTTGTCTGCCTGTGAGGTTTTGGAGACGTCTGCATCACCATATGTGGATAAGAACAGGACGTGTGTTTGGACATAACTCAGTTGTTTGAGCACACTTTGTTTTTATTGTTCATTTATTCCTTTGCTGGAGATTAGAACTGGATTTAGAAATAGTTTTAAGCACATCTTTGTGCTTGACAAGCAAAATTAAATATGTCAGCTAATGTATGTCATCAGTGGAATGCGTACAAAACAGTTTCCTTATCCAGCAAAGTAAAGGAGTAAAGAGTAAAAGAAAAGTGAAAGTAAAGAGGCTGAATGGAGGAGGCTCGTTCTTTATCCTCGCGCTGCAGATGCTCTGTTTAGCTGTCGCTAGTGAAGCTTTTAGTTTTTCTTCTTACAAAGTCCGCCATGTAAATAGCAAATGCACCATGGAGCTCCCCCATGAATGAGACTCTGATTGGTTTAATGCAGGTTATGCTCAAAACCCACCCAGAACTCATTAAGAGAATAAGCTCAACCCTGTTAGACCGTGCGCCAGAATGCAAAGGGTATTTTTCCATCCTTAAAATAGTATAACGGAGGCCAGCTAGTGAGTGCTGTGCAGGTAAACCTCACTCCTCTGACCTCTAAAAGGTGCTCTAGCGTCAAACGCTAGAGACCATAGTCTTTAGCCTCCTTGTTGGAGCAACTGACTCCCATGTGGAAGGTTGCCGATTCAATCCCAGCTCTGAGCGGGTTGGGCAGTGTAGAACCGGCGGGTTTACAATAGCAAAAGTGGGTCCGGGTACACCCTTAATAACTTTTCGCAATTTAGACTTTGCCCCTAGATCGTTAAAATAGAGCCCATAGTCTGATTACTCACCATATTTGCAACCCTCCTGGGGCCGTTTATCCAAGACCAAAGTCCTATCTAAATGAATAGGTTGGGAGGGGGGGGGGATACGTCCCCCTCACTTTTATAGACAGACCATTTAGAAACAGGTGATTAGTAATTATATGAATGTAAACTTTTGAATCTCATTCAGCTTTCCCCAAACACTTTTACAATGTCCGCTACGCTGGATTTATCCCATTGATGTTGCTTGCCGTAACAAACAAATCTGTACAGACCACGTAGCTATAAAGACTGATGATTGGCTATTTCAACCAGAAGGCAGTACTTCGTTTGCCATAACGAGTGTTGCACTTTTGTTGATGGTAATGCCTTTGAACCGTCTTCATGTGTAGTCTATGTAGAAAACTTACAAGTGTTATTCGGCATTTTTCATCTTTGTATGGAAAGAGTTTTACACGTCAAATAAATGTACCTTCCTGAAAACTCTCCTCTGTATTCACAAGCATCAGATTTCAGTTAAATGTATGTTAATAAATTACAATTGTTTGTAAATAATAAAAGTTTTTATTCATTCATTTTCCTTCGGCTTAGTCCCTTTATTAATCTGGGGTCCCTACAGCGTAATGAACCACCAACTTGTCCAGCATATGAATATCCCACTCATACACTTCGGACAGGTTAGCCTACCCAATAACTGGAGCAAGCCCATGCCAACACGGGGAGAACATGCAAACTCCACACTGAAATTTCAACTGACCTAGCCGAGTCTCGATCCAGCAACCTTCTTGGTGTGAGGCGATCATGCTACTCACTGCGCCACCATGACACCCAATAAAACTTATCCAGTTTCAAAGTCTCAGACGCTCTTCTAATAATGTCCAGCTGGTGGCGCTTGAGACACTTTAGTGGCACAATGTTTAGCAAGAATTTGATGTCCACATGGGCAGCTTGTTGGCGCAGTGGGTAACACAATCGCTCACAGCAAGAAGATTGCTGCTTTGAATACTGTCTGGTTCAGTTGGCATTTCTGTGTGGAGTTTGTATGTTCTCCCAGTGTTGGCGTGTTCTCCTCCAGGTGCCCTGGTTTCCAAACACATGCACTGTAGGGGAATTGATGAACTGAATTGGCCGTAATGTTTGTGTGTGTGAACGTGATAGCGTATGGGTGTTTCCCAGTACTGGGTTGCAGCTGGAAGGGCATCCACTGTGTTAAGCATATACTGGATAAGTTGGCGGTTCATTCCACTGTGGCAACCTCTGATCAATAAGGATAGAAGAAAATGTTATACTTGTTATATCTGTCATGAGGCATATTACATTTGATTTTTAAGCTTAAGTGTATTTTAATAACTTATAAGTGCATAATGGACAGTATTTCACCTCACGTAATTGAGTTACATGGACTTTTTTCTACATTAGCGATTTTTTTGGCTTTAGTAGTATTTAATTTGGGGCGTTTTTGATTATCGTCCAATTGCGCCCGCCTTAGCGTGATGACGTCAGCACTGACGCGTTCATTCCGCGTCGAGTCTTCAGAGCTGAGGTGAGTCGTTGACGCTTTTTCTCGTGTTTACACAACAATAAAACACACTTTACAGTTTATTAAAGCGACAATCTGCGACTAGTTTCTGCATTGAGTTCACCTCTATCTGTGTGTCTGCTGACCACAACAATACAGCAGGCGGAGAGCAGCTCTGAGAGGACAATATGAGTGAATGTGTTTGTGTTTTTGGGAGTTTTTCCGTGTGTGTTAGTTATAAATATAATCTATGAAGAGACGAAATATGAATCTACTGCAGCAGATATAAAGTTTAATGGAGGAAACATTAAATTGATAGTTTTTGGTGTTGTTATTTTTAAAGGTTTTATTATTTCTCAGTTTCTGTAAGCGCGTAGATTAGCTAACAGCCGACTTATTTTATTAGTATAATAGTACTAGTAATATTTCTGTTAAACTGGATATATAAATATAAAAACTATATGACATTATAAAACACAAAAATATGTTTTTAAACTTATTAATTTATCTTGCAAACTGTTAAAATGATCTGATCTGCTGCTGATCCTGTCTGGCTGTTTAATGAGTGTTTATATCAGAGCTGCTGAAAGCCTCTTTTTTTCATGTGAGAAGTTTTTTTTTGTTTTCTACTCATTTATTATACTGATGTCTTCAGATCTACAAATTACCACATTAAGTTAATGTTATTGGTGTCAGAGTGAATTACATTATAACATATTGTCACCGATATAAGTTTCTGACGGTATGATAACATTGGATAAAAAATATCACGATTTTACAGTATCACAGTATTGTGTTTACTGCTGTAAAATAATTTATTTTGAAACGTCTCAGTAAAAACAAAGAGTTCTTTAACATTCACCACAATGCATTACATTTTAAAGAAAATGTAAACATGTCAGGCTACATAGTTAGAATCATTGACTTCTACCACCATCTTCATTAGCTTCAAAAACACACAGAAAAACACCTCAAAAAACTTCCTACACATACCTTAGAAACTGTATCTTAAAACATTTTTGCGGTTTTAATACCTTGACTTTTCCAAACCGCTGTAAACCTTGAAACCGGTTATCTTCCCATGCCTACCTACAAGATAAAACATAAGACAAATGAGTTCCTCAATCAGTGTAAATGAATCAGATTTCTCTGTTTCTTCTCCTGAAGCTCTGCCGCCATCAGTGAAAGACAAAGACAGAGTTTATTAAAGGACAGTGAGAAGATGAGTGATCCAGAACCCTGCAGAATTAAACAGGAAGAGACTGAAGAACTAATAGGTTTGTGTTTATTCATTACTCTTCAATAATGAGGCAGAAGGACATTGAGGTTGTTAATAAACAACTCATCAGTTTTATTACTTTTTTGTATTCATTTTTGTGTATTATTAAAATATGGGACCTGCCTAAATCAGCTTTGCAGCTCAAACTTTGAAATGACTTCATAACCTGCTCAACAGTGGAAAATGTTGGCTAATGGGTTTCCTGGTGTCATTATTATTTGAGTTATTTGTGCTTACAGCTATAGTGATAAATCTGCATTGGAAATCAAGAATTGATTTGGCATGGATGCCGAAATTTTATGAATGGATTGCGATTCCCTCTTTAAACCAGGGCTGTCAAACTTAGTTCCTGGAGGGCCGCAGCCCTGCAGTTTAGTTCCATCCCTGCTTCAGCATACTTACCTGTAGGTTTCAAACAAGCCTGAAGAACTCAATTAGTTTGATCAGGTGTGTTTAATTGTTGAAACTGAACTGTGCAGAGTTGCGGCCCTCCAGGATCTGAGATTGACACGCTTTAAAGGAGAAGTGCTCACACTTCACTAGCAGTCAACCATGCTTAAGATCTACACTGAAACAATGCTTTTTTTTACTTTAAGCTTTTGTCTTGTTTCTAGTCAAAATATCTAAGAAATCTTAAATCAAGAAGCATTTTCTAAACAAGCAAAAATATTTGTTTTATTTTCAGAAATAATCAGTGAAAATTTAGTTTTTCTTTAAAACACGTAAAATAATAGTCAGTGGGCTGAGTAAAATAAACTTATTTCAAATTGAAAACAAGATATTTTTGCTTAATACAAGACAATTTGAGGTTTTTGCACTAGAAACGAGAAAATCGTAGTACGAAAAGCATTTTTTGTAGTGTAATGGTTCATTGGTACATCTTCAGGTGTGATGGTGAAGGAGGAGAGTGAAGAACTGAGTGAAGACGAGGAGAAACATCATGTCAAAAGTGAAAGCGAAACTCAATCAAAGACAGAACAACTTCTTGTAATGGACAGAACAGCCGTGAACTGTTTCACCTGCACTCAGTGTGGAAAGAGTTTCAGGTGCAAAAACAATCTCAAGCGTCACATGAGGATCCACACTGGAGAGAAACCGTATCACTGCACTGATTGTGGGAAGAGTTTCACGCGATTATCGTCGCTACGATTACACAAAAAGCACATTCACAGTAAGTAGATCATTTATCTGTCATCTAGAAGATCCAATCCTACCAAGATGTATAATTCATGATAATTGTGAATGACAAGAATGATATGAAAATGTTTGCTAGTTAGTACAGTTGTGTAAATCAGTCATTTAAAGGACATTTTCATGTAGTATACCTGGGTCGCAGGGGCAGCAGTCTTAGGAGGAAACCCAAGACTCTCTTCTCCATAGACACATTCTCCAGCTCTGCAAGCCTAGAGACATAAAGTATAGTCCTCCCCAGCATGTCCAGGGCCTTCATTGAGGCCTTCTCCTGCTGGGACATTTACCAGGAGGCATACAAATCAGTTCCCTCAGTTGCTTCTCTCTATGTGGAGGAGCAGTGTCTGTACTCCAAGTTCTACTCCTCACCCTATCTATAAGGGTCTGCCCTGTTTCCCTGCGAAGGAAACTAATTTTGATTGCTTGTATCCAAGATTTAGTCCTTTCGGTTGTGACCCAAATCTCATAACCATAGGTTAGAATAGGAAATAATATTTAGCAGTAAACCGAGAGCTTTTCCTTTTAGCTCAGCTCCATCTTACCACAATGGACTGAGAAATCGACTGCACAGATATGCCTGTCACACTCCACCCTTCCCTCGAACATGAACAAAACCCTGAGATACTTGAACCCCTCCACCTGGACTTCGAGCAGCTGATTCTCATCTAGGCCGCTTCACACATGGCAGCAAACCGCCCCCAGTGCATGCTGAAGCTCCATGTCTGATGAAGCCAACAGAACAACATTGTCTGCGAATAACAGAGATGAAATCCTGTGGTCCCTGGGCCGGTCCCCCACTGGTCCTAGGATATACCTAGAAAATCTGTCCATAAAGATTAAGAACAGAACTGGTGACAAAGGGCAGCTCTGCTAGAGTCCAACACATAACAGATAAAAGTCTTGACCAATTGCTGGCAATACGAACCAAACTCTTGGAGGGTCTCCTTGCCATTACCCTGATCTTTAGCTCCCGCCCCAGATTTTCAATAGGATTTAAGTCAAGACTTAGGCTAGGCCACTGCGAAAGTTAATGTATTTGTCTGATAGACCACAAGTCTTTTATTCCAGATAAGCGTTTGCAAAGGTGAACCAGGCTTTTGTGTGCCGTCTCCAGAGAAGTGGAGTCCTCCTTGGTCACTTTATGTAACTCAATGGTGTTTTGCAATGTTTCAGCAGTGTCCAGATTCACCGCGATGGCCTTGGTAGTAATCCTTGGATACTTTTATACCTCTCTCACTGTCCTCCTGGCCAGCACAGGTGTCACTTTTAGATCCTGACCACGTCAGAGATTTTTCACATCGCAGAATGTCTTGTGTTTATAATTCCTTACATTTATATACATACATATATAGCGCTTTTCTGGGCACTCAAAGCGCTTTACACAATGGGGGGGAATCTCCTCATCCACCACCAGTGTGCAGCATCCACCTGGATGACGCGACGGCAGCCATTTTGCGCCAGACCGCACACCACACACCAGCTGATTGGTGGAGAGGAGACAGTGATGAAGCCAATTGAATATGGGGATGGTTAGGAGGCCATGATAGACAGAGGCCAGTGGGCAGATTTGGCCAGGTTGCCAGGGTTTAACCCTTATTCTTTTCGAAGGACATCCTGGGATTTTTAACGACCACAGAGAGTCGGGACCTCGGTTTAACGTCTCATCCGAAAGACGGCGTTCACTGAGCAGTATAGCGTCCCCACCATTATACTGGGGCATTAGGACCCACACAGACCGCAGGTTGGCCGCCCCCTGCTGGCCTCACTAACACCACTTCCGGCAGCAACCTAGCTTTCCCATGTGGTCTCCCATCCAGGTACTGACCAGGCGCAGCCCTGCTTAGCTTCAGTGGGCGACCATGTGAGAGTTGCAGAGAGCTAGCTGCCGGCAATGTTTTATGATAAGACTGAGCACTGTCGCCTTTGTTTCTTCAAAACATTTAGGTATGGTTTTATAACCCTTTCCTGACCTGTGAGCACCCACAATGCGCACCTGCAGGTCCTCACTGAGCTCATTTGTCTTAGCCATGACTGTCCACAAACCAACAGCAAAGAGCTTCTTTCTTTCCCTTGTTCAGATTATTAAAACAGCTGTTCCCAATCAATTGGGATGCTTCAGATGTTTTTATACTTGATGGTAACAAGATGGTTCAGTTAGTACCTAAAAAAAGTATTGAATTTGAGACTAATTCAAATGTAACTCTTTTCTTATTTTTCAGACCTGATTGTGGAGGAGGAGAAGAGTGAAGACATGAAGGTCCACCACAGTGTGGATACAAAAAATCAGCAAAATTCATGCTATTTATGTGGAAGGAGTTTCACAAACAAACAAAGTTTAAAGTGTCATGAGAGGACTCACACTGGAGAGAAACCGTACAGCTGTTCACTATGCGGCAGGAGATTTAGTATGTTAAATAACCTTAAGACACATGAGAGGATTCACACTGGAGAGAAACCATACAGCTGTTCACTATGCGGCAAGAGGTTTACTATGTTAAATAACCTAAAAAGGCACAAGTTGATTCACACTGGAGAGAAACCGTACACATGTACTGAGTGTGGGAAGAGTTTCAGAGACTCGTCAAACCTTAATCTACACATGAAGTTTCACACTGGAGAGAAGCTACACAAATGTGACCAATGCGGAAGATTGTATTCAAGACCTTCAGATCTGAAGAAACATCTTCGAGTTCATACAAAGGAGAAGCCGTATTTATGTTCCGTGTGTGGAAAGAGCTTTTCAAGGCAGTCAAGTTTAAGAAGACATCAGCAGATCCACACTGGAGTGAGAGAGTATATGTGCGTTGAGTGTGGGAAGAGTTTTATTACTGCTCAACATTTGAAACGGCACCAGATGACGCACACTGGAGAGAAACCGTACAAGTGTTCACACTGCGACAACACATTCAGACATTCAGGACATCTGAAAATACACGAGAGGACCCACACTGAAGAGAAACCATTCACATGTACTCAGTGTGGGAAGAGTTTCATACAGTTATCACACGTCAATCAACACATGAGGATCCACACCGGGGAGAAGCCACACCAATGTGATCAATGCAGCAAAGCGTTTTTGAGTAGTTCAGAGTTGAGAAAGCACCTCAGAGTTCATACAAATGAGAAGCCTTATTCATGTTCTGTGTGTGGGAAGAGTTTTACATGGCAGTCAAGTTTAAGACTACACGAGAAGATCCACACTGGTGTGAGAGAGTATGTGTGCATTGAGTGTGGGAAGACTTTTGTTAGAGCTGGGGACTTCAAACGACACCAGGGGATTCACACTAGAGAGAAACTAAAGTCTCTTTAAAAGAAAGTCTGTTCATTTGGCTGCCAAATTTTTCAAAGCCTCGAGCAGTTCCTCCAAGACCAAAGTCCTATCTCATGCCCTGTCCACACGACCACGGGTGTTTTTAAATCTGCACTTCTTTTCTTTGTGGTTTCACTGTTTGTCCACACAAAAAACAGAGTATTGAGTGAGCGACACCAAAACTTTCTGAAATCTCTGGCTTGGGTAAGGTAGAGTGTGGTCTTGTGGACACAACACCTAGAGTTTTCACCTCATGAGGTCCGACATGGCTGGGTTCACACTAAATGTAGAAGACAGGAATGCATTGATTGCATTGACTTCAGCGTGATTTACTAATGAAAATACATAGGCAGTTTCTCTATTCCAAGAATGCAGAGAACAGACTAGCGTTCTTGTGAAGACTGTTCTTGCCAGGTCACCTCGGAAGAACGAACTCTCGAGACCGCGAGAACAGAGAATTTGTCTTATGAAAGATGAGATGCTGTGTTCTTCCTGATGGTCACATGACCTTAATTTGTTTTATTATTTAAACATTACAGCATTCATACAACGATTTAATGTTTTCCCTCTTTTCAATAAATATAACACGCACACAAAAACCTCGTTGGAAGTTGGTGCAGAGGGTTGTCGCCGACAAAAGTGAGGGGGGCGGAGGTGTCGAGGACGAAAGTGAGGGGGTGAAGGTGTCACAGACAAAAATGAAGAGGGTTGTGGACTGGCTAAAGAAAGTGAGAGTCAACAGCGGACAGGGGAGGAGGCCGGTTGAGGAGGGGGATTGGTAAACTGAGGTGCCGGATCCGGCGTGTTTCGGCACAAATTAAGCCCTGGTTATATCTGTGAACTTTAAAAATAAATCTATATAAAATCCTGCGCTTCCCACCTCCTTTATTCAATGACTTCTGGAACTTCTAGAGCAGGGGTTCCCAAACTTTTCAGCTCGCGACCCCCAAAATAACAATGCCGGTGACTCGCGACCCCCAATATCCTCTGAGGTGGTTATAAGTACAGAAACCTTGCATGCAATGACGCAGACACACCAATTAAATTTGTGTCAGTGCTTTAAATGTGCCAGAAAGTATAACCTGATGTTATAAAATCAAAATGCATCTGACGCTATTGCTGCCTTTAATATACTGTAATTACCCCAGGGGTCGCAATCCAATAGAACTAGTAACTATAAGCTACTATAGTAACTATATAGTATATAGTAACTATAAACGACTATTTTTATTTTCAGTATAGTTATGGATAAAATATGGTAATTCTTATGGTTTAATAAAAATAAATAGATTTTTGAAAATCACCAGGCGACCCCCCTTCATTGCCCCGCGACCCCTCGGGGGGTCCCGACCCCCACTTTGAGAACCACTGTTCTAGAGTAAGTTTGGTGCTCAAGTCTGTATCGCCGTGTCCTCGTTAACAAGAATACATCTGGGTACTTTCACGCATCCCCTGTTCTTGCTGTCTTGACTTTTGGAACTGAAATTTGTCATTCGATGATGACCATATATGAGATTGCTGAAGAACACACATTGAGAAACAGCCCTAATTCTCCGTTTGGTGTGAACCCAGCATAAAAGTGGCATTATCGCCACCTGTTGGTTCGCTGTGCCCTAAACATGCATCACATTGCATTTTGGCTAGTGGGCGGTAAATTTTGTTTATAAAAATACCCATGTACATATGTGTAATCCCACCGGTCCAACGCCACCCAACCTGCTCCGAGCTGGTATCGATGACCTTACCGCATGTGAGTCGGTTGCTCTACCAAGGAGGCTGAAGACCATGGCCTCTAGTGTCTGTCACTAGAGCACCTTTAGAGGTCAGTGGAGTGAGGTTTTCCTGCACAGCACTTACTAGCTGGCCTCCGTTACACTCGGACATGGCCTAAATCAGGGTGGGTCCAAACTCCTGGAAGGCCAGTGTCCTGCATTGTGTAGCTCCAACTTCCTCCAACACACCTTGCTGGAAGTTTCAAGTATACCTAGAAAGAGCTTGATTAGCTGGTTCAGGTGTGCTGAATTGGGCTTGGAATTAAATAATATGCTGGAAACCGGCCATCCAGGACCAAGTTTGGACACCCCTGGCCTAAATAAACAACGGAGGGACGCTGAAATCTTGATAACTGCTCACTGAACCTGCAATTAAATTACAAATTTTAAGTCAGCAACAAAATGTGAGGTAATTTTTGCCATTATTGTTGTGGCTTACCATAACAAGCAAATAAATGTGTAGCGAGAGCATGGTTATAAAGACTGATGATTAGGAGGCGGGACTTCCTTTGCCGTAATGAGTGTTGCACTTTTCCCCATTGATAATAATGCAATTAAACTGGCTTTGTATATTTATAGTGTTTGGAGAAAAGTTACAAGTGTTTTTCTGGATCTTCCTAAAATAGTTTTGTACAATAAAGCTTCCTGAAAACTCCTCATTTTTCACAAACATCAGATTTCAGTTATATGTATGTTAATGAATTACAATCATTTGTAAACAATAAAAGTTTTTATCCAGCTTCAAAATCTCAGGTACTTTTCCAATAATGTCCATCCATGTAATTTTTTACTTTACATTTTAATAAAATCAGTTTCCCTATAGCAGTTACTTCAGGAGAACACTTGTTATGTGTTAGGAAGTATTATGTTTGCTTTTTAAATTTTGCTAAGTGGATTTTACCAATGTATTAGTGCCAAGTAGACAGTTTTCACCTCACACATAATTGAGCTTGATGGATTTTTGTCCACATTATCGATTGTTTTGGCTTGTCAGTGGTATTTTAATTTGGCGCGTTTTGATGATCCGTTGCGCCCGCCTCCACTGACGCGTTCATTCAGCGTCGAGTCTTCAGAGCTGAGGTGAGTCTTTGACGCTTTTTCTCGTGTTTACACAACAATAAAACACACTTTACAGTTTATTAAAGCGACAATCTGCGACTAGTTTCTGCATTGAGTTCACCTCTATCTGTGTGTCTGCTGACCAAAACAATACAGCAGGCAGAGAGGAGCTCTGAGAGGACAATATGAGTGAATGTGTTTGAGTTTCTCTGCTAGCATGAATTTCCCTCGTTTGTGTTTGTTATATCGCAATGTGTGATTTGTGAGGGGGAACAATGGGAATTGACTATGTAAGTAAGTGAGGCTTGCTGCAGAAAACATTCAATTAATAGTTTGTGGTGCGTTTTAATATTCACGGGTTGTTGAGATTTAACAGTCTCTCCACACCGACGTGCTAGTGCTAACAATCTAATTACTTTATTGGTATGAATACTTAGTGAAAACCTAGATGGTGATGCTCTTTACTTTTTAAACTTAGTTCTCAGTTTCTGTTCATAGCATAAAATATATTCTTGTATATCTGCTGTTAATCCTGAATGGCTGTTTAACCCATATGTACTGTGATTTTGAGTCTTTAATTAGCCATACCCTTCTCTGTTTCAGCTAGCAGAATGATTTGTGTTGACCAGTAATATTTTCAGAAAATGCTTTGAATTAAAACAAAGTCTCAACAATACACTCTGGACAAATATACTAGCCTTTTGTTATGTTAGGGATGAAAACATCCACTAAAGTAGACTGCTGAAAAATGCATCAGCCTCAATTAACCTCAGTCCTAGGGTCCGTTCTTCGTACGTGGATTACTCAGTTAGCTGGATTTGGATATTGACGATTTGACACGATCCAGGATTGTTTCGTTCTTCAAAGCTGATCCGAGAGTAGTTGTCATAGCAACAGTTCTGCTAGGTCAACCCTGATCGGGAGCAGGTTCAATTCATATAAACAGGATTAGATCGGCTCAGTTCAAGCAAAGATAATACAGAAAGTATGTTCCTAATTCTGATATTTTCTTACAGAAGTAGTTATATACACTTGGAAAAATGGTACATATTTTTTACTATATATATAAAGTTATAATTATTAATAAAATAAAGTTATACATATTAATAAAACTTATGCAATCTGCACCCTCGAAATGAAAGTACAAAGACTGCCACCTGGTGGTGCAAAGAGAAAACATATTGATATGAACTTTTTAGATCGCTTTGGTACAAATTGTGTATAATAGGAATGCAATATGTCACTTTTTTTAAAAGCAATATATGCAGTCATAATCATGTTTTGATAGTTAATATGCCAGTGTTTTGATGCTTCACAAAAGTTGCAGACGCCTTTACCAATATGAAAATGCTTTTGTAAACAACCAGTTATTCTTTACACCGATCAAAAAACGGCTACTAAAATAAAGAAAATCTTTTCTAAATGTATAACTAAATACATTGCTTTGCATTGAAATACATGAGGATACACTTGACAAATGAAAGTGTAAAGCCTGCAGCTCACAACAAATGTGAAAGGTTATCGCGTGTCATATTTAACAAACCGTTTACTGCTAATTTGATGTAATTTTGCTCACATGGATAATTGAATATTAATCAGATGATGTCATTACGTTTCTGTGCCGTCAGCCAATCGTTGCATTGCTGATCATGATTTCGAGGATCGATAGATCTGTCCTTCACAACACACGCAGCGATCTCAGATCAGTTCATCCAGACATTTTAATCTGATTCATGAACTTGTTTGAAGAACCAAATTAGCAAGAGATCAGTTATCAAGATTAAAAGATCCAGGATCTGCCAAATCATCTTAGATCATTTAAGCGAGGTACGAAGAACGGACCCCTGGTCGAAACTACTTGATTGTTTAGAAAATTTCAGGATTTTAACTATTTAATTGCCAAATTCATAAATGATGTCACTGATTTGGTGAGCAAAAATACAAAATGACGTATTTTTAATATATAAGGTAATTGTGGATTGGATTTTTTTTGTACCTTTTATTAAAGTCTTGTACATGTGACGCAAAACATTGCCTTTGATGCATTGTTTTTGATCCATTTTCTGTTTTTTTCCCCTTAATTTACTGTTGATGGCTGTTTTTGCTCCAGGGACTTTTATTATAACCACATTTTTTTTATTACAAAGCCATGACACCATATAAAATCAGGGTATATTTCATCCATTTCATATCCGTTTTCAAACAAAAAAACAAAACGGTCATTTTTCGGCTTTTCTTTTGCTCAAAAAAAAAAAAAAAAAAACTTTTGGATCAATTATTGTTTTTTAATGTAGGGCCTGAAAATGGATAAACAACTTTAAAATTCATTATACACATGTAGGCTGGAATCTGAACTTACATAATAGTCTATCATTTTAAGATTTTTTTAAGACCCTGAGAAAAACTAAAGCTTTTTTCCACATTTGAACACAATATATTTTATTTTGAGAAACATTCATAATATGTTGGAGCAGTGAACATTTCAGGCTGAATAATTCAAATAATTAATTGACTTCTGCTGTTTTTATCCGTTTCAAAAACACAATTTTCTTTACAATTTTAAAATGGCATCTTTGTATATTTTTTTCTAGTGGAGATACTGTTGTCCTAAAAAAAAAAAAGTAAATAAAAAATCTTACACATACCTTATTAACGGTTTAACAGAAAAGTTTGGCGTTTTTAAAACTTTGACTTTTCTAAACCACGGTATACCTTGAAAACGGTTATCGTCCCGTGCCTAGTCCACAACTACTTTTAATATTGAAAATATGTCGTATTGTGTGTGTGTTTTTTTCACAGAATCAGACACATCATTTATGAATTTGGCAATTAAAGAGTTAAAGTCCTGTAATTTTCTAAGCATTTTAATCATTTTGATCAGGACTGAGGTTTATTACCAGATTTATGCAACAAAAAAAAAATTGAAAAATATATTTATCTGATGCATTTTTACAGCAGTTAATTTAGTGTTGAACATAACAAAAGGGTAGTAAACTTGAACAGTGCACAAGGGTTAATGAGTGTTTACAGTCTGAGGCTCACCCTTATTATCAGAGCTGCTGAAATCCTCTTTATTTCATGTCAGTAGTTCCTGTTTTCCTCTCATTAACTAAACTGATGTCCTGAGAGCTACAATTTTGCCACATTAGGTTAATTTTGCTGGTGTCAGCTGACTTGAGCAAATTAAATAATCACATAATGTCACCTACAAGATCCAATTAATTTCCTCAATCAGTGTAGATGAATCACATTTCTCTGTTTGTTCTCCTGAAGCTCTGCCGCCATCAGTGAAAGACAAAGACAGAGTTTATTGAAGGACAGTGAGAAGATGAGTGATCCAGAACCCTGCAGAATTAAACAGGAAGAGACTGAAGAACTAATAGGTTTGTGTTCATTCATTACTCTTCAATAATGAGAGTGAACAACAGTACCACACACCATTTGATCCTAAAATATGTATTAATAAAGTTCGGGAAGGTTTAATCAAATCATTTAATTTTCAGGTGTGCGTGTGAAGGAGGAGAGTGAAGAACTGAGTGAGGATGAGGAGAAACATCAAATCAAAAGTGAAACTGAAACTCACACAAACGGTGAACAGAGTGTTCCGGTGAACCAAACAGCCGTGAAAAAATTCACCTGCACTCAGTGTGGAAAGAGCTTTGGCTACAAAACCACTTACCAGCATCACTTGAAGATCCACACTGGAGAGAAGCCGTACGAGTGTTCATACTGCGACATGAGATTCATACGGCCTTCAGATCTGAAAACCCATGAGCGGACTCACACCGGAGAGAAACCGTATCAGTGCACTTTTTGCGGGAAGAGATTCTCACGATTGTATTCTCTACAATTACACCTTCAAAAAAAGAGTAAGTCATCTAAAGCGGTGTTTTCCAACCCTGTTCCCAAAGGCACGCCAGTAGTACACATTTTTCAACTTTTCCTAATCAAACACACAAGCTTAAACAATAGAGAAAATGTTTAGTTTGGTGTGACAGGGTTGGGAACAACAATATAAATATCCAACCTTTGGAGGTCATATTATTTAGGATAATTACGGGGCTCTATTTTAACGATATAAGCGCAAAGTCTAAAGCGTGTGGCACAAAACATTAAGGATGTGTCCGAATCCACTTTTGCTATTTTAAGGACAGAAAAATACGCTCTGGACCCCAGCGCACGGTCTAACAGGGTTGAGCTTATTCTCTTAATGAGTTATGGGTGTGAAACTATTACCTATTATGCATGAGTGCTGCTGTTTGAAGAAAGTGAAGCAGATACAGTCAATTTAAAAAAATGTTGTAAAATACTCACTGGCCACTTTATTAGGTACACCTTACTAATATCGGGTTGAACCCCTTTTGCCTTCAGCCTGCCTTAATCCTTCAGGGCATAAATTCAACATGGCACTGGAAATATTCCTCAGAGATTTTGCTCCATATTGATATGATGGCATCACACAGTTGCTGCAGATTTGTCGGCTGCACATCCATGATGCCAATCTCACATTCCACCACATCCCAAAGCTGCTCTATTGGATTGAGCTCTGATGACTGTGGAGGCCATTTGAGCACAGTGAACTCTGTCATTGTTAAGACACCAGTCTGAGATGTTTGGCACTTTATGACATGGTGTGTTATCCTGCTGGAAGATGGAGACACTGTGCTCATAAAGGGATGGACATGGTCAGCAGCAATACTCAGGTAGGCTGTGGTGTTGATGCTCAATTGGTACTAATGGACCCAAAGAAAATCTCCCCCACACCATTACACCACCACCACCAGCCTGAACCGCTGATACAAGGCAGGATGATCCATGCTTTCATGTTGTTGAGGCCAAATTCTGACCCGACCATCTGAATGTGTCAGCAGAAATGGAGACTCATCAGAGCAGGCAACGTTTCTCCACCGTTTTGGTGAACCTGTGTGATTTATAGCCCGGTGTGGTCTTCTGCTGCTGTAGCCCATCCGCCTCAAAGTTGGACGTGTTGTTTGTTCAGAGATGCTCTTCTGCAGACTTTGGTTGTAACGACAGTTGATTCAAGTCACTGGCTGATTAGAAATTTACGTAAACGAGCAGTTACAAAGGTGTACCTAATAAAGTGGCCAGTGAATGTAGAAATTTATTTCTGCAAATGAGAAAAATATCGAAATATTTGGATTGGTAAGGAAAAGTTTAAGATTACAGTTTAAATTCCACTATGAATGTACTCTGAAGGCGGTGAGCAGATGGCAAAATCACTTTATATTATTTTGTAAAATGATAAATAGTTATTCCAGTGCATATTTGGTTAAATCATTCGACCAAGTGCAACATGAAGTTTTAGTTTCAGCCTAGAAATGTAATCTTGGTGCGTCTTATACATCATAAGCGCTTGGTTTTCTGACACCATTGTGAATCATTTTAGGTGTTTCAATAATCGGTGCAGAATCACAAGATATTGTTTGATACTTGATGATATCAAGGCATTTTTGTAGATACCTAAAAAAATTGAATTCGATACCCAAATTAAAACGTTGCTTATGTTTGCTTATTTTCCAGAAATGCTGGTGAAGGAGAGTGAACCCATGAAGGTCCACGATAGTGTCGAGCCAAAGAAGTCATTTTCATGCTTCGTGTGTGGAAAAACGTTTGCGTATCAACAAAACTTACTAAAACACGAGACCACTCACAACGGAGAGCAAGAGTGCTCGCACTGCAACAAGACATTTAGTACGTTAAGTGGCCTGAAAAGTCACGAGAAGATCCACACTGGTGAAAAGAAGCATGTGTGCTCGCAGTGCGGGAAGAGTTTCACTAGAGCTACACACTTGGAGCAGCACATGAGGATCCACACCGGGGAGAAACCGTACAAGTGCTCACACTGCGACAAGAGATTCAATCATTCAGGGCATCAGAGAACACACGAGAAGACTCACTCTAAAAAAGGAGAGGTCGTCGCCCCGTAATAAACACATGAAGATCCACACGGGAGAGAAACATTTTTGAGTGCTCCAGATCTGAAGAGCCATCTGAGAGTGTGAAATTTGGTTGGACGGTGCTACAAGGGGAAAACGGAGACATCTGAAAACGAAGGCGGGGCCTGCCGACATTCGCCTCTCTGATTGGGTCTTTTCCCTCAATATTAAGTTAGCTACACACAGTTCAGTCCTCCATCCTCTCCGTATAAGTTCAGACTTCGCAAGTTTGATGTGGAAAACAGACTCGCGAGTGTACTTTATAACGTCATTCACATCACCCTGGCTATGCTGTTTCACTGTCTTAACAATAAAATGAAAACCTGATGTGAGGAGCTGCCTACTTTCATTTTGATATTAGCAACTTAACAGACAGCAGAAATGTTGAGGCGTCGTGTAGCTGCTTAATATGAGTGTTACATCCTATGATGTATTTAGGTAATAAGTTGTTGGTGTGAGGGGCAGCTTATTGCTCTCCCCTTTTGTTTTATTAATCTCTCTCTCTCTCATTGAGCAGCGTTCCAAACCAGCCGCACCTGTTTTCAATCAGAGCCAATCGGATCGTTTGCTGTTGATAGAGCTTCCAGGCTTTATAAAGAGGCAGAGCGGCAAAGCACGGAGAGAGTCCCTGTTTTCCCTATCCCAGTGATTATAGTGCGATATTTAGAACTGTGAACTTGTGAATCTTGTGAGATTATAGCGTAAATAAGTGACGTGTAACTTTATGTGAAAAGTAAGCCGAGTGCTGATTAATTTTGGCTTTATCCTTTAAGTTTCCTCCTGTTTCTGGATTTAGCCAGGTTGTGGGGTAAGAGCATTGTAATTGATTTTTTTATATATATATATATATATATATATATATATATATATATATATATATATATATATATATATATATATATATATATATATATATATATATATATATATATATATATATATATATATATTAGGAAATCTAGAACTTTTTGTCAATTTAGGAAGCTTTTGTTTTGTTTGTTATTTTGACCTTACCCTCTCATAATGATTCTGGCTAGGAGAATTGTCATTTAAGTATCTCTTTGTTTTTGTTTACCCTTTCTGGAAATGTAAAAATATATTGAATTTTGTTAAACGGTGAATAAAAGAAAATATTTTTCTTTTGAAATTTCTTTTCAGAGTTTTTTTTATCATTATTTCTGAAGTGAAAGGATGCTGGGATAGAGAAAAAGGAGATTCTCCACGCACATTATTAAATATTAATTTATTATTAATTCGATCCAATTAAAAATTTGATATATATATATATATATATATATATATATATATATATATATATATATATATATATTTATTTATTTATTTTTTATTTATTTATTTTTTTATCCTAATTACATTTTTTTTTTGTTACTTTTTGTCTCCGTACCCCTAGAAAAGGGATTAAAATGTAACAATTGGGGGCTCGTCCTTTGCGTTCGTCTGTAAATTAATCAGCATTTTTTTCTTTAAACTCACTTTTTTTTTGAACAGCAAAACAACTATTTGGTGAGTACATCTTTTCTCTTCTTGATTACTGGCTGTTTTCGGTTTTTTGGGAAAGAGAATAGAGAGTAGTGAATAACTTAAAAGATTATTATTAATATCATTTACTCTTGCGCCTACGACTGAAGTCTTTTAACAGGTGTAGAAAGAAAGATCTATTTTTGATTGCGGATTTCTTTTGAGTTGACGTGCCTAGAGAGGCAACTAAACATGTGATCAAAAATGAGTTTTATGAGAAATTGGTAAATGAAGGGATTTTGCCAAGACAAACTGATGAGGGTGAGGGGGTGGAGAAGTAAGAAGTCGCAGCTGCTATTAATGTTGAGGATGTGGAACAATTTGACTCTGTTACTTTACAAGGCCCTAGGTTAGCAATAAGACTGAAAGAATTAGACCTGTTAATAAAAAAAAACAGGAATGTGAAGCTCAAATGATTAAACTGAAAGTTATTGAAGCAGAGACTGATAGAGATGTTAAACTTCAAAAGCTAGCTTTAGATGCCCAGCTGGCCGCGGCGAGACCAGTTCCTTCTCCGAGAACCAAAATTTCAGTTTCTTCTCCGGTAGTTGCTAGTCCCTTGCTGGGAGGAAATAATCAGTTGTCTGCGGATATTCCGTTCGATCCCAGTAAATACATTAAACTAGTACCGTCGTTCAGAGAACCGGAAGTAGATATTGTCATCTTCATGCATATTTTAAACAAAACTGAGCGAAAATACGAAACAAAGCCTCTCTTTCAGTTTTAATAATCAGTAATGGCCATTTTAAAAGCATAACGTACAATAAGTTTATACAATAGAGAAAATAACGGCAAGCAATCAGTCAATTGTGCAGAATCGGTGTCCGCGGTTACATTAATTAAGATATCAACTTAACTTGCGCTCAGCCTAAACATGTTACCTGAGAACAAGTAATAGATTCAAAAGACCAACGTCAGGGAATATGTCATTAGATATAGACAACAATATAAATTAAATATCACGTTTTACAAATATAGTGAGATTAGATCCAGTGGGAGATTCTTGATGAACACTCCGACCGACGTGCACAGCTCTCGTATGGGTATGTGCTCTAAGCACACTGCGGCGCATCCCAGAGTGTGTGTGTGTGTGTGGTCAAGAGATGTGCGTTTTCTCTATTTTAATGTAGACGGAGAGTTGTTCAGAAGCGCTGGGTGAAACGCGGACCGTTTTCATTCTAAAACGCCGTTTTAAAACTAAAACGCACTAAACGGGTCTTAGAGTTGGGCTGTGGTCACACTGCATTTTTCACCCCTGACACTTCCATTCATACGCACGCTAATGTCGCAGACTTAAAACTCAAGCTCGTGCGAGAAGTTATGCAGTTTGCTGCATTGGAAGGTTCAAGCTTGGTGAACTCTGACCTGCAAAATCACATTACATGACTGCGTGAGACCAACCGAGGATCAAAACATGACCTCTCTGGATGGAAATTTTAAATATGGACCATTGTCGTAATTTGACTTCTTATCAATTAGAAATTATCAGACAGGAGGTTTCGAATATCAGAAAATAGACTTTATTCTCCATAATAAAGTCGAGAAAGAGCAGAGCAGACCCCAGAGCATTCTGAAGTCTCTCCTGGACACTTCCTTTCTTTGGTTCTCTCTTTCCAAAGTCTCTCCTGCTCCTTCTAAAGTCTTAAAAAAATCTTTATACAGGTTATTTTGACACACCCCTAGGTGTCTCATTTTAACTTTTAACCATTTTAGGATAGGTTTACTGATTTTGACACGTGTGCCTTAGAGCAAGGAGGTCGCTGGTTCGAGCCTCGGCTGGGTCAGTTGGCATTTCTGTGTGGAGTTTGCATGTTTCCCCCTGTTCGTGAGGGTTTCCTCCAGGTGCAACGGTTTCCCCTACAGCACAGGTGTCAAACTCAGTTCCAAAAGGGCCGCAGCTCTGCACAGTTTAGTTCCAACCCTAAGTAAACACACCTGATCAAACTAGTTGAGTCCTTCAGGCTTGTTTGAAACCTACAGGTAAGTGTGTTGGAGCAGGGTTGGAGCTTAACTGTGCAGGGCCTCGGCCCTCGAGGAATTGAGTTTGACACCCCTGCCCTTCAGTCTAAAGCAGGGGTGGGCAAACACGGTCCTGGAGGGCCGGTGTCCTGCACAGTTTAGCTCCAACTCTAATCAAGCTCTCCTGCTTATAAATTTCTAGTGATTTTGAAAACACTGATTACCATGTTTAGGTGTGTTTGATTAGTGTTGGAGCAAAACTGTGCAGGACACCGGCCCTCCAGGACCGAGTTTGCCCACCCCTGGTCTGAAGACATGCGCTATAGGGGAATTGAGTGAGATAAATTGGCCGGAGTGTATGGGTGTCAGTGATGGGATGCAGCTGGAAGGGCATCATGCTGGATAAGTTGGGAGTTCATTCCGCTCTGGCGACCCTGGATTAATAAAGGCACTAAGCCGAAAATAAAATTAATGAATGAATAAACAGCTGACCATTATGCTAAAACAAGTGATCTGTTGTTTCATTATCATCACAAAAAATACATTTATTAGACTCAAATCTCTCACTTACGATTGTTAAATGAACTTCTTTAGTTTTTGGTGACGGGAAACTTTGAATATTTAGTTCTAAGTATGTGGATGGTATCTTTAGTGAGTTTACGTGAAATTGAGTTTCTATAAACCACTAGAGGATAAATAATGTTGTTAAATAAATTTCTAATCTTGGCCTTTTGTTTACATTATCAATTGTTTTGGCCGGTCAGTATAATTTGGCGCGTTTTGCGCTTGCGCTCGCCTTGCCCTGATGACGTCAGCGCTGACGCGTTCATTCAGCGTCGAGTCTTCAGAGCTGAGGTGAGTCGTTTTCGCTTTTTCTCGTGTTTACACAACAATAAAACACACTTTACAGCTTATTAAAGCGACAATCTGCGACTAGTTTCTGCATTGAGTTCACCTCTATCTGTGTGTCTGCTGACCAAAACAATACAGCAGGCAGAGAGGAGCTCTGAGAGGACAATATGAGTGAATTATATATGCTAACGTTTTTCCCCACGTTTCTATTCGTTATAGCAAATTATGATCTGTGAATGGAAGTTTGCAGCAGATATGCACTTTACGCTGCTCTTTTTATAGTTCTGATTTCCCAGTTTCTAGATGTGCTACTGCTAACAATCTAAATGCTTTATTTGTATGAATACTTGCTTTTCACATTATATGTTGACATAGATGCCAAAAATCAATTGTAATTGTGTTGTCCTGCAAAACACCCAGTATTAAGCAAACTGATCTAATGACTGTTCAATGAGTGGTTTAGTCTGAGGCTCATCAATATTATCAGAGCTGCTGAAATCCTCTTTATTTCATGTTAATAGTTCCTGTTTTCCCCTGTTCATTATACTGATGTCTTCAGATCCACATATTGCCAAGTTTTTTGGAGGATGGTGAGAAGATGAGTGATCCAGAACCCTGCAGAATTAAACAGGAAGAGACTGAAGAACTAATAGGTTTGTGTTCATTCATTACTCTTCAATAATGAGGCTGAAGAACAGTGAGGTTGTTAATAGATGTGCTTAGAGATTGATTCTCTGTGAGGCACGGCTTTGAAATGCTCCACTTCAAGTAAAGGCATACAAGATAAGAGTTGAAAGCTTTGTTTACATTAATCTTATGGTGCTATTGACTTACTTTTCAGATGTGATGGTGAAGGAGGAGAGTGAAGAACTGAGTGAAGATGAGGAGAAACATCATGTCAAGAGGGAAGAAGACACTCAATCGGACACTGAACATGATGTT